ACTTCTGAATTCCATCCAACAATCGTCGATTTGATCCAGGCATGGTCTTTAACAATAGAATTCGACAAGATGACTGACCTTTGGATTCTGACACCATTACCAATAACAACATTGGGTCCTATAACCACATTTGGCCCAATTTTGCAACCTTCTCCAATTGTAGCACTTGGATCGATCATAACATTACCACCTTGGACAAATTTCTCACTGTTTGATGTCAATAATTTCGAGTTGTTTTTCGACAATGATGTCAAATAAAGACATGTTCCACTCAAGAAATCCTTTGGCTGTCCAACATCCATCCAGTATCCTTCCAAGTCAAAACTGTATAACGATTTGTCTTCAACTAAGATTGGGAAGGTCTCCTTTTCGATAGAGGTTGGTCTCAATTCAATTAAATCAATAACTTCGGGATTTAAGATATANATACCAGCGTTAATTCTGTTTCCAACAAATTCGATTGGCTTTTCAACAAATCTGTCAATCAAATTGGGCTTGTATTTGTCATGAACAATAACCCCATATTTCGATGGCTCATCCACTTTTGTAGCAACAATCGTACCTTTACCGCCATGAGCACTATGGAAGTCTGCAAGCTCTTTAAATGGATAGTTGCAAATGACATCTGAGTTCAACACAAAGAAAGGAGTATCGTCTTTCTTAAGAACTTCTTCAGCTAATTTCAATGGCCCAGCGGTTCCAAGAGGTTCTGTCTCAACAGAAAACGTAATATGAACTCCATACTCTTCTTCGTACTTTTTCAATGTAGATACCATGACTTCTGGACGATAATTAACAGCTAAAACAATATCGGTGCACCCAGCGTTAGCTAATGCTTCCACTTGATGTAAAATCATTGGTCTATTACCAAACTCAACTAATGGTTTTGGAACTGTCAAGGTTAATGGCCTTAATCTTGTTCCATATCCTCCAACTAATATCAATCCCTTCATCTTGATGATAAAATGTGTATGTTTTTAAAATTGTAAAAGTAAAATGTTTTAAAATGTTTTGTTTTAAAATGCTTTGTTTTGCTTTGTTTTGTTTTGTTTTGGTTTTGTTTTGGTTTTTGTTTGTTCTTTTGTTTATTGGTCAAAAAATAAGAAGCGAATGAATCTCTTTAACAGATCAACTAAATATTGAAATCTCAGATCGAAATTAAGTGCAACAACAACAATATAAATCAAATAATAAATAAAGGAAAAAAATTGGAAAGACCAAAAAGTTGCTTTTATATAAAAAATCTAAAAAAGAAAGTAATAAACCAGAATATTGGATTAATATGAATTATGTAAGGAATGAACACTTGTTGTTTCTCACTGGATGATGGCAGTCGTTCAATGTAAGGTAATAATTATTATTAGATGAGAAACGTTCAAAGAGGTTAATTTTAGAAAAACAAGAAAAGAAGTCGGAGCGCCACGTGGTAGTAAGACACACAGATGGTATATGCGTAGTGTTTCATAGTAACACGGTGCTACACAGTACTATACGCACACACGCATTTAAACCACTATACTGGAGTACGCACTGAGGTGCATCTTTCATGTATGCATATGCATTCACATACGGAGCCATTACCTCATTGAAAATGTATCACGTGGTGATTACCCGATAAGAGCAGCTCAAATCAAAATCAACTTTCTTTGTCTTTTTATCAATTTCCAATGGTTTGAACTATCATGGCATTTTCCACAACCTTCAATTCCTCAGATCCAATAACCATACCTGATATCAGAAAACCCAGTGGAAGGGTGGTCAAGACCCAGTTGGTCTTGTCCTTGGTGCTAGGCCTTTCTGCTTTGTTCATTTTCTCCATTTTGCGAAGAAAATGGGCTATTTTTTATTCCTCAAGATTACTACGTCGAAAGAACTTGCCACTCTTCAACAGAAATTCTTTGTTTGGTTGGATTATAACTACTGTCAAAATAAACGAAAATGATATCCTATTGAATGCTGGCTTGGATGCCTTTGTATTTCTCAAATTTTTCAAAATGTCAATAAAAATACTCTCATCCTGCTTTCTTTTGGCTTTTTTCATTATAAGTCCCATTAGATATCACTACACTGGAAAATTCGATAATGATGACAACGACAACGATGGCAATGATGACGATGATAATAACAATATTCAATTGATTATTCATGTATATAATACAATAACTAAGGTCATTAGAAATATCCAGGATAACAGAAATATTGATACCGTTGATAATATCGATAACGTAAATCTGCCTGAAGAATACCCACAGTTTTTATGGACTTATCTTATTTTCACTTACTTATTCACTCTAATAACCTTTTTCTTCTTATTCAAAGACACAAACCACATACTACACATTAGACAGCTTTATCTTGGTAACCAGAACTCCATAACTGATAGAACTATCCTATTATCTGGAATTCCTCCAAATCTAAGAAATGAATCCATTCTTAAAAACCATATTGAACTATTAAATATTGGTAGAGTTGATTCCGTTATTCTCTGTAAAGAATGGAATAAATTAAATAACTTGTTCAAACAAAGAAAAAAATTAATTCATCTACTCGAGATAAAATGGGCCCAGTATTTAAATCTTAAAAATATAAAGACGGATTTTAATTACAATTATAATAGTATTAACAATAGTAATATAACTGTAAGCCAAATTGAAAATGACAATAATAATAACAGTAACAGTAACAGTAACAGCAACGATAACAATAACAATAACAATAATAATAACAATAGTGGTGATACCAGTACCAGGATTAATTTGAATTCAAATCTTAATTTAAATTCTCATTTAAATGATTTTTTCCCTTTAAATACAAATAGAAAAAGAAAATTGTCAACAAATAAAACCTCTACTTTAAATCAAAATCAAAATCAAAATAAAACAACAGTCGATAACTCTGCCAATAACCAAAATCAAATAGACTTTCAAGATTTTGAATCAAATGATCTTCATTTACCCCTTTTAATCAATTCTATTCACAATAACTACTACACTGATAACAATAATTATCACGACAGCAGAAACACCGATAATGATAACGAAGATGATTTCATAAACTACACAGATAATGAAAGCGATTTAGACAACATTTCAACAACAAGTACAGGCGTAGTAAACTTGGCTGCATCTCAATTTAATCACAAAAGACCCAAAATCAAAATTGGTAGATTTGGTTTGTTTGGTAAAGAAGTAGACGCAATCGATCATCTATCAAACAATTTAGAAATTATCGACGATGAAATTAGGAAAGCAAGAAACAATCACTACTCTCCAACCCCAACTGCATTTATCACAATGGACACAGTTGCAAGTGCTCAAATGGCAGCCCAAGCAGTTTTAGACCCTCATGTTAATTTTCTTATCACAAAATTAGCTCCTGCTCCGCATGATATAATCTGGGATCATGTTTGTTTATCCAGGAAAGAAAGAATATTTAAGGAATATAACATAACCATTATTATTGGAATACTAAGCATTGCATTAATTTTCCCTGTTTCATATTTAGCCACATTGCTAAATATTAAGACAATATCTAAATTTTGGCCTGGTTTGGGTGAATTGCTTCATAAAAATAAATGGGCAGAAAATTTTGTTACTAGCTTATTACCAACTTATTTATTTACATTGTTAAACTTTGCAATTCCTTTTGTTTATTGTTGGTTATCCTCAAAACAAGGTTTCATCAGTTATGGAGAACAAGAGTTGTCTATTGTTTCTAAAAATTTCTTCTACATTTTCATCAATCTTTTTCTTGTTTTCACTTTGGCTGGTACAGCTTCAAATTATTGGGGTTTCTTAAGTGATACAACCAAAATTGCAAAACAGTTATCGATGTCATTAAAAGAATTTTCTTTATTTTATGTTGATTTAATCATATTTCAAGGCATAGGCATGTTCCCATTTCGCTTGTTACTAATTGGGTCATTGATAAGGTTCCCATTTTCCAAAATATCTTGCAAGACTTCAAGAGATCATAAGAATCTCTATAAATCCCCAATTTTCAATTTTGGTTTAAGTTTGCCACAACCAATGTTGATTTTAATTATTACTTTAATGTATTCTGTCATATCAACCAAGATATTGGCATCTGGTGTTGTTTATTTCATGATAGGTTATTTTGTTTATAAATATCAGTTGATGTATTCAATGGTTCATCCACCTCATTCTACCGGGAAAGTATGGCCCATTATCTTTAGAAGAATCATTCTTGGTCTACTTCTTTTACAACTCACAATGGCTGGCACATTGGCTTTACAGAATGCTTATGTGTTGGCAACTTGTTTAGCGCCATTGCCTGTGATAACTATTGGGTTCTTGTATGAGTTCCAAAGGCGCTATTTGCCACTATCTAATTTTATTGCGTTAAGAGCTATCAAAAATGATGAATTGGAAGATAATAGTTTAAGTCCCCGAATGAGAGGTATCAATGATGATGATAACTCTTTGTCACCTAAAGTTTCTAGAATCAGCGATTATCTGATTTTACCAACTTTTAATCCCAATTTATTGAGTCATACAAATAGGTTTTTTCATCGTAACAGTGTTAATAATCTGAATGAAGATAATGATGATTATCATTTACAAACACATAGAATGATAAAACGTTTGGCTAGTAGAAAAACATTAGATGAAAGAAGGGAACAAAATCAAACATATGAATATCCTTACTTATTTCAGCCATTAGATGGACCTTGGATTTCAATTGAGGGTGATCAAATAATAATGGCCAATAATGAAGGAACTATCAGAAAAAGAATTAGATTTCTTGAATGGGAATGATTGTTCTGGAGTTTAGACTTCTTATAATTGGTCTGACCTTCACTATAATAAAATTGAATTAATATTTCTAACCACATTTTTTTGATTTTTACTTTAATTTTATTTTTTTTTCTTAATTTGTAATGATAGATAATTTTTTTTTAACTTTATGGACATACTTTTCACTTGAATTTATTACAATTTTTTGAGTAGACTTTTTGTGTTCGATTGCTTCAGTTTTTTAGTTTTAATTTTGAAATATATATATTCAACTACTCTTCTAAGTTGATTTGCTTTTAGATTGTTTATTGGCCAACACTAAGTATTAACTTTTAGGTAATTTTGAAACTCTGTATTGCTATTTTGTATTATTGACTTTGTTGCTATCCCATAACAACCTCTTTATATTTAAAATACTAGACAATTGAGTTCATGCAATTTTCTTCTTTCGATAAATATTTCTAAAAAGACCAAATCTATTTTAAACAAGCTACAAAAATATGAATCAAAATATAACTTATCTATTAATCGATATAAAATTAAAACACTTATATCCTATATTGTATAATCTAATCAAATTATAACTTCACTAAAGAAAGCTTAAATGTAGTATCATTAATTTCTTGCTCTTCACTGACAGTGTTGTCTGTTATAGTTTGCAATTTAATATCTCTACAACATTTACCAAACAACGAGAGATGCTTGGATACAGCCTCTTCTAATCCAACACTATCCTCGTTTTTAATTTCATATTCAACAAGTACATCATCTGTTGCTTGAAATCCATATTTCTTTCTTAATTTTTGAATTCTGTTGACTAATTGTCTTGCAACACTTTCTGTCAATAGTTCTGGGTATAACTTGGTATCTAAAATAATCAACACTTCCTTTTCAGCTCTGACTTCCTGTCCATCATTTGTTTTAGACTCAGGCAATCCTCTGACTACTTTCAAGTCTCCTTCAACTAATTTAATACCATTTACAACGATTTTTCCGATTTCTTGGTATTGTTTAACTTCTTCGGATGTTAAATTTGGCAATGCATCTTTAACTTTCTTAACTTCTTTTTTCAATTTCTTTCCTAATACTGGCCAGTCTGCAACTGCAGTATATTCAACACCATACTTACTCTCATCTGTTGTAATAATGACATTATGAATATTCAATTCTTCAATAATATATTGTTCCAATGATTCAACATCTTTCAAGTATTTTTCATCTGCCAAAATAACTAATGATTTTAAAGGTGTCTTTAATGAAATAGTTTTTTTATCTCTGATGCTTCTACCTAACTCAATAACTTTTTGCATACGGCCGACTGCCCTTTCGATTTTTAAATTGGACAATCTAGCATTAACTTTTGGATAATCAAGGAAATGAACAGATCTTGAATCTTTTGTTATTGATCTCAAGTATTCATCGGTAAACAAATATTTCATTTGTTGGTAAAGGTTATCTGACAAAAATGGAGTGAAAGGAGCCATACTTCTGACCAAAGTTAATAAAGCTTCAGACAAGGTGTTTAATGAATTTATTGATTCTTCAAAGCCATTTTCACCTTTTAATCTTCTTCTATTAAATCTGATATACCAATTGGTCAAGTCATCAATCAATTCTAATAAACTTGGGACAACAGTATACAATCTATAGGAATTCATTTCTTGATGAATAAATTTTAACAAGGTTTGTAATTTTGAAATAATCCATTTATCCATGACATTATCACTAGTAACAGTTGAATCGTGTTTAAAATTCAAACCGTTTTTCTTCAACAAAGAAACTGAGCCATCTAAGAATTTGAAGGAGTTCAACCAAGGTAATAAAACCTTTGAAACAACTTCCTTAACACCATCTTCTTCAAATCTTAAAGTTTCGGCTTTTAAGACTGGCGAATTGATTAAATACAATCTCAAAGCATCTGCACCATATTTATCTAATATAAGAGTTGGATCAGGGTAGTTTTTAAGTCTTTTTGACATTTTTTTACCGTCTGCAGCTAAAACTATACCACTCACAATAACGTTTTTATAAGGAGCTGTTTTGAATAAGTGAGTAGCTAAAACAGTCAAAGTATAGAACCAACCTCTTGTTTGATCTAAACCTTCTGAGATGAAATTAGCAGGGAATTTTTTGGAAAAGTCTTGTTTATTTTCAAAAGGATAGTGTTGAGAAGCATAAGGCATAGCACCAGATTCAAACCAACAATCAAAGACTTCTTCAATACGGTGCAAATCACCCTTTCCTTGTTTAGATGGAATAGTAATGTGATCAATATTGTCTCTGTGAATATCTGTAATATTAGAAACACCACTTAATCTTTGTAATTCTTCAATTGAGCCAACACAAACAACCTCTTCAAAATCCTCACTAACCCATAAAGGAATTGGAGTACCCCAATATCTTGATCTTGAAAAATTCCAATCTCTTGCATTTTTAATCCATTGAGTGAATCTATTTTTGACTGTTTCAGGAACCCAATTAGTTTTTTCAACATTTGATAACATTTCAGGAACGATTTCTTTAACTTTAATAAACCAAGCAGGAATGGTTCTATTAATTAAAGGAGTGTCTGATCTCCAACAAAAGGCATATTTATGTGTAACTTGATTATTGACAAGGATTCTGTTTTGGTTGAGCAAATGTTTAATGATTAGTTTATTGGCATCTTTAATATATAAACCTTTAAAATCTGTAACTTCGTCAGTAAAACAACCCAAGTCATCTAATGGACAAGGAGGAGATCTAAATTCATTGATGATTCCATGAGCAGTACAAGCAAGGAAATCATCTTCACCATGAGCAGGAGCTTGATGAACCAAACCGGTACCACTTTCGTTAGAAACATAGTCTGCTGAGATGACTTTAAAACCATAATCTTTGAATTCATCATAAAAGTAATCAAATAAAGGCTTGTACTTCAAACCAACTAAATCCTTGCCCTTGATTTTTTCCACAATCTTGAATTTTTCCTTCTTTGGTTTCTTGTATAAGGTGGTAATTAAAGATTCCAATAAGATGAAATACTGGTCTCTCTTTTCATCATAAATCTTGACATATTCAAATTCTGAGTTGATACAGACAGCCAAATTGGAAGGTAGAGTCCAAGGAGTTGTTGTCCAGGCAAGAAGAGAAACTTTTGGGTCGTCAAGCAATGGGAAAGAAATAGTTATGGCAGGATCTAAAACCTCTTTATAGTTTTGTTGAGCTTCAAAAGTTGATAATGGAGTTGTTAAACCAGTTGAGTAAGGCATAACTCTATATCCTCTGTAAACTTTATCGCTTTCATACAATTGTTTAAAAAGCCACCAAGTTGACTCCATAAAAGTTGGATATAAAGTTTTATAATCATTTTCGAAATCAATCCATCTGCCTAGTCTTGAAATTGTTATTTTCCATTCTTTTGCATATCTCATAACAATTTTTCTACATTCGCTGTTATAGTTCTTGATTCCTAATTTCATGACATCAGTTTTATCTTTAATTCCCAATTTCTTGTCAATTTCATGTTCAACAGGAACACCATGAGTATCCCAGCCAAATCTTCTTTCGACAAAACTACCATTCATATTAGCGAATCTAGGCACTATATCCTTGACAGTTGAAGCTAGAATATGACCATAATGAGGCAAACCAGTTGCAAAAGGTGGACCATCATAAAAGGTGAAAACAGATTGGTTTTCACGTAGTTTATTTGAGGTTTGAAAAGCATCAATTTCATTCCAAAATTTTAAGATTTTCTCCTCCTCTTGAGGAAAAGAAAAAGAAGTTGCCATTTCTGAAACCTAATATGTTAATTGGCAATAGACTGGTGTTATATCAAGCAAAAAGGACTGATAGAGAAGACCAATTGACAAACTATAGCAAGAGATGATTTTTATAGTGGCAGCTTTGAAATGGCAAAAATTAGTCACAGACCTGAAAAATTTTGAATTACAAATAACGCGACTGATAAGAAAAAAGAGCCTTGCGTTTTGGACAGAAGTGCGTGACAAACGGCGCGTGAGCAGACTGTGGCTGGTGCAGCCCGGAAGTTAAACTTTGCAAAATAAGAGTTTCAGCAGAACGTGTTGATTGGTCAGAACAGCATGCGTCATTACAATATATGCAACAGTCTGCACGCATGCACATCTAACAAGCATAAGATAATCCGAGAACCAAGAATGTAATACAGTGGCATGCTATTGCATACATACTGTAGCATGATTATGCAGGAAATTGCTGTTTTGTGCTTGTATTGTTAGTAGGGTAACTCTTATCGCTTGCTCGCATACTTGCGTAGGGTAATGTGTTTCTCTGCTGGGTCCGATATATTTAACGAACAAATTTATGGGGTCTTGATGGTTTATTGTGTTATTGACCATTGATCATTGGGTATTAAATATTCCTAAGATATATCTGCTACTGAATTTGTTTTTGCGACTACTGTCATTTAATCCTTGAGAAATGGCTTTTGTTCAGCTGTACATTGATGAATTTTTATCACTAAATTCACCTTCTTATGTATCAAACTACATTTCAATATCATTTTTCACATTAGCATTGACTATACTCTCTTCTTTTTTCATCAAGTTCATTTTTTTCAACAATAAGGAGTTACCTATAGTTAGTTTTGATGTTCAAATCCCTGAAGAAGCTAAACCTCATTGGAAAGGCAAAAGATTACCGATTCCCTCGTTAATTGATCCTAATAATCCAGAGATAATTCAATCATATTGTCCAGCAACTGGCCAATATTTAGGTTCTTTTACATCCTTCAATAAAACTCAAATTGACCAGTCGATAAACGAGGCTCTAGATGCTAAGAAAGAATGGTCAAACTCGACCTTCAAACAAAGAAAACGGGTATTAAGATCATTAAGCGAGTATATATTAAAAAACCAGCACAGTATTGCTAGAGTTGCTTGTAGAGATTCTGGTAAGACAATGATTGATGCTTCAATGGGAGAAATTTTTGTTACCTTAGAAAAGATTAATTGGATTTTAAAACATGGCGAAAGAATTTTAAACAATTCAAATAGACCTGGTCCTTCAAACTTGCTAATGTTTTATAAAAAAGCTCAAATAAGATATTATCCATTAAATGGTCTTTGTGCTGCATTGATTTCATGGAATTATCCATTTCACAACCTTATGGGGCCAATCATTGCTTCAATTTTCACTGGAAATGCGATTATAATTAAATGTTCAGAATCAGTTATTTGGTCAAGCAACATTTTCATAAAGATTGTTAAAAATTGTTTGATTGCTTGTAATCAAAATCCAAATTTAGTTCAATTGATTTACACCTGGCCAAATGTAGCCGATTATTTCACTTCCCATCCTTCTTTATCTCATATAACCTTTATTGGCTCAAGACCTGTTGCTCATCATGTAGTCAAGGCTGCTTCTGTTTCTTTAACACCGGTTGTTTTAGAACTAGGTGGAAAGGATCCATTTATAGTATTAGAAGATGCTAAGAATCTTGATCAAATTGCTTCAATTATAATGAGGGGTTCATTTCAATCTGCTGGTCAAAATTGTATTGGAATTGAAAGGGTTATAATAGTTGGTGATAAAAATTATAATTATCTTTCTAATATTTTATTCGAAAAGGTCAAATTATTGAGATTGGGTTCAGATATTGATCAACTAGAGGAAATTGATATGGGTGCTATAATTACTAATCAAAGATTTGAAGATTTAGAGTTAAGACTAAAAAAATCTGTTGAAAAAGGCGCTAAAATATTATATGGTGGTCATAAATATAACCACCCAAACTATCCTCAAGGGCATTATTTTTCACCAACTTTAATTGTAGACGTCACAAAAGACATGGATATTGCAACTGAAGAAAATTTTGCCCCAATTTTAACAATTTTAAAAGCTGATGATACTAATGATGCAATTGAGATTGCAAACTCAAACGAATATGGGTTAGGTGCTTCAGTATTTGGAGAAAACTGGAAAAATTTGAACTTTGTGGTTGATTCACTCAAATCTGGTAATGTTGCAGTTAATGATTTTGCTACATTTTATCTTTGTCAACTACCCTTTGGTGGTTGTAAGGGTTCTGGCTACGGTAAGTTCAACGGTGAAGAAGGTTTAAGAGGGTTGTGTATTGAAAAATCAGTTTGCTACGATAAGTTTCCATTCATAAAGACTCAAATTCCCAAGCCAATAGACTATCCTATTAATGACGAGAAAAAAGCGTGGAATTTTGTTAGTTCCTTGAGTGTAAGTGGATATTCAACAAGCTTATGGTCTAGAGCAAAATCAGTTGTTACACTAGCTAAAAACGCCAGCTGATGTCAGTTACTCACAATTATACCATGGGCATTCGGCTCTTTTTTTTCTCATAGCCTATAACTATATACACATTGCCTCTTTATTAATATTCATCAATGCTTCAAGCACCAGTTTTTTTCTTTTCGATACTTTTGAACATTGACAGAAAATTTTCGTGGTGCACCGAGATTTTTGAAGGTGCGTCTCTGCGGTCTGTGCATATATAGCGATAGCATGCATGTTCCTGCAGTAACTCCCCCCCCCCCCAAACTGAAAATAAGTGACGATTTTTCAGCAGAAACAGCACAAAATAAAGCTGTTTCTTGATGTTTGCCTCAATTGGAAAGAACATTGTTGGGAAAATGCTTGGGGTTTTGGACTGCAATTGATCTCAGTGGTTTTATGATATTGAGAGAATAAAGAAGAATAGTAACTTGTTTCATCAACCAAAAGCCTTGGGTTTTGATTATTTGATCATTGGTTTATTGAAAGACTATTATCTAAATATCTCATTGCTTTCACAATTCCAATGTATAATTGTTATTTCTTTATAGCAATTTCTAGAATGATTTTGGCTGTGAAGAGTAAATTTTAGAACTGCTTTATTCAATTATCTTTGCCAGAAAAAATCAATTTCAGTTTTGAATTCAAACTTTTCAAGTTAGTGAACTTTTTTAGTTTGTCTAAATTAAATTAAAAATGAAAACAATAAGTTTGCAAGTTTTTTATTTTGATCTAATATATTCAAAAAATAAAAAATTGTCATTTAGTCAGTTTTTTTGAAAATCTGATTTCAGAAAATTTGATTAATTTCAATCAACTGAATTTACGGCAATTTAAACTTATTAACATAGTTTAAATAATCAAAACAAAACAAAAAAAGAAAAATGAACACTATTTTACTGAACACTTGAAAATCATTATTTAGCTAGAATTTTGGAAAATTTTGAATGCCTTAAAAAAAATAATTTAAATTAACTACAGGTTTGCCAATATTTTCTCAATAACTTAATTAGTGGATTTTTATTATCTAATCAACTTGAGAATACCAAATTTACAAAACATTTACAAAAGATGATGAACCCTAATGAATACTACTTTTTACTGAAAATTGAATTTGACAAATTATCAGTCAGTAAATAAGCGTTGGATATTTTTTGTTTGGTATTTAAAAAAAGAAAATCTTAATTGTTTGATTAATTAATAGAAACAGAAATTGTTCATTTAGAGGGAAATAAACTTTAAAGCAATGAAATTTCGGAATTCTGCTCTTATATCGCAAACGTATTTGGTTAACCAAGAAAAAAAAGCGATTTACTTTGTAAGCGGTTTTACTTTGTAAGTGATTTTATTTTGTAAAAGTGATGAAAATTGAATGATGTTATAAATTGTTTTAAAAGTGATAAGTTTGATAGATAAATTAATAGATTATCAAAATATGAATTGCTATCTAACAATTGGTACTATTATTATGCAAATAGCTATTATTTTTGAAGATTTAAGAAAAAAACAAAAAAGTGATAAGATAAAATTGAATAAAATTAGATAAGATAAAATTGAATAAAATTAGATAAGATAAAATAAGATAAGATAAAGTGGATCAACAAAAAAATGGTAAATGGAAATAAGATAAAAATAAATCATTAAAAACTTAATTATAGAAACTTATTAATATTCATCATCTAATGAGTCGGAAGCAACTTCGAGATAATCTCTTTCAAGAGCAGCTAAATCTTCTCTAGCCTCATTGAATTCACCTTCTTCCATACCTTCACCGACATACCAGTGAACGAAAGCTCTTTTGTTGTACATTAAGTCGAATTTTTGATCGATTCTCTTCCAAGCGTCAGCGATGGCAGTTGTATTACTTAACATACAGACGGCTCTTTGAACGTTTGATAAATCACTTGAGGGTAATTGAGTTGGAGGTTCATAGCAAATACCGATTTTGAAACCAGTTGGACACCAGGAAACCATTTGTACTGTTTTTTTTTGCTTAATGTTTGCAACGGCTTGTTGGACATCTCTTGTAACAACATCACCTCTATATAAGAGACAAGTGGCCATGTATTTGCCCAATCTTGGGTCGCATTTGACCATTTGGTTGCCAGGTTCGATACAAGCGTTTGTGATTTCATTGACGGAGTTTGATTCATGTAAGGATTTTGATTTTGAGATAATTGGAGCATAGGAAACTAAGGGGAAATGAATTCTTGGATAAGGAACTAAATTTGTTTGAAATTCGTTTAAATCGACGTTTAATGAACCATCGAATCGCAATGAGGCGGTGACGGAGGAGATGACTTGGGCTATTAATTGGTTCAAGGTGTTGAAGTTTGGTCTAGCGATATCTAAGTTACGTCTTGAGATGTCGTAAATGGCTTCGTTATCAACCATGAAGGTAACGTCGGAGTGTTCTAAAGTTGTGTGAGTGGTTAAAACGGTGTTGTAAGGCTCGACAATTGAGGTTGAGTTTTGAGGAGCAGGATAAACAGCAAATTCCAATTTAGCCTTTTTGGAGTAGTCCATTGATAAGTGTTCTAACAAAAGCGAACCTAGACCAGAACCAGTACCACCACCTAAGGAGTGGTTAAAAATGAAACCTTGCAAACCATCGCACTGATCAGCCATTTTTCTTAGTTTATCCAAGACAGTATCTAAGATTTCTCTGCCGACAGTGTAGTGGCCTCTGGCGTAATTATTTGCAGCATCCTCTTTACCGTTGATTAATTGGTCAGGGTGGAAGAAATTTTTGAAAGTACCAGTTCTAATTTCGTCAATTACGTTGGGTTCCAAGTCGATAGATAGGGATCTTGGGATGTATTTACCACCGGAAGTTTGGTGGAAAAAAGTTGAAAAGCCTTCTTCACCACCTTTTGGTCTTGATAAACCATCGATTAAGTAACCATCGGGTTTGATGCCATGTTCTAGAGAATATAGTTCCCAACATGAGTTACCAATTTGACAACCTGCTTGACCGACTGTTTATAAAAGAAAACGAAAGAAAAAAAAGGAAAAAAAGGAAAAAAAAAACAAAAAAAAACAACGAGTAGAGTAGATTTATATCAGCGGTTAGTTATATGTTGGGATTCAATTTGAGAGAGAAGATTTGGTAAAAAAAGAAAAAAGAGAAAAGAGAAAAAAATAAGATAACAATTGTGATTGTGATTGTGATTGTGATTGTGATTGTGATTGTGATTGTAATTACGTACCATTAATATTTATAACCTCTCTCATTTTTGGATACAGACTAATGAAATAATGGATTAGGATAGATTAAATTGAAACAGAACGAAATAAATTAGATAATGGTTGGGTCAAATAAAATGAAATAAAATAAAATAGGATAAAATAGGATAAAAGTGAATTGGAATTCGATTGATTAGAGTGAAATTGAGTTCTGTTGAGTTCTATTGAGTTGACAAGCAGAATAGAATTGAATGGGAAAGTAATTTGAGGATGAATCTCAATTTGGTGTGAATATTGTGAACCTGGCGTTAAAGAAGATAGCCCTTGATGGTTAATAGTGCCCCAATAAATGGTAAATGGTTGAATGTGTTTGTTGTAACTGCTACAGCTGTGAAAAAGCTCCTTTCTTTAGCACAGAATTCAGCTGAGTTGTTTGTAAAATTTCACTCAGGCCAATTTGTGAGGAAATGTAAACAAAGAGTGCGGGCAGAATAGTCACGCATTGCGACACGCGAATTACACGCGCATGACACGTACTATTTCACGCACTATATCATGCCTCACGCCTCACGCGTGGTTGCACGTGATCTGTACCATAATGCTGGTCTCGGTTGGTCTCCGGCTGACATGGCTTTAGTCAAATCATGATTTAGATTTTATTGGGTATCATTCAAAGACTATTGTATCGCCATTATCGAGTGATAATAGCAAAGAAACACAAGTTTTTATGAGTGTTGTAACGGCATTGTGATCTAGTACAGTACTAGTATAGTTAGCTGAAATACAGGCTAAAATTCGCCAATTAATTCAAATACAAGAGCGGTACCAAGTTAAAGATTTGTCCTACTTTATTGTTTATTGTTTTTTATTGTTTTTTTCGAGGTTCGGCGAAACCATTTCTGAATAAATATTAAGCAATGTTTTCTTATTTGGGTGATTTGATATTGGTATTGTTAATGGTCTAGGTCAAATTGTGAGGTTAAACTGGATTGGCCATGGTTACGCTAGCTACTCCAAGATTATTTTAAAACATTTTCAAGACAGGATTGTAGTGTAAGCCAATAATTAATAGACAAGTATTATTAAATTATTGCAGAGTAGTTTGTATTCTTGTATATATACATTATACACCATCACACACCATCACTCACTATCACTACTATGGTGGGTAGTTTGTGTGATGGAAAAGTAACCAGATTTTTTTTTTTTCATATCAATTAATATTTAATATTTAATATTTAATATTTAATATTTAATATTTAATATTTGATACGATAGTTGGTATTTGATATAAAATTAATAACAAGTTTTAAGAAAACTTAATGAGATCCAAGAAATCATACGACTTGACAATAAAAATGTACTAATAAAAATGTACAATACCTTAGCGAATGTATCAAATTGATGTTGGCAACTACTTTAAAATTTATGTTTTTTTTTCTTTCATTTATCCTACAATTATACATTACATATTAAATATTACATTATACTTACCCATACCCTCGCCTATAACCTATACTCCTATGTTGTAAGTAGCAGGATTGGTTTTCTGTAATGAATATTGAAATTGCAAATGTAAGAGCAACTTTAACTATTAGTGAATATTAGTAAATTAGCTTGAAACTATTTAGAGATTATAAAAATCTTAGTTTTTGGAATATTTTATTAAATAATTTGATGATAAAACCAAGTAAAGTGTGAATAACAATATAATTCATCAAAAGTATCTTGAATAATCTTGTTTAACTTTTTTTTTTTCTCATTTATTTCTCTCAAAATTTTGGTTTTAAAGTGAAGAGTGAAAATTTAAGTGAATATGTTAGACATAAAATTGAGAAAAGAATGCAACAAAAATGCAAAAAAACTAATCCGTGTTCATTTATTAGTGTTGATTATGGTGTTTAGATTGTACTGTTTTCAAAACAGAAAATTGTATCTCAGGAGCACAACTAAAAAACTTGTTTTGTTTTTGCAGGGTATAATCACCTGACTTGTGTATACAGGTTACGTAATTAGTCATCCAAAGAGCACTTAGAGTGCGGTCATGCTGGATCATATGTATAGGGGTGGAATTGAGATCTAGAGTTCAGCAAGTGAGAGTCGGGGAGTAGTGATGATAAAGTTGGTGCTAGCTAGACACTTAAAATACTGTTCTGTTGTTGTATTTTAAATTTGATAGCACTGCTACCAATATTCAGCCTGTCCTTTTACTGATTAGAGAATTGATCAAAGAACTGATCAGAGAATTGATTAATTGGTGTTGTTCGCTCTTTGGCGAGCAACCGAAGAGAGTTCGAAAGCAACGATTGTTGAGATGATCTGATATTGCACAGATAAAGCGCATTAGAGTTTGTATTTCCCAAGAAATAAGACACTTCAGCAGCAATTTGGGAAAAGTGTGTTCACTTTTACAGCTCACATTATCTCTTAAAATAATAATCTTGTTTTCCTGTACATCGCAAGTGGCTGCAAAAGTGGGAGATAATAGGTGGTATTGCACAAGGGCAACATGATACAGCGTCTGTAGCGTTTGTGGAAGTGGTATATCCTGGGAGCGAGTCCTGATAACGTCCAAATAATTCAAGTAAAACGCAGTCTTTCTGAATCGCGAGCAAATAAAGAAAAAAAACTTTTTCAAAAGTTTGGAATTAGAGACTACTTCAGTCCCTTTCAAATTGCAAACACAAAAAGTGAGGAACTGGAGTATTGGGAGCAAAAAGAAAATACTTTTCTGACACATTTGCTATCTCCATTTCTCTCTAAAAAGAGCAGAAACAAAAGAGAAAAAAGAAAAAGAAAAAAAAAAAAAAAGAAAAACCAGAATACACTAACTACATGAAATTGTGTAGCACTCCAAAAAGTAGTTGTTGTGCTTGAAAAAGCAAATTTGTTTGAATCAAGAAACAATAATTACCAAAAATCCCAATTTCTGGCTGTGATAAACACTGGCTGCACGTGTGTCGCTGCGTTTGTTTTTTTCGTTTTCCGTTTTTTTCTTGTTTTGTGTCATTCTTTTGAATTACGAAAACATTGGTAATGTTATTTTTGTTGCCTAAAATGATGCGCGACCTGCCTTTGGGCACATTTCGCAAAGTGAGTTGTTCGATTTTCCAGAATATTCAGCAGGAAAAATGCCCACCTTTTTATCCATCTCCCTGATAAGAAACTGCTTAATCAACAATAGCCTTCCAAGGTTGGATTTGGTACCTCCTACCTTATTGATTCTTAATTTCGAAAAACTGCACCGGAGCTTTGCTGCAAACTGATAGTTCGACTATTGAGCCAGAAAGATATCCAGCTTCTCAAAACCAGTCAATTTAGAGCAAACTGTAATTGCTTTCTGCTAATTCAAACAATTGTGCTTTGCTCCCACAACGTTAGCAATATTTGCCCAAGACAAATCAGTTTCCGCTATCAGGAAACTCTATTGTTCACCTGTACTGCTAGCGGAATAAAGCCCAAAAAAGTTTGATTGGGCAGAAAACTATAAAGGTCTTTTACGATGGAGGCGAGAAGGCGCCCTTCGAAAATGAAACCTATATATTGCTTACCGCTTGTTCGGCTATATCCAAGCGCCTTCACAGCTTCATCTGCTTTAGTGCTCTATTGCTCGTCCGACCATTCCTCTTCCAAGTCTGGAACAATAAAAACTACTGCACCTGTTGAAACCGTCACAACAGTCGCAACCGTCTTATTGGCTAGCGCTTGCCCAGCCAATCAGTAGCACCCCCTTCAGCCCACACTCTGCAGCGGCGGCACTCAATCGGCTACTTGCGGTAGCTGCTTACCTAATACATGCATAAGTCTATGCTGCGGTCTTCCGAAGCGTGGTAGAGTGGTGTTTGCTCGTTTGCCAATCGCCGCCCCTGCTCAAGCGGAACACAAATACCATAGCAGAAAAACGTTTTATTTTGTGTTCACATGGCGCAGATCTAACGCTTTCTGTAATGCATGCTGCATGCGTGTTCCACTTATTATTCAACCCTAAAGCTTAATGGCGGACAAGTACAAATGAGTCTAATTTCTTTTCATTTTCAACCTCCTTTGATTTTATGTTTTTCTTAAGTTTTTGATTTGTTTAATTTCGATAATATTTCCAATTTTTCTTTTTTTAGTGGGTTTGAATCTTGCTTTTCTTCCTATGTTTTGAGTTTTTCTGATAATTTGGGATAATTTTTATTATTTCTGCTCTGTTATTTTATTCTTTCTTTCTTTCTTTCTTTCTCTGTTTCATTTTGTTTCTTTGATTCGGTTTTCGTCTTTCATTTGAGAGTTGGAATTTTTTTCTGCTTTTCTCTTATTTTATTTTGCTCCACCTTCACTTTCCATTCCAATTTTCATCTACAAGTCTATTCTACTGCTCACGTCTTTATAAAAGAATTTTCTTGATACAATGACAATTATCAGTCAATAACAACAACCAACAATTACTTCACTAATTTTAAATTTTAAATTCTTTTAACCTCTCCCTCAAGAAAGATACTTATTTATCTTCACTATTCACTAAAAAAGACATATTATTTTAACCCATATTCATATTTCAAAATCCACATTCAACACACAATATTCAGCTTCTCATATCCAAATAACCACTTTACTAATCACCAATCTCTATCTTCCACCACCATTTCATTTTATTATCAGTTTACAATCAAAATTCTTGTTTTAAAAAACCTAATAACAGAAAAAAATTCAGTTACTCCCTAGTACCACCCTCTACTAAAAAAAGACTATTTCATATTTTTATCTCTTATTTAGTGCTTCTTGTTGATTAGTTTTATTATTTAATATTTAATATTTAGTATTTATCTAATTATTATTTAATTATTATTTATTATTTATTATTTATTATTTATTATTTATTTAATCCTGGTTCTATTCTTCAATTCTCAATTATTTGATCTCACCTCCTACAAAAGACCCAAGTTTCTTATAAATATCTATCCAAAAATTATCTCAATCCAATTTAAATTCAATAAAATCTGAATTATCTTAAACCATTTTAAACCATTTTAAATTTAAATTTTATTTCACTTTAAATTTAAAATTTTTTTGCTTACTTTAAAACTAGCTTCTAATAAAGTCCATTCTTATTTTATTCCTCTTTTCATTCAACTGAAAATTATCTAATAAAATACTTTACCAATTACAAATATTTCATCTGTTTTATTTGTTTCTTACTTATTCACTTATTATACTATTTTATTTTATTTTCCTTTTCTTTCCTTTCCTTTTCTTTCTTTTATTTACATTAATTTACACTAATTCAATTTAATTGATTTTATTTATATTAAATTGTTTCCTATAGTTCAATTTATATTATTTCTAATCAATTCTTCAGATCCTTAAATCTTTTATTTATTTTTTTCCTTTTGTTTTTATTTTTTTGCTTTTTCTTTCTCTTCCTTTTCCTTTTCCTTTTCCTTTTCCTCTTCCTGCTTCTTTTTTTCTTTTTTCTTTTCTTCTTTTCTTTGTTTCTCTTTCTTTCTTCAAATCCAATTTAGATAACTACTTTCCTTTTCTCTGCTATAAATAATTAAAAAGTAATTATCCTTAATTGAATTTCTCCTCCTCTTATATCATCCTCCCAAGAAAGACCTCAAAGAGACTTAAAGACAAGACTTAAAGTAAAGACTTAAAGATAAGACTTAAAGAATAACTACATTTAATATCCAATCAAGTTAATTAACACTATTTTTATTTTCCATCTATTCATTCCACCTCCCAATCACCCAATCACCCAATTTATTCAATCACCTAATTTATTTATCATCCTATTAATAATATATCTACAATGCTGGCAATTGCCCAACAAACCCCACAGACCTCTTTCAAATCAATAGCCTCTGGTCTCGTCAACAGAATAAGCTCCCTATTGTCTGTACAAACTTCCTATTCAATTGCTGAAACTGAATCTGATCCTATCTTCATATCAACAAGAAAAAACTTGCTTTCCTTAGCAACAACTCCTGTTTTCCCTGATTTACTCGACGCATGCATCAATCTCCTAGACTCCTACAACAAACAAGATAAATACCTCCCTATCAAAAAGAGATCTGACGAATCCCTCAAATGCATCTCGATAATAACAACTCTACTATCAGACATCACCGAGAAAAACTGGTCTGCAAAAGAAAACCATGGCTTGTCCATTGTCAACTCCCAATCAACATCTTCTACCTCTGGTTCTGATAAAGATATACCTCATACTGTCAAAGCTGACGCCTTAAACACTGCCTGTGTTGCAAAATACTTGAATGTTTTGATAAAACTAAAATCAAACAAAACTGTCAAAAGTGAGCTAGAGATAATCGAGGGCGTTTCCTCCCAATTGGAGTACTTCAACTCAAAATTCATCATAGGTGATATCGACTACAGTGTCACTGCTATAATAAGATACATTGGCTCCTCTAACCAATTGGATTTCTCAGATTTTGTCATGAACTCAATAGGCAATCTAAAACCACAGTCCCATGTAAAAGATGCTGATTGCTTGCCCTATTTCGAGCTAATCGGTTATATATATCTTGATGAAACATACTTGTTAAGAATATTCAAAGATGCTTGGATTCTATTCAATCTCGTCAAATCCCCAATTTTACAACAATTGGCCCTAGCTTTTTTCGTTAAAGCTATAAGATACTGGTTAACTGCTAGACCAGAGGAGTATTTATCCTGCACAAGAGGCGATCAAATCATTGTCAGAGAATCTGAAAATCTATTTGATTACGTTTATTCGTCCTTTTACAATGGAAAGAACTCAAGAGTCGCCGTAAGACTATTGACCACTTTGATCATCTTGATCCCCAAATCCTTTGAAAACTACAACAATTCCTCCAAGGCAAAATTACTATTAACCTCAAACACCTTTAATAAAAAACAAAAGTTTTTGTCAACGATGGTTAAAAATTTAAACCAAATCACCAAAGATCCTCCTCCAATAATCTCAATTAATGATACTACTACAACTAATGCTACCGATGAAATTGTAAATGTTGAGAGTTTTACAACGTTCTTCAGTTTTGCTGGTCTCCTATATAGATATGAACCAAATCACTCATTAGTCACCTTTGCACTAAACTACAACGACTGTTTATTTGATCTTTTGCATCCTGCTTATCGTGACACCTCAGATTGCATTGACAATTCACTATATGACACCTTGAGAAGAGACTATTATACTGCCTCGATATTGCTTTTCCCTGAAAAAGCTATTCACGATGTTTTTTCAGTGTTTAACGATCCCAACAGTAGTTTGACTCAAATTTATAGCTACATGTCAAATATCAGGACTTTCAGTAAAAATCCTCGTGCTAGAGAGCAGTTCGAAGCATTTTTGGACCAAATTGTTATCTCTTTGAGAAATTCTGCTCTAAGAGTCTCTGATATAGTTAAAGATACGGTTTTTGATTTTGAATCAATGGTAAGCTCTTCAAACTCAGACAACTCTAATAGTGATTTTAATTATTCCATGACATATTCTAGTGGGAAAACTATATCCCAACATAGCAATCCTTCTTCCTATGGTGTGGATGGCCAAAACATGAAATTAAATGGCAATCTTTTATCATCAAGCAATAGTATCTCAAACTTTTCAATGACCAGTGGTGGTTCTAATCATTCAAACAAGGCTAATTTTATTCTTTCATCCAGTTCTCCAGCTTCTTCCATCCCTCCTTTGAGAAAAGATGCTTCAAATGTAACAAATGGCAATGGTATTTCCAATGGTGTCAATGGTGGTTCAAAATCGAGATCTAAAAAGGAAGCTGCAAGACACTTGTTCAAATATGATAAACATGACAAAAGATCCTCAAGTTCTAATCAGCCAAAATCTCCTTTCTCTCCACCTCCTTCTACATTATCAAGCTCGGCTACCATTGGAACCGGAGCCTCATCCAATTATTCGGGCAGTTATGGTTTATCTGCATCTACAACTGTCAATACTGCAACACCTTCAACGGTGGATTCAATAGTGAGTGCAAACACACAACTAGATATGAGAAAAGCAGAGGCCTCTGAATACCGTAGAAGGAGAGCTAACCCAACTTTGATTTCAAGAGAAATCTTGAAAGAATTTTTAGGTATATTCAGACCTTGTCCATTTAAATTCTTTAAAACAGAAAAGTCCAATTTTTCGAATTTTACATCTAATTCCAATGAACAAGTAGTTGCTGCACAGGAATCAGGTTTCTTATTAACTGAAATGGACGATTACTTACAGATTGCAACAATTGCTATTTGTGACACCAACACCAAGTTAGTTGAAATGGGAAGAAGATTTTGTTTAAGATTCATGAACTTGGACGATAGCCCATCCTACTATCAAATTTATAGTGGGTTTTTCTCTTCTGGTTGGTGTATTAGATCGCTTTCTAGGTCTCTATTAAATTACAGATTAACCGACAAAAAACTAAAAGAATTATTGGCCATAATAGTCCAGTTTATTGACTACAGAAACGCTATAGTTGAACAAATGAATGTTGATGATTTATTTGATAATATTGGCAGTGGTGCTCATGGCTTTTGCAAGTCATTGTATACTGAATTGGAAAAAATCATTTATATATGTCTCTGTTCACCAGATGTTGATATTTATAGATTGGTCAAAAAAACAGCTAAGGTTATGATTGATGAATTGAATTCTGGGTACAGACACCATAAAATTATTAGAGAAGAGTCTAATGAATTGTTTTTGAGTAGAATAGGTAATGATGACTATTTTGTTAGTGGTGCTGTTGCATTGCAAAAAAGAATTAGAAAGTTTTTGCTTCAATATGGCAATAAATTATCAGTTGGTTTACAAGAATGTTTGGATATCATGTATGAGAGATGGCTTGAACACACAAAGATCAAATCTCCCAGCAAAATAGACATTATAGAACATCGTAATTATTCTGGGTTTATTGCTGTTACTTCTGGTCTTGTATTGGATTCAGAAGCTGACTCTTCAAGCACTCTGAAGGACAAAGGTTATGTTAAAAGTTTAATTAACAGAAAAATGGACATGCTAGCAAGCGATGATTTAACGATGAAAGAAAATGCCAAAGATGTTTTATCATCAGAATTGCATCCTTCTTCTCAAAGAATACTTTTAGAAATGATTGAAGAAAAAGTAAATAAATTTTCCTACAAAAAGGGTGAATTGGATGAAAGCGAGTTATCATTAGTTGAATGTTATGTTATCATTATAAAAGGCTGCATGGCTTCTGGAAATAAATTGAGGAACTTTGAAAATTCTGACAAGTTTATCTGGATATCCAATTCTGCTTGTGCTTTGATTGATGCCCAGCAAGCTTCCCAGCAAGTCGACACCATTGTATTAAGGCTAATGGTAAGAGCCTGTCGATTGTTCCAAAGACTTATGCTATATAGGGAGCAGCTTTGCTTAAGAGCTGGTATGATTAAGGTTGAGTACTTAAATTATGCTGTCAGTTGGCTAGAAGAATCAGTATTTAGAGATAAATATAAGTCTAGAAGCAAAGACAAAGCAGACGAGAATTCAAGAAGCAAAAAAGAAATGGAGTATCTTTTTTCTGATCTTTCTGTGGAATCCAGCAAAGCGATTGCTGTCCTACTAGAAGGCATGGTATTGGAATCCCCAAGTGCTCAGCATCCCAGAGAGTTTATTGTGGCCAGAGCTTTTTCTTTCAACAACTACTTTACATTGTTTTTAAGAGTATTGGAGCGTTTTTCTGCTAGAGCTGGTTCTAAAGACATGTTTTCTGTGTCCAAACAAAAAGCCGGTATAATTATGGAGCAAATGATCAATTCTCTAAGTAATATGCTTGGTCGCAACCATCGTTGGGGTATGCAATTCGCTATTCCTCTTGGTTTCCACGAAGACCACAGAGTTCGTTTGTCGTTTTTAAAGGTTTTTAACAATGTTATAAAGTCTCTTCACGAAGAGACAAATGAAACTCAGGAATCAAAAGAGGAATATTATTTAGATGCAACCAAAGTCCTTTTAAGCTCTAAAATATTTCTTTTAGTCTGCTCTGATGCCTGTCCTTCTTCTGAAGTTGATTCGTATTCTAAATCATTATTGTCTTGGAATGAGTCTATTGGAAATTCTGTGATTTGCATTAATGATTTCATTTCATGGGAAATTAAAAAGTCCTCCTCTATTGTGGATATTCTCAGAAGAAATATTGTACCAAGTAGAGTCCTATCGATGTATGCTAAAGATCATGGTTCTGCATATCTTATTGAGACGTTGCGTCCAGTTCTTAATGGTTTAGTAAAAAATAATGATTTCTTTGAAGTTGAAAAAATACAGCCAGGAGAACCTGGTGCTGAACAAAATCTTAATAAGTTCATGTACTACCTAAAGAAGTTGGTGGAAGATATTTATAATTCTATTGACATAGTTCCCCTTGAGTTCAAATCAATTTGCGCTCATATGAGAAAAGAAGCTGCTAAAAAGGCAACAGAAACTACTGCTATTGTTTTAGTTGGTTCTTTTATGTTTTTGCGTTTTTTGTGTCCAGCTGTTGTCAGTCCAGAGTCTGAAAATTTATTGGATTCTCCACCAAATAAACAAAGCAAGAGATCTTTGATTTTATTAGCCAAAGTACTTCAAAATATTGCCAATGGTTCTTTAACTTCGTTAAAATGGCCGTTGTTGCTAAGCAGAATGGATGAGCTTAATAAACTAAATGATAAAATTTTCAAATTCTTGCGATTAATCTCCAAAGACAATGGATATCAAGAAAAGTTTGATATCTCTAGTATTAAGCTTTATTTACCATTAGATTATCACAAATTTTGCTATCGTCATATGCAAGAAATTAGACATAACGTTCTTGATTACAAGAATGACTATGGAGTTCCTCTTGAAGAAAAATACAAACTTATAAACAAACTTGACGAGTTTGCTTTGAAAATTGGTCCTCCTATTGATTTATATTACTGTCGTATACCAGAAAATATCAAACATAACGATACCAAAAATGAACTATATGATTTCATGAATAAACATGCTGATGCAAATATTGATGTTATTGTGGATAGTCCATTTCTTCAACAAAAAATTGCTAGAGATGGAACTCCAATGTTGGTTTTCTCATACTTTTATTACCAACAATTAGATATTGATCAAGAACTAATTCTTTTTAGAATGTTTCAACTTGCAAGCAGAGTTTGGGACAGCAAATATTATGTTGTTGTGGATTGCTCTCGTTTTAAAAAAGATCACTCGATTCCTTTATTTGAAGAAATGGAATTATTGGCACCTGAACCAATGAAAAAGAATTGTGTCAGTATGTTCTATTACAATGTTTGTGATGGGTATCTCCCAATCTTGGTTGAAAACATCAAACAACGTGAAAAGGGTGGTTTGTTCAACCCATTTAACGTTCGTTACTCATTCTTATCGATGTTTGATGATCCACGTCTTATTCATACATTGGGTTTATCGAAACACAGTTTGAATATTTTAAATCAAGTTAGAATCACCTTTACTGATTTTGAAATGTACCTGCCAGAGCAAAAGAAATACTTTCCTGGTATAATCAAGGTTGGAGGTAAGTATACATCATTTGGATTGGCTCATCCAAGAAGATTAAAAATTGCTGGTTCAATTAAAAGTGTGAGAGTTGTGAATGTTCGTCGTGATATTTGTTTTGCTGAATCTTCTTTAAGTCACTATACTGATAATCCTTATGAGTTTAGTTTATATGATAATGTTGATAAAAAACAATTGATTTTTGCTTGTCCTAGAAGATTTGAATTGATCAGAACTGTTTATATTTCAAAACTTTCAAAAAACAACAAGTCTTTGGATAACTTGGATACTATTCAAGAACTTCAACCTATTGAATTGTTGCCTGAGGTGCTATGTATTGACTTCCTTGGTATTCTTTCTCGTTCATCTGATATTCGTACTTCATGTTATGATTTATTAGCCTCATCCGTTGAGTGCTTCTCATTAAACATAAGCAAAAGAATCCGAAATTCAGAAGTTATTTTATTTCCTAAAGATAACCTTGCTTTTGTCACCTCTGTTTCTAAAAGTCTAGCTTTATATCATCCAGAACTTACTTACTATTTCATTCATTATTTTTTTACTGCTTACAAAAGTAGTGACAGTCAAAAATTTAATTGTATAATGTTCATATCCCCTTGGATAAAGAATATTTATGATCACATATTTTTATCCAATGAGTTTGGTAAAGAAAAGGGGCTTGAAATTGTAAAAGAGATTGTGGAGGTTGCGCCAATTGATGATATAACTATTGGTGCTTTTACAGAGTACATCTGGAAATATTTAACTGATGATGATAGAATTGCTGAATATCTTGTCGAGGAGATTGTCAACAGAGCATTAAATCGTGAAGCTGAGTATGGTGATTGTGAGAATGTTATTGCTTTGCTTTCTTTGTACCCTTCAATAGAAGTATGTGGACAGGTTATCCAGCAAATTAAAGAGATCATCTACATACCTTTATTACTGGTTGATACTGAAATTCACATTGAATATTGCTGGATCAAATTAACAGTCTTGGTAAAATGTTGTGTTTCTCTATTCTTTGAGTGTACTAAAGGAACTCTTCAATTTTTCCCAGATCTTGTGCACATATTGTCAATGTTGATTGATCTAGGACCTCATGATTTGAGAGTTTCTTTGAACAGTTTGTCTATTAATATTATCCATTCTCTATTACTTAACCAAAAAGACTTTTCTGAAGCTGCAGTATCCAAATTGGAAGAAATTGACCAAAAGATATCAGGCCCTTCTGCCAAAACTCTATTTGGTTTGTTCAGAAGTGGTAAGGACATGAACAGTCCTCTTCCTTATGATCCAACAAGAATATATGGTAAAGTTCTTTCTTTAGAGTCTGTTATTGATGGATTTGTTGATTTCATTCGTGTTGCGCCAGTGGAATATTCGACTGTTTGGAACATAAGGTGGTACGCCTATACCATGGATTGTGCCTTTAAAACTAATTCTCTAATTCTTGCTCGTGCCATTATTTGTGGTGGGCTTCTTTGCAAGAGAGATGCTGAAGATCCTTTAGTTTTGAAATTTATTATTTTGGCACTTAAATTGTTCAAGAAGTACGACACTTCGACTGAAGATGGTATGGTCATTTTAGCCTCATGTCTCTTTGCAATTAGTAGACTTGTCGATGGTCTTTCGCCCTCTTCGATCTTCCACACCAGATTGTTTTGGCTTGGTGCAGCTATTACTACTTCTGCTAATGTTGTCTTGTATCAGGGTTCTATCAAAATTCTAGGAAGAAGTCTTGATTCCATGGAAAGAACCAACGGATTCAGTGACAACAGAGTGATTGAAAGAATTATGGGTGACAAAAAGATATTTGGAGATAGTTTTGTTAAATACGAGTCTCTCGGTAACATTGTTGTCTCAGAAAAGAACTTTGATGTTGCCATGTTGCATCGAATAATCAGAGGATTGCGATTGCCATATTTGAGGGAAGCTGCCTTTCATGTTTTGCAGATCTTTTTTAGAGTAAGAACAGTTCATGCAATACTGGCCTCCAAACAAGGCTCTCCATATGACTCCAATTCTGTCAGCTATCTATTGATGTTATACATGCTCTCAAGATCGAATAACGAATTAAAGGGAATAATGAAGGCAGCAGGATTGGACCCCAACAACACAATTTTCCTCAGTGAAAGCGTTGAAGTCCCAAGAATATTAGTTGACTATCTATTAACTGGTATTCCTGAGGCAATGTTTGTCTTGCTACAAGGTGCTCTTTATTTTGCCTCAACAACCGACGATTACAACGTCAAGAACCGTTTCTTGCTTTTGTTCTATTATATTGGCAAGAAAGACCATGATATACTATTTTCCTGCTACTTGGATATCAAGGAGCAATTGCAGAAGGAAATTGTTGCAACAACCACTCCTTTCCATGTTTTGCAACTTTGCTATGATTTGATTGCTCTTGCAGCTCATAGTCCTGAATATCCCAACCAAGAAAGACACAAAAATGCTATTGATTCATTATTGGTTGAATACAATCTTTTGGGTATTAGAAATTGGGCCTTCTCTTCTCCTGATCCTTTCAAAGAATCGAAAGCTGAAGACATGTATGACAGACTTAAATATGTTCAGGTTTTCTGTACTGATGCATTTATGACAATTAAACCAGAACAACTTAAGTGAGCTCTTTTCCGATTAGTTTGGGTTTTTTATTTACTTTTGGCAGTGTTTAATGAGAGACGATATAAGCTTGATATTTTGTGACATTGGTAATGTTTATTTGAATTTTTCGAGCTGTTGACTATTTTGATTTTTTGATTTTATTTTACTTTTTACCTTTCTATTTTTTTCCTTTTAGTTTACTGTGTTTTTGTCTGAATTTGACACTTCTCTATTCTTGAAATAGAGTATTTTATTGCTGTTTATATTTCAATTAGTTTTTTAATAGTTTTGTTTTTCAATTTTATTGTTTTCTTTTTGATGAACATAATATTTAAATTTATAAGTTTATAAATTTTAGTTTTTAGTCTCCACTTTTAATAATAGCACTAATGTTTATTTTTTTGTTTTGTAGATGAAATTAAGAAACCAAGCTTATTAACAAACCAAGCCTATCAAGAAACTAGAAATGAAACTAAAACTAAGACTAAAACAAGATGGAAAAAGAAACGAAAACATTTGATCAATTAGTATGATCAACTAACATTAAAGAGCACGAAAAGAAAAAAAAGAAATTGAATTAAAAAAAAAAGTTTGGAAATGTTATATTCTTAAATAAATCTAGAGAAAAAACAAATGAGGAAAATTCTGAAAAAACTCATTTTATTTCAGTTCCTTTTCCTTTTAATCATTTGCTTCTTCATTTTTTTCGTTAAAGCATGGTTCCAATGAACACCTACCAATCCATTTTTCTTAAAATCATATATTTCTGGGGTGAATTTAAGAAGCTCCTCATTTTTGGTTAAAATATTATAACTTTCGTTTCCATTCACATCTCCATTTTCAATAAGACTTCCGTTTTTGCTAGACATATAACCAGTATTATTGGTCTTTCTTCTTTGGTCTTTTACAAACTTTCGACATCGATTGATTTCATCTTGAGAAATATGATTATAACCATTTCTCTTTTTGAAGCAAGTGTCAAACAAGGTGTTCACATCAATCAATTTCTTTGGATAGTTTTGGATCAATTGAAAAACCTCCATTTCATCTTTCATTTTTAAAATCTTGGGCTCACAGAGCTTAAATATTGTCAATGCCATTTTAATAAAAATTTTGCTTTCTTCATAAAAAAAGCAATCCCATATTCTTAATGTTGATTCTATTGGGACAATACCAATGAAACAACTCATAAACCAACTGGCAGTGCATAACGTTATTGGGGGTAATTTTCTGACATTAACTTCAGCAGTTTTTTTTTTCGATTGTTTGTTGACAGAAGGTTCATTGAAATCGAACCCTATTTTTTCCCAAATGTTAGGCAAATACTCTTTTAAACATAGCATTAAAACGCCTTGATCGATATTTACGCCTTCCAAATTCACATCATGAACTCCTGGTAATAATTTTGTTGTTATTATAACCAACATCCAAAAGGATTTTTCCTCATCCATGAAAATCAATAATAGGCCAGCGATAAAATTCAATGATTGACAATAACCTATTTGCGGTTGGTAGGCAGCAAACGCTGTCAACACCCTTCTCAAAGCTTGAACCAATGGTGTTTCGGTACTTAAATTTGTCTTTGTATTATCTGTTGAAAATATAGTTTCATTTTTATTTTTCAACAGATCTGTGTTGGATCCGCCACTTTCTCTGACCAAATTTAAAAAATTATCATTTTTGAAGTACAGATTATCAGGAAAAGTTCTGTTTAAATCTCTTTCTATTATCTCAGTATCTTGATTTTTAATGTTGAGAGTGTTTTCAATGATTTTATCGTATAAACCGATATTAGCATTTAGTTTTTCACTTCCTTTTGCATAAAACCACCAGGCATTACCTCTCCATTCAGCAGGTATACCCTTTCTTATATATTTTTTCAATTTGTTTGATTTTGTTGGAAATCTAATGGGGTTATCATTTTTATAGGAGGATAAGCCATTTTGTTTCATAAATATTTCCCATTTTTTTTTCCTTCTTGATAAATAAACTTCGTAATCGATCCACCATTGGTTATATTCATCTTCAGAGACAAATTGGGTTTTTTTTTTAAAACCGTATCTATCGTTTTCGGATTTTAAAAAAGCTGAGTTATTAACGGCTGAGGATAATTTGTGGTGAGACTCTATAGAATTTCGTATCAAGGAGGCAGTATGTCTTGAGGACTGAATTGAGGATAGGCTTTCGTTCTTTAATTTCAAGAGCTTATCAGTGGTTAGTGAAGATGAGTTTTTTTTTTTTTTTTTTTTATTCAAAATAGTGGCTGTGGGTGGAACTGAGTTGATTTGGCTTGTCGATCTGTTTAAAATTCTATTATTTTTGTTGTTTGAGGATAAGTTTCTTTGGGGAATGATTTTATTATCGATAAGTTGAGTATTTTTGTTGATGGTAATGTTGCTGTTGTTGTTATTTGTTAGAAATTTTATTTTTGAATTACGAATTGAATTTGAATTTGAATTTGAGTTTGAGTTCGAGTTTGAATTTGAACTTGAAAGAGATTGGGAAGAATTTATTTTAAATAGAGAAGGATTGTTTACGGCAGTTTTGTAAGACGCTATTGAAGAGATTTGACTATATCTTTTATCTGTGTAATCATTGTAGTCGTTATTAATATTGTTGATAAAGGAACTATTGTTGTTGATGTTATTTGTAAGGTCTATATTGCTAATGTTTTTGTTCATATCTTTAATTAGATCATTTCCCTCATCGTCATCATCGTCATCATCGTCATTATCGTCATTATCGTCGTCTTCATCATTATTATAATCATTATCATCATTGTCGTCATTTTTGCTCTTATTGGTATAATTGTTTGTAATTTTAGCACTGCTATTGATTTCCAGGTTATCCAAAGTATTAATAGTTTCGTTATCAATGTTTTCATTTGTATGAGAATTGATTGATATATTTTTAGTGGAGTTGTCACTGATATTTAAAAGAGTGTGTTGGAAGTTATTGGAGGGGATATTTTTATTTCTGATGTTGATATTATCAGTATCACTGTTTGAGATGTCAGAGAAGTTTCCATACATATCAATGACACTTAGGTATTTGACATTGTCTATTGATTGTTGAGTGTTTGATCTTTCTCTAAATTTTACAGGAGAATTGTTTACAGAGGAGTTTAGTATTGAGGAGGAGGCATTCAGTATTGGGGACTGGGGCAATAGGTGGATGTTCAAGTTGTTTAGAGCATTTAGGCCATTTAGGCCATTTAGGCCATTTAGAGTGTTTATGTTGTTGATGCTATTGATGTGGTTTATATGAGATAGGCTGTTTATACTGTTTATGTTTTTATTATTTGAGGTTGATATTGAAGATAGAGTTGAAGTTGATTCCAAGTTTGAGGGAGAGTTTGTGTATGAATCATTAAATTGAGTGTTGTTATTAGCATTGGGGGATCTTGCTGGGGGTGAGTTAAAATTTGAAAACTGCGAGGAATTTAGAACAGGAGTTGAGAATTTAAAGTGGTTTTTTGGGGAATTGTTGTTGTTGTTGTTGTTGCTGCTGTTGCTGTTGTTGACACTGTTACTTGAGTTATTGAGTGGATTTGAAAATTTGTTGTATAAATCAGCATCAGATTTTGTTAATTTTTTTTTCAAGTCGTAATTAAAGGTTGAATAACTTGAGGAACTGGAATTGACTGGGAAGGAGTTTACGTTGTTTCTGTTGATTTGGTTATATGGACTTTGATAGGAGTTCTGGTTCTGTTGGTGATTTGTTGTTAAATTTGAGGAAGAATTAAACTGTTTTAGGTTGTAATTGTTTAAATTTGACATTTCCGAAACAGTGAGTAGGAGAAAGAATAGAAAACAGGTCTAAAAAGAAACAAAATAGAATCAAGTGAAATTAAATAGGATTAAAAGGTGGAAGAGAGAACAGCAGGACCAAATGCAAAGATCAAATTGACAAGAAGAGTGGGTTTCAAATCTTTTTTTTGTCTCTTTCGTTTGTCTCTTTATTTTATCTGTCGCTTTATTTTATCTGTCTCTTTATTCTGTCTCTGGCTGTTTTGCTCCAGAAGATGAAATAAGATTCGTCGATTCAGGCACCAAATTGAAAAAAAGGATAGAAAAGGATAAAAAAGGTTGGTCCACGATTAAAGGAGCATCAACAAGATAACCAGCTCAAAAAAAGACAGGAGTGTCTGTGGAAGACCAGGCTCTGGAATAGATGTGGAAGAGCAGAGCAGCAGAGATACAAGACAAAAGATCTGGTTCCGGAGCTGAGACTGAAGAGAGTGAAGAGAGTGAAGAGATTGAAGATAATTGCTACCAGCGATAAAGGCAAAGCGATTCAAATCAGCTTCAAACTGCTTTCATTTCAGACCCAGCTCAAAAACGTGCCGGATCGGGCAGTTGGTCACGTGGCGCGCGAGCCAATGCTGCAAAACGCGGGCGAAATATTGCATAAAAACGCAATGCACATGTGACACATTTCACTGCATGTTATGCGTGGCTGCACATGATATCGGTACCGCGCTCTCTCGCATTGGCCCGCGCTCTCTCGCATTGGCTTTCCTATTTTTCGAGAATGGAATTTTGGAATTTTGGAATTTGAAAACGACTCAAACACAAATTTGGAAATGTTTCATTTGGTTATAATAAAAATTATTAATCTGTCTTTTGGCTATTCATGTTATCCAAATAACTCTCCAATTCTGCCTGATCTGTTTCATGGTTTGGCGAATTATCGTATCACATACCACCTTCGGCTTCCACCAGTATTTCTTGACATTGTAAAGCAAATCTCTAGCAACTTCAAGTTTAAAAATTAAACAATAAGCTATATCGTTCTGGTTTATCTTTGATTTAGGCTTTTTTAGTTTACCATTAAATACTCTTGTATACTGTTACTCATTGTACTCAAGACATAGATTGGACTTGAAGTATATTGCTTCCAATCAATTCCAATCAATTTCACCACCTTCTTCTCCTTCTTGATGCTCTGCTAGCCCATAGCCTTTGCTCATTCTTAATACCCATCACCATACTCATTCCATTTTGACTGCTTTCTCCAACCTCTTCATTGCTTAGTGTTTCATTCAACACACACAGACCTGCTGAAATGAGTGATACCTACAACACCAACCTCAATCCCAACAGCGCCAGCTATGCCAACAGAAAAAGCATCGAAACAACTGAAAGCGACATCAACAGGCTCATCAACCAGTCGAGCCTTATTGTCGACAACGTCAACAACGACTTGAACATTCCCATCGTTAGGCCTCCAATCCTCAAGCACACACACTACTCAGACAACTCCATCAACTGCTCCACCATCATCAACAACAGCACCTCCACTTCCACCCTCAAAGCACACAAAATTCGCAGCAACGACAAACCCAAAAACACCAGCTTTGTTCAGAACAGCAACCTCCTCTCCAACTCTGACTCCATCTCCACCAACACAAACACAAACACAAACACAAACACAAACACCAACGACCATCTCTCTAACATCAAGAAGCTCACTGCCAAATCTCACTTGATCAACAACATCAACGACAGCTTCGACAACGACTCCATTTCTGACCTAGACGACTTTGAGTCTATTTACAACGACTATGAGTTGGACCCTGTGAACAACAGCCATCTTCCCTCTGGCTCCATCCCCAACTGTTATACCTCCAATTTTCATCTTCATCTTAATTCAAATCCAAATCCAAATTCAAATTCAAATTCCATTTCTATTTCCAATTCTACTCATCCTGATCCATGCGACATTTCAAACAACATTCTTGCAACCAAAAATAACACATCTATCACTCAAAACCCCAAATCCATTCCTAAAAACTTCAAGTCTGTTCCAAACCTCAAAGTAAACCCATATCTTCTGAACATCGACTCAAAAAATCAAATCTCCATCACAAACCCTTTCAAAATCAACGTCTTCTCAACAAAAAACAAAAACAATCTAGATATCGACATCGACATAGACTTGGACACTGGTTTGGAGTCTCCAATAATCTTCAAAAACAAACCATTTATATCAAAGAAAATTGGTGCGAACGCCTATAACTCTCAAAAATCAAAAAACAGTCTAAACAACAACTACAAATACACTTCCAATAACAAGAAAAGATACAAAAAAAAGACCTCTTTTATCTCCAATAATCCAACCAACAACACCACCATGAGCAACAACAACAACAACATCATAAACGATAACACCAATAACAGCACCATAAACGACTCAAGCATAAACTCCTCTCAGGAAGAACTCTTGTTTTTCAACTATAATGAATATTCTGTCAAAACTTATTTTTTACTAGAAACTAAAAAATTTGGCACCTATAACCAACCCTTGATAATAACTCATTTTCCCAATGCCTATGTCAAATTCAACTCAAAAAACTACAAATCTACAAGAATTGTCAAAATTCCGAGAATCTTCAACAGCCCAACCACTTCAAACAACAATTCTCCCATTACTGGCAATTCCATTAATATCCATGACAACAACAACAACAACTCCTCAATTAACTCAAACATTTTAAAACCCTTTGATAAGATTACTGATTTCGACCACTCCAGTAATAATAACGACGACATCTCCAACAACAATAGGAACCCAAATCAAAACATAGATATCGACCTTGAAAATAATGATTCAATATCATCCATTGCTACAACTCAAAACCCCTCCTACTCTGATCGTTTTAACAACTTATATCCTCAGATCTCCCCCTATTTACCAGGTTTTGAACCTGCTGCTCTAGTCTACTCTGTGTCCACTAGTGAATCAAATTCAACACAATTAGTGCCAAATAAACATTCAACAAACTCCCTAGCTTTGTTATCCTTTAATGAAACTGTTAATCTCAACAACACAATCAACTCAAACCTACCTAATATAACTGGCAACAGTAAAAATTATTATACCCATAAAGCAACCTACTCAAATGATTTCACCAACATTAATTGTTTCAAACCAAAGGGAATTTACCTAAATCAAATTTATGGCTATTCTTCAATCTCTCCCTTATCAAAATATCTTTCTCCTGACGAGTTTAAAGAAGTTGTAGTTGTTGTAAATAATTATCTCAAATTGGCTTTCAATCCCTTAAATTACCACAATATAATTGAAAATATAATCGGCGTCTTCACTTTATGGTTTTTTGATAATGAGTTTGTAATCAATTTTTTTTCTTTTTTACCTTTCTTTGTTTGGATAAATCGTAATCTTTTAAACTATTCAAAAAATGTTTTGCTGGAATTGGAAGATTACATTCAAAGTCTTAATAGAACTAAATTGGCTTTCAAAGGAATTAAAATTATAAGTCCAAGGAAAAGTGGTTATTTGAGCTTGGATTTTGAAATACCAAAGCCTGCAATAGAAGATTATGAATAATAGATCATTTTTTTATGAAGTTTACATTTGTTTTTTTTTATTTTTTTATTTTTTGATATTTTTATTTGTCTGTTTTTTATTCTTTTTTTTCTTACTGCTGGTTGGGTTTGTTGTTTTATTTGTAATAACCTCTACATTGGAGTCGAAGATTTCAAATTGAAGTTGATCTTCAAATTCTTTTAATTTTCTTTTGCTAACTATTTTTAATGTTTTTCTTCTCTTTTATATATATGGATATTGTTCACTGCATTTATTCTCTACCATTTTCCCCTTAAAATAACACTGGGAAAATTGTCTCACCAACATCTCTGTGGAATTTCTTTAATTTGGTCTTGACTTGACTTAATAGTCTTTTGGATTATTTGCAGTTCTGAGTAGAGCTTTCCTACTGAACCAATTATATTATTGACTTGCTCTAAGATTTCATTAAAAAAGTAATAGGCCATCACAAAGTAGTTAAAGTAGGATGTGTGTTGATATTGAACCGATTCTATGTTTTTACCATTTATATCATATTTTCAAGTAATTCAAGCTAAAATCCCTTGGTTTCGCTTCCTTTGCTTTATATATTTAAATTCTTTTTTGGATATTACTAACCTTTTTGTAAAAAACTGCCGAAAATAACTAAGCCCTATCTGTATCATTCTATTGTCTGTAACTCAATTCTAAATATGAAAAATTATGTGAAAATAAGAATGATTTATATGTATAATTAATATATGCTTTCCATTAAGAATCCAATGAAAAAAGAAAAAGAATTCTATAACTAAAACTAAAATCTATATATTTAATAAAATCAGACAAAATACAAAAAAAAAGAATAAAATAAAATAAAACAAAACAAAAGAATACAAAAATATAAGAAAAATCGATCTTCATCGTTTTAATGCAAATTCTAGAATGTAGTTCTAAAACAAACCATCAATTTCGCCATTCTCTTTGACCTCAACATTCATAAAACCAGCATGAGTACTTAATCCTGGAATAGTCATAATTTCAGCAGCAAGAGCATATAGATAACCAGCTCCAGCACTAATTCTAACTTCTCTGATTGGAACTTTGAAACCAGTTGGAACTCCCTTTAATTTTGGATCGTGGGATAAAGAGTATTGGGTTTTGGCAATGCAAATTGGTAAATGTCCAAAACCATGTTGGATGTATTTTTCAATTTGTTGTTTGGCTAAAGGTGATAATTCAATATCATCGGCACCATACATTTTCTGGCAAATGATCTTTAGTCTGTCTTCAACTGTTCCATTCAAGTCATATAAAAATTTAAGTTCACTGGAATGGCTATCAGTTTGTTCTTCACAGGCTCTAACAACAGTATTGGCTAGCTCAATGGATCCAGCACCACCTTTAGCCCAGTGATTAGATTCAACAGCATCAAAAGCGCCAGCTTTTTTGGCTTCTTCCTTGATGATAGCAATCTCTTCTGGAGTGTCAGTTTCAAACTGATTAATTGCAACAATTACGGGAACATCGTAACTTTTAGCATTGGAGATTTGTTTGGCTAAATTACAACAGCCATTTTTAACCAACCCAACATTAGCTGTCGTGTATTCAGCTGGCAATGATTGACCTGGTTTCACATCTGGAGCACCACCATGAAGTTTCAAAGCACGAACAGTTGCAACAATAACCACAGCACTAGGTTTGTAACCAGAAGAACGACACTTGATATTAAAAAATCTCTCACCACCCATTGTAAAGTCAAAACCTGCTTCAGTTACTACATAACCATTGGGAATTTTACCTTCTTCGATTGAATTGGCAAGTTTAGGTTTACCAGCTAATTTTAAAGCTAATTTATCGGCGATAACAGACGAAGCACCAATAGAGATATTAGCAAATGGACCTGCGTGAACAAAAACCGGTGTTCCTTCTAGAGTTTGCATCAAGTTTGGTTTAATCGTGTCTTTTAATAAAGCGGTTATAGCTCCACCACAAAATATATCATCACAAGTAACTGGGTCGCCATTTTTTTTTAAACCAATAACTATGTTTCCAACTCTATTTCTCAAATCATGTAAATCTTTGGATAAAGCTAAAATAGCCATAATTTCAGAAGCAACAGTAATGTCAAATCCCGTTTTTCTTGTTAAACCCTTTTCTGTGGGTGCCTGTCCAATAGTTATTTGTCTTAAAAATCTGTCATTAACATCAACCACTCTTTTGATTGATATCGATTCAGGATCAATATCCAACCTTGCAAATTTATTGATTTCTTCGACTGTCAAGTCGTCTGGATTAGTTTTTTCGATACCCAATTTTTGTAATCTCTTTAACATTGGCGGAGTAAATTTTCTGACACCCTTTTTTGTAGGAACTAATCTTTTATAAAGAGCCTTATCCGATTGAGTTGATTCATGAAAAATTCTTGTATCAATGGCGGCAGCTAATAAATTGTTGGCGGCACCAATTGCATGAATATCTCCAGTTAAATGCATATTGAATTCATCCATTGGAATAACTTGGGCATAACCACCACCGGCTGCACCACCTTTAACGCCAAAAGTTGGACCCATAGATGGCTGACGAACATTGGCGATTGCAGGTAAATTGAGATGACCACCAAGAGCTTGAACCAAACCCATAGTTGTTGTTGATTTTCCCTCACCCAAGGGTGTTGGGGTTATACCAGCAACTAGAATATAGTGAGCATTTTCACGTTCATCTTTCAAACGATCATAAACGTCAAGAGAGACTTTTGCCTTGTAATGACCATATTGGTCTAGTTCATTGGGCAAAATACTTAATTTTTTAGCAATTTGAGTAATGTGATAGGGTTGCTGAGCTCTTGAGATATCGATATCAGAAGGAACCGGATGTAAGGGTTTCAAAGATAAAGGTTTTAAAGAGATTGGTTTATTTAGACTTTCATTTTGAGCCTTTGCAGCTAAAAATACGTTTTGGATCAACATTGCAATTGTCATTGGACCAACACCACCTGGAACAGGAGTTATAAAAGAGGCCTTTTTCTTTGCAGATTCAAAATCCACATCGCCAGTTGGTCTTTGACCTGATTTTTTTGAGGAATCGGGGACATAATTCATTCCAACATCAATTACTACACAACCTTCTTTTAACCAAGAACCTTGGATGAAATCTGGAGAGCCAGCACAGGCAATGACAATATCAGCACTTTTCAAGAAATCTGGAATATTTTTTGTTTTTGAATGACAAATTGTGACAGTGCAGTCTTCATTTCTCAAGAGGGCAGCGACTGGAGTACCAACAATATTTGATCTTCCTACAACAACAGCATGAGCCCCTGATAATTGAATATTTTCACTTTTTAATAATTTGATGACGCCATTGGGGGTACAAGGAATGAAAAAAGGCAAACCACCCTTTTTAGCTAATTCGCCAGCATTGTATCTAGTGAAGCCATCAACATCTTTTTCCTTTATAACAGCATTTGTAACTCTGGCTTCATTGATGTGTTTTGGTAAAGGTAATTGAATCAAAATTCCATTTGTATTGATATCGTTGTTTAATTGATCAATTTTGAATAATAGCTCAGTTTCAGTGACATCCTCATCGAATTTAATTAATTCTGAGTGGATTTTTGAGTTTTTAGCGGCTTTTAATTTCATTCTGACATAAGTAGACGAATCAGGTCTTGAACCAACTTGAATTATAGATAATTTTGGTTGAAAATGAGGGAAATTTGATTGAATTTCACTGACTTTTTTAGAAGTTTCAAATTTAATCGAATCACCTAATTTTTTACCAGATAGTATCTGGGCATTCAAATTAAAGCTGCTTGTTGAAAACAAGGAAACAGACGAGACATTGTATAAGTTGTTGCAAGATATGACATTGATTTGATTGTTTTGGTTATATTTTTTACTTAAATTATTTATAAACTTTGTAGAACGAGCCAAACGTTGATTTTTGAGGCAGGAAGAGAACATTTTCAAGATTGATGAAGAGAAAGCTGTGGTCTGATAAGTGTTGGTGTTGGAAGGAACAAATTATAGCTATAAATAATAATCAGGAGCTATGAATCATCTAGGTGGTGTAAATATTGCTGGATAATCGACAGGAAATACTCGACTTCTTCCAAAGGTTAGTCATAATTTTTCAGGTGTTGTGAAAAAATTAAAACAAAAAAATTTGTCCTGCGATGGCTATGCAAATCCGCCTTTCCAAGCGTTGACATGCAGCATGCATTTCTCTGAAAAACTGGTTTTGATTGGTTGGATTGGAAGCTATCTGCAGACAGCGGCATGCTGCTTTTGCTGTTTTTGCTGCTGGAAAATAGTCCTCAAAAGGCAACAGAAACAGCTGCGGAATAATTTTCTGGAGCCAGCGCCTTGAAGAAAAAGTAGTGTTAAAGAATGAGTAGCATGAGCAGCATTTCAGTCTCACTTTTGCTTGTTTGGGTCTGGAGATGAAATTTTGCACAAAGAGCACAGGAGACAAAAGACAAGAGCAGCTATTTTGGTGGTAAATCGTTTTGTTGCTGATCATTTGTTCGGAATTTATGGTAGCGAATATTTGTTCTGATTTCCCTGTTGGGTGTTTATTGGCTTGAAACATAGGAAGCAGTTTTATGTTAAGAATTTATTAATGTTGCTGCTGATTGATTTGCCAAATCAGATTTCGTTTCCAGTTGATGAATTATGTTTTCGGGTTTTTAGGATTGTTTTTGGTTCCTTATTTTATTACTTTTTTCGATAGTAATTTCATTGGAATTTTTCAGCTAATTGATTTAATGGTTGGGGCAATTTACCAAATTACCAAGTTTTCTAAAATCCCTCTTGCTTGATTATTTGAATAATCTGGACTTGCTTACATGAATTTTGTGATCAAATTTTAAATACGTAAATATACCATTAGTGGATTGATGTGAATTAGGACTAAAATAACTTGTATTTTTTTTACCCTTTTAATTCGGATTGAACAAAAGGACTCTTATTTACTGGAGTTGTAAAATTATTAATTGCTAATAATAAACATGTAGGCGATCCAAAAATTAGGTGGAGCTGAGTAGGCTGTTCACATAATATTTCAATATATTATATTGTAAACTATAATACAAAATATGTGAAATTAATTTCAATAGGATCTATTATATTTGATAAAAAAGAAAGAGAAAAAGAAAAAGAAAAAGACAAGTAGAATTTAAACAAATTCGAGTGAAAGGGAAGAAAAGAAAAAGAAATTAAATTGAAAACATTAATGGGAAATTCAAAATTTCCTCCTCATCTTTTGATATCGAAATACAAAGAATGTGACTTTATTGGTATTAAACCAATTCCCTAAACGTTTCTTGCCTTGTTACTTTTTTTGTGTATTTTGCCAAACAGAAAGTCCCAATTAATAATAAAAATTAAAAAACGTAAAGGATCTGCTACAAGGAAAATACAAAAATGTGTACAATAGCAGCAATTTTCAAGAATAATTTGTTAGGTTATTCAGATATTCAGCTGAGTTATTGAACAGGCAGTGAGTCAATTAAATGAGCCAGTTCACTTTCTCTCAAAGTTTTAGAAAGTGGATTGGATAAATTTCATACTGTATTTGTAGATTGCAGAATGAATGGAGCCCAATTATAGAGTAGAGAGGTGTTTCCACTAAAAGCAAGCTAAGTGAGCAAGCTCAACAAGCTAAATAAGCAAAGAGAGTTACACGTAACTTTGCTTTCGAACTCAATGCTTTGTAATCAAAAAGTTTACTGTTTTCAGAAAGCCAAAAGCCAAAAGATAAAAGACAAATGGCGAAAGAAAGATGTTTCTTTTGCTAAATAATAAATTCAAATGTTTTTGATTACTTTTGATCAGATTGAGATGATTAGAAATTGACAAAATGAAACAAGTTGAACCAGATGACTGAATAAAAATGAATACTGGATGATTTTACAGCGACTAAAAGCATTGATGGTAAGGATTGCGAGCTAGTGTTGACAGTGGTAATAATGCTCGTAATGTTAATAATAGTGGATGTATTGTAGATATATTTGGTCACAAATCACAAACCCAGTGATAAGATGGAAATAATCAGTAAATGATTAAAATTTGCCAATTATTGCCAATTTTTGCTGATATGTTTACAGAAAATTAAAAAACATTAAAACATTATAGAACATTATAAAACATTGTAAAACATTAAGGAAAAATTAACTAATATCAAAAGCATTTGACCTATAACTTTAGTGATATCAATAATCAGAAAAGGCACGATATGTATCATTTTAATTTTCTAATTTTCTATTTTTTTAATTTTTTTAGTTTTTGATTTTTTTTAGTTTTCTGTGATGATACTTTGATATTTTTCAAATATTATCACATTATCACATTATTATCGCAGTATTATCGCAGTATTATCACAGTATTATCACAGTATTATTGAGAACAGCGCGTATTAATTGAATATAATAGAATGCAAGATTATTAGATTGGAAAAGTGCTGGCTGATCAGATTTATTCATCAAGTATTATTTAGCATTTGGTATTTATGATTTATGATTTATGATTTATTGGCGAGTTTGGAGGGTGCCATGTCTAGTGATCGAGGAGCGATATGAGATTTCGAGTAGTGGTGCATATTTGCAATTAAATATAGGCGATAAAAAGACAATAAAGGGTGATGTGTGGTTATTGTTGTTGTTTTTTCATGATGTTTTTCTTTTGGAATGGATATTAACAATTGGATATAGTTTTGGAACAAACTTAATGACATTGCAGTGTAAATTATTTGAAGAATCAATAGAAATTAAAATTAAAATTAAAATTAAAATTAAATTAAAATTAAATTAAAATTAAAATTAAATTGAATTGAATTGAATTGAATTGAATTTGATAAGGATAAGGATATGAAAAATGAGTGAAAGCAGTGATTTAATTTAGATTGTGTTTTTTCTTTTGTCTTTTTTTTTAAATTGTTTTACTAGCAGGAAACTTTCAAATTCTAAAATTCAAAAGCCAAAAGTCAAAAGCAAGTATGTCTTTCAATATTTTTGTAAATTTGAACAGCAGTAAACTTGTAAGTTGGGAAGTGCAATTTATGATTTCGCTAAGTTTTATAAAAATTCAGTAAAAATTCAGTAAAATTCAAAATATTCTAAAGAATTTTATTGAGTTTTACTGAACTTCTCTGAATTTCTTTAAAAATTAATTGAAATATAAATCTTTTCCTTATATGATTGTAGTTGTTATTTTTTTTCATTTGAATTGAACCAAACAAAACGATAGTTTCTAATGTAAAATTCGTCAAAAGTGGCACGCAAAACAGAAAAGAAAGGAAGAAAAGCATCAGCAAAAGAGCTTGAGAATGAAATCCAAGACAAAATAAGGAGAATAGAGAGAATAAGGATAAGAAGGACGATATGGATAAACATAGTGAAACAACATTAGTCTTTCGAACAAACAAGTTAATCCATATCCAGCAAAGATAGATAATATCTCAAACAGATGTCTCTGGATTGTTGGAATTCCTCAGCTTTCTTGCGCTGATCTGGACTGTAATAAATTTCAGATTATTTCAGATTATTTCAACTTGATTTCAACCATTTGCAGCCAGTCTAGCCAACTCAAACCAGAGGCACCAACTTGCTGTTGCAAAACAGCAGCAGCAGCAGCAACAACAACAGCAACAGCAGCAGTCAATAGGTTGTTGCCAGCTGAGCCCATTGAACAAGCACTGCATTCTCTCCAGCTCTTCGAGGACCAGATGCCAGCTCCAGTGGCAATTTACGAATCTCTTGTTTCAATTCCAAAGACACAGCACCTCGTTCCAGCGTTGGCCTTTCTTTTCAGCTGAGTTAAAGTAGATCTACGTAGATCAAAGCCAATCGAGCCAACCTCCAGCTGTCTCCCACTGGAATTGTCTTCTGCTCTTTCACTAAAAGTTAAGTCATAGGAACAATCAGTCGCTAGACTATCGCAACACTGTAAACAGGAAACTGGAAACACTCTGTGCTGGGTCTCAGAACCAGAAAAGTTGCAAACCTTAGCCCTTACCAATCTTCCTGAGCTCCTCCACCTCTCTTGTTGCTGCTTCTGCTGCCTCTGCTTCTGCTGCCTCTGCAACTCTAAAGACTAAGCTTTACTCTCCAAAGACACCTCTGCTTCCTCTCGCGAGCCTGGTCAATTCAACATCGCAATACATGCTCACATTTAGTCCAAACCCTCTGTGTTTTCTTATTTATTCTTCCACTTATCTCCCACTCCTTAACCTAGTTCTGTTTGTTCACTGGATCAACTTGAACCTTTGAATCTTTTAACTCATAAACCCTTTAAATCTCTTACAACTACAAAACATAAAACTTTCAAAACTTTTAGAACTCTTTGCTGAACCTAAACACTCTTTTTCTGCTGATTTCACCAAATTTTGCCAATTTTACTTTGAGTTTTTGGCTTCCTTTATCTGCTCGCTTTCTCTACTTATTCTATTATATTATACCTCATTACACTATATTATACAATATTATACAATATTATACAATATTATACAATATTATACCACACCATACCGTATCTTATCTCACATCGCTTGCTCTTTTTTATAATTTCTTTCTTTCTGCTCACCTAGATTCTTTTCGATTTTCTTTTAGCACTACTCAGGAACTGCTCTCATCCATCCAAAATGAATTTCAACCAAAACTTCAATCAAAACTTCAACCAAAACACCAACAACGTCAATATCAACAATATCAATGGTGCAAACCCCAACAGATACATCAACACTATCAACACCTTCAACCCACAGACACAGTTTTTCTTCAAATCTCCCTCTGTCTCAAACTCCTCAAACTCAATCCAACCCACCTCTGCTCTTTCATCCTCAACCTCCTTCGACACAAGAGGTAATTTTGTTCAAATAGGTATCAATGCTCAGAACCCTCACCCTATCAACAACAATATCACCAACAATATCAACATAAATCACTCCAGTATTCCCAATATTCCCAATATTCCCAATATTCCCAATATTCCCAATATTCCCAATATTCCCAATATTCCCAATGACATAAACAACAACAACAACAGCAACAACAACAATACCCAAAACATTCTCTACAAAAAACCTCGCTCTAACACCAACAAAATTAACAACTCAATTCAAAATCAAAATCAATATTCATCTCCTGCTTTGCTCTCCTCAAACAAAAACCACATCAATAACACAAATCCCACCCTTCAAAACCCCATTTTCAAAAACTTTCATTCTCATAAATCAAAAAGCTGTGACCAATGCAAACAAAAAAAAATTAAATGCGATAAAAATTTGCCTGAATGTCATAATTGCAAAAATTACAAAAAAACATTTCTTCTAGAATCCCAAAAAGAATATTCCTTACTTCAAAATCCCTCCTATTCTTCTTCTCTATTATCTTTTCCTTCTCCTTCTTCTCCTTCAACTCACCCAGATTTCTCATCTTATCACAAAAGGCGAAAAATAGAAATCAACTCCCAAGACCTTTCCCCCTCCTTCTCTTCTTCTCGTAACAATCCTTCCTCCAGAAAAATTTACTCTCCTTGTTCTTATTTAACCTCGAATAAACCTCAATTGAACAAAATCACCAATAAACCTTATATATCCGATAATATCGAATTAACCCAAAATAAATACTCTTATTTGCCGAAAAATCCTCCAATTAATGACAATTATAACTACATCAACCCAATAAATGACACCAACTCCATAAATTCAATAAATTCCTCAAATTCTATCAACCTGGACAAAGACTTTGACATGATCGATACCAACATTGACGATTCCACCATCATGAGTAACATTCAAGAACAAATCATCGGATTTCAAAATGAAAATGCTCAAAACATTCCTATCAATATACCCACAAATACAAAAAACATCCCTAAATCAAATAAAGACGACTATTCTGATGCTCAATCCTTCTTTAATGTTATAGAAAATATACAAAATGCACCAGAAATTGACTTTGATGCATTTCTGAATTCTTTTCTTAGTCAAAACACCAATAACAATCCCAACTACAATACAATAAACACAAATAATCGAAGCGCCAATACTCAAAAATTCATCAATGAAAATTCAATTCCTACGAATATAAATCAACCAATGCTTCACAACAATTCCTCTCAAATTAAGCAGTCTTTTACAAATAAAACTACCATGCTGCCTTCTAGCTCATCTTTACAAAGACAAGACCAATACGTTTTTTCTTCTTTAACTAATTCCATCCACCCAAAGAGCCTCCATCCCATCCCTAATGAACAAAATCTTAATAAAAACAATATTACTCATAGCAATAATCAAATAGATAATGAAAACCCAATCATTAATGAAAACATAACAAATAATATCAATTCCAGGGCAACCAGACCTTACAATATCAAAAATAAAAAAAATCCCTTGAAAAAGGCTAAAGTGAAAATTTCAGGCACGCCTATTCAGTATTCTCAAACTACTAAAACCTCTTTCAAAGTCATCCAGCATAACAACCATAAAAACTATCCAAATACAACAATGATGCTCAAGGGAATAATTGCAGATCCTGTGAAACCCAAAAAATTTACAGATATTGATTGTTTAAAAATCATGTACTGTTATTTTAAAGAAGACTTTTTTTTCAATTCTATTGAAAGTTATTCTGATACCGATTCAGGTCTCTTTGAGGTTGTCATTTCTTTAGCTTCCGAATTTTTACTTTCTCGAATTAAAAATAAAGAAACAACTTTAGAGTTGATAATAAATTCTTTAACAGGCGAAAGAGGCATTTCACCAACTAATCGAAATGTTCGAAAATTAGAAAAAATTCAAAACAATTTATCGGATTCTGTCTTTGTTGTTTCAAATTTTTGTAATAAATATTTGAATTCAACAATTGACTCCTCTTTTGAATTATTGAAAAACGATAAAGCTACTCAAAGTTATTTGCGCAAATTAATTGCAATCTCTCATTCAATCAACTACAAAGTTATTTGTAATTCAAGTTTAACAGGGAATCTAACTGATTTACATTCAACTGCTTTGAATTTTGATAATGTTAAAGATTTTTTTGAAGCGTTGAGTATAAAACATCGATATAGTTTCACTTATTCAACAGGATTAATTAGTATATTGATTCGATATAAACAATATGATAAAAGAGATAAAAATACACTAAATTTGCCAAAATTTTCCGACCGATTAAAAAATATGCTTCATTTTGAAAAACTTAATGGAAGTTTTGACAAATATATACCGAATATATTTTCAACATTAAGAGCATATCCAAACGTTATGTTTGACGTTTTTAATTCTGCTTTTATTACATTTAGTAAAAGTATTTACATTCCAACATACAATTTTTCAATATTAAAAGAAATCACATTGGAGATACTAGAATTTAAAAATTTTGTTGGATTTTTAAAAGATTTGAAAAAAAAATTACAATTTTCAATGTTAATCGATGAACTAATTCGATTTCTTTATTTTGTTTATGAATGCTGTTTAATTAAGAAAAAAGGGTATGTTATTGAATTGCCAACAGTTGTTTATTATACTATTTTGAATAAATGGTTTCAAATATTTCCAAGTGAATCGTTAAGTGTTTTTCCACCATCAAACAAAATAAGTGATATTATTGAGATGCTATTTTATGCTTATTGGCCAGCACTTTGTAATGTGTTAGATTCTATATTTCCTGAAACCAGGTATTTATATTTGTCTCCATTTTATTCACCCGCTACAACATTTATTGATCATAAAAAAATTGTTGGGCAATTTAAAGGATTTTTAAAATTTTTCACAACGATTGAAGAATACACAAATCCAACGTATGATAGTATAGCAAGGATTAATAATGATTTAGAATTTACAATTCCACAAATTAATAATTTTCGATTACATTTAATTTATTGTTTAAGGATTTTATCGTTTTTCCAAGCCAGAAATAAGTTATCAGCGTGTCAAATTGACCTCATTGATCCATTTTTAGGCGACTTGAATATTAAGAAGAAGATTATTAACAAAGAAGTTCAGACGATTGAAGATTTGAATAAATGTTTGGGAGATGAAAGAAGATATTTATCAAGAAAGATAACCGATGAATTAACCGAGCATCAGATGTGTGAATTTCGAAATAATGGGATATCATCTAAGTGCTATTTACATTTTATCGAGGCAGATAAGAAAGAGGAAATGGTTCAAAAAGTGGCCAGGGAAAAGGGGATTCGAATGACAAGATTTGCGTTGGATGAGTTTCAAGATGCCAATATTTATAATAAAAGATTGTTGAAGGATTTTTTAAGGAGGATGTATGGAAGAAATCGATTAAGATCGATAGAAACGTTTGATGATTATTTGGCAGCAACGGATTATACTATAACAGAAGATGGAATTGTGCCATTTGCTGATTTTTTCCCATCTATTGTACATGAATGCAATGATAATTATTTGTACGACAATCAAGGCGAGTTGTTACAAAAGATGTTGGAAAATCATTATATTGATAAGATTGCTATATTTAAATTTTCTGAGGAAATGTTTAAAGAATCTAATATCAAATCGAATATTAATTTTGAAAGATTGAACAAGATAATATTGCTGGAAAACAAAAAGAAAATTAAAAAAAACAAAGAAAAAAAAGGAAATGATAGCGACAGAGATTCGAATAGTGAAGATGAGTGGTCTAGTAATAAAATCAATAATATTATATTAAATAATAAAAATAACAATGACGGTAATTTTAATAGTAGTATTAACGGAAAGAGTAACTATGATAACAATGGCAACAAAAACAGCAAAAACGGAAAGAATAAGAAAAATAAAAAAGGGAAAAAATACGAAAAAGAAAACAATAATACGCCAGTTGTTAATTTTCGACAATTTGTTAGAAGTTATTATAATCGATACAAGTCTAGTACCTTTTATGAAACATCGGATGTGTATTTTCCGGATTTGATGGCATTACCAGAAGATGATGAAGATGAAGATGAAGAAGAAGAAGAAAGGAGAAGAGAAGAAAAAGAAAATAGGAATGATAAGTATGAAAGTGCTTATGAGACTGGGAAATCCAGCCAGAATGGAATTGAAGAAAGTTGCAGTAACTTTTCCAAACGATTCTTTGGTCGCAGTAAAGAAAGTGATCAAAACACCAGCAAGTTTAGAAAGGAAATTGCTAAAAAGTTCAAAAAAATTGAAGAGGATGTTGTGGATGATCTCAACTGTAACTTCAACTTGAATAATATCGACGACGAGTTGAATAAACTTCAATTTGTTGACTATGAGATCATCAATTGGGTACAAAGGACTCAGGAGTCGATAATTGCAAAAGAGCTCATCAGGAACAGTTCTTCAAAAGAATAAAAGCCATGATGAGAGTATAGACGTTGTATTATTTGTAATTGTGTACCAGCTTTGTACTGGGTCTGTAATTTTATACTTGACCATGGTCTGTGACTGCTTTCTAGCTACAGTAGCTGTGTTTGAGATGTTTGTTTTAACGCGAGATCTGTTGAGAAACGTTTTGTGTCTTTGTTGGCAGGCAGCAGAAACAGCACAGAAAGAGGAAGCAGAAGCAGCAGCGGCCGGAGACGGACAACCCCTTTTAGGCGTGACCTCGGCCCGGCCCTCGTCGTTTTAACTCGTTCTGATCCATTTTAATTCAGTTCTCTTCAGTTTATTATCACTTTGCTGGAGCTCTTTCTCTTGAACTCTCCTATTCTGTTTTTTTCAGAAGACGCTTTTGCTGCTGTTCCCTGATGCTGCGCTGTTGGTACTGGCGACTTTACTGCGAGATTCTTCCATAAATACTGCTTTTGCTTGTTTTTCTGCCCCTCCATTTCGGTGCTTAACCAAAGTCTCTACACCCCTAACCAATTTTCCAGATGGAACACCTTCCATTGAATGCTGATAATCTCATCAGAATCTTAACCATCGTTTCAGGCTCCAGCAGAGACGCCACTGTCAAGTTATCCGAAAATCAATTGGCCACCTGGAGAATCACCCCAGGGTTTTATTCTTCTTTGCAGGACATTTTCTTGAATTCTACTCTCCCCCAAAATATCAAATCGTTGAGCATAATCGAATTCAAAAATGGTGTTGAGAAATACTGGAAAACTTCAAGCATTAATTCCATTCCTCCCAATGAAAAAAAGATCATCAAATCGAGACTATTCAATAACTTGAACTCAAACCAGTCAAATCTATTCTTATTAAATTTAAGTTATTCTATTTCAAAAATCTCAAGATACGAATTTCCTAAAAATTGGCCCGATTTATTTAACAAAATTCAAGATATCCTAATAACATCCTTAAATGACGTCGAAAATAACGTCAATAACCAATACCAATTTTACAACATTCTAATCGTTTTAAATCAAATAATCAAAATCTTAAATTCCGTAAAGATTGGCTTAATAAAACCAACTTTAGCTGTAAAAATTCAAATAATCACTCCAATCCTAATCAAATCTTATTTCAGTCTATTCAATAAATGGTTCCAATTATTCAACCAAAACCAAAGCCAAAGCCAAAATCAAAGTTTTTTGCTACTACTTAAATCCAACTACATTAACTTGAAAATCTTGAGAAGAATTATCGTTGATACGTTGCCACATCCGAATAAAGACCAGCTAATTATAGAATTTTTCAATAACTCTTTAAACCACTTGCAATCCCTATTAACTTTAAACTTGGATTACAACTCAATCAACATAAATAACCCAAATGATTTCGAATTAAATGAATTGATTTCAAAGTTCATCAAATGCTACATTAAATTATACCATAATTTAATACTTAGAAACCCAACTGCCTTCATCTTATTTCCAAACTCAATTAATATTTTAATAACTATACTAAACATTCTAAAGGATAAATCATCCCAAATAATTAACTTAATTGATAATAATAACAACAACAACAATAACAATAATACTGATGATTTTGATGTCGATGAATCACCTAACAACTTTTGGGAAATTATTGCAATTAAATCAATCCTAAGTCTAAAAAGATTATTGGCCTTTATCCATAGAAAATTAGCCTCGCAATCAAAGAAATCATTACTAAATGACTCGTCAACAAATTCTTCTTCAACGAGCTTAGTCATTAACCAAGTCAATCAAAAAGATGAAATTGATTTGGCAATACATATCTTAATTGGTCAATTCTTCACTGATGACTTGATTGTTAATATATTTAATTTGATTATTTATAATTATTTCAAATTATCTATAAATGACCTAAAAAATTGGCAAAACAACCCGGAATATTTCGTCAACCAACAAATATCTTTTAATTGGGAATTCCAAATTAAACCTTGCGTTGAAAATTTCTTTATCGATTTAATTTATAACTTTAAACAATTATTAACTCCCTTAATTTTAAATTATTTTAATTCAAATAATAACCTTTTACTATCTTTTAATCTTAATAACAATTCCAATACTACAATGCTCGATTTAGTTCTTGAAAAGGACTCAATATTAACTTTATTACAATTATCATCAACCATTTTAATCGACTACATCGACTTTAAGGACATTGTAATCAATATCCTATTGCCAATTATTTCCAATAACAAATTTATAGAAATCAAAATTCTCAAAAGAAGAATCATTTTAATTCTCGGTAGTTGGTTTACTCATTTAAGAAAACTCTCAAACAATAACGCTTTAAATATCTTTCAAATTTTAAATCTTTGTTTACTAGATAACTCAGTTAATGATAAAGTTATGAAATTGACTACAATTCAAACTTTGAACTGTATTTTAAATGACAAAAAATTCAATGACTATAAATTTCAATTTAAAGAATATTCGATTGACTTTTTAAAAAAAATTATCAATATTCTTAGTTCAAATGAATTCAAAAATATTGAAACTAATTTATATATTTTAAATACCTTATCGTTGATAATTGAAAAAAATATTCCAAATCTTGATTCAACTTTTATTTTAAATGAAATTATTCTAAATTTTATACCAAAGTATTGGGATTACTCAAATATAAATAATATTGATATTTTAAAAAATTCATTGATTAGACTACTAAAATTCTCAATTATTTCAATTAATAATTCCAAAAACTCATTTTCAATCTCCTTGCCGTTAATCAAATTAAGTTGTCAAACTAATTATTTAATGGACGATGGATTTGAATTATTCGAGACTATCTTGAAATACTATCCCGATATTATCAATAATGAAATCAACCATGAAGTATTTGATGAAGAACTTATTAAAATGATCCCACTTGTCTTTGAAGGGGTATTGAATTTCACAGAAAATTTGTTATTAATGTTAGCAATAATTAGAAGTTATATTATCATTTTACCTTTAGATATCTTTTATAAAATTGATGGAAATTTAAATCTACTTTTAAGTAGCAATGATATCAATAGTACAAATAGATTTGGAAATTTTAGCAACAATGATAACTTATTGAGTAAAATATTCACAGTTTTTGAAAATTATTTATTTAATGTTAAAGATGAAATATTGGAAATAATTGTATCAATTTTAGATATATTCTTCTTGAAAGTATATAAAATAAATGATAACAACAATGAAAATAAATTAATTATTGAAAATTTAATTAGTAGTGGATTAATTAGTGCAATACTAAGATTTTTGTTGGAAGAAAATCAATCACCTATCTATCTTGGTAAGATGTTCATAATACTAGCAAGAATTATTTATATTGACGATGGAATTCTATTTAAAGTTTTGAATTTAGATGAGTTTAATAAACTAATTCAATTATGGATGGACAATTATCAATATATTTATCTGGATAACTATCGAAACAAAAAAGTTGTTTTAATTGGAATTAGCTCGCTTTTAAGAATTCCAACTAACTATATCAATAACAACAGTGTTGAAAATAACTATGGTTCAATGATTCTCACTTATCAAAATCTCAGTTCTATAATTTTTACTGAAAAAAATGTTGATTTGACTTTTAATTTCTGGGCAAGATATTTAGAAGAGATATCTGAAAATTCCAATGGGGATTGTGAAAGATACTATAGCAAAAAGCATTTCAATTATGAAGAGTACCATTTATTAGATAATTTGGACTTAATTTTGGATAACTCGTTACCGAAAAATTCTGAATTTATTAGATATGAGTCGTTGTTGGTTGAAAATGATCCAATTCATAAGATTCCAATAAAGGTGTTCATAAAAAATATCTTGAATGAAATTGAAGCTAAAGTAGGAGTTGATGAGTATGCCAAGCTAATTAACCATGTGGACACTACGGTTTTAGAGGAGTTACAAATGTTGATTCATTGATCTGAAAAGTGAAAATATAACCTGAATTCAAAATTCTTTTCTTTAATAGATCCTAATAGCATTTAGTACAATCCTAGCCTAGCTTTATTCAACAACCACCTAATTTTTTTCTATTCACAGAAACCATTTGAAAAAAAACATGAAACTAAATTAACCAAATTATTAAAAACTCAGTCAATTTAGTAATAATATTCTTAATAACCCTTTTTATGAAATATTAACATCATTTAAAAACAAAACAACCAGTATTTAATAAAATCAATCACCTATCACTTTGCTTTTCAAATATTAATTACCATCTCGTTTAGAATCTTGAATGTGCCATTTTGTATTCATCCAACCAAAATCATGGTATCAAATTTGTTGCTACTTTGTACAATTCTAAATCAATTTATCAGAGGAATAGATAAACAATAGCCATATATTATACAATTCAAACTCTTGGGTTTGCTGGTCCAAATCACAAACCATCACTCAATAAAAGCATCTTTTACACCACTTCCCTCAGTAGTTGTTTCTGCTGGCTGCCATTGTGGTAATCTTGAACAGTCAGAAAAATATCAAAACTTTATATTGAATAGATGAAGCGAAAAATCCACCTCATAATTGCACCAACAGTTTGTAATGTCAAAAATAAGAAAAAGCAAATAGTAGAACAGAGAAATGAAACTGCTTAAACCCAGTAAATTGATTATTAAAATTTCAACAGCAGTATACCTGTACATTTCCCCAATGCCATTTTCTTAGATAATTCCAGAGTTATATATCTCCCAAACTAAATGCAACTTTGGTTTGTTTTATCATGATTACAAAACCACCAGAAGCAGCTCTCGTAGCCAATTGAATAATGTTGTTATTGATTCAGCTGAAACAGCACGCCATCTTGATGAAATACACCGGCGCTTCTATGATATTGGTGTTTCTTCCAGTTTTTAACTTCTGAAAACTTGGAAAATGGATTTGAGGATAAAGTTGAAAAGGAAGCTGAGTCCATTCTGGTGCAAGATATAAATCAACAAAGCAAATGAAATGGTAACCAGGGACAGGTTTTTAGTTATCTGAATCCTTTTAATCTTTGGGGTACTCTAGTATTATATAAGAATTTACGAACTTGCTATAGTTCCAGGCCTGGAGATTGTATGGAATTACTGATTAGGAAAGAGTGAGAGCTTACATCAGAGAGTGGTTAGTGATTGTGTATTTAGCAAACCTTAGCATTATATAATAGGCCACGAATTCAAGCAGACAATAATGAATTAAATGAATAAAAAAGCACAAAGAAAAATATAATATAAAAACTATATAAAGGATGTTTAATGTCAATGAAAACGATCAAGTTAAAATAAGACGAGTTCGATAAGAAAAAAAATAAGGACCCAAGTGTTCGGACCAATATCAAATACTTTTGGTGATAAATTCTTTGGTGGTAAGAGAAGTAATTTCTTTTGATTCAGCAACGTTGAAAAACAATTTAGTTATTTGAGTGATAATAGAAGTTCTATTCTTTTCGAATAGTTTAAATTTTAAGGAAATTTTTTGATTTAATTTTTCAAAAGAAAATTTTGTGAAATCAAATACAAAATAGTTTTCATTTTCGGTTTCAGTTAAAACAGCAGGAGCATCTTTGGTTTTCAAGTAAGAATCTGTTTGTTCTGGGTTATCCAAGATTTCAAGCTCGACAAAATAGTCTTGAGGGTTGAAGAATTTTGTGACATTTTTCTTTGATTTGTCGATAATTTTCAACGATAATTTTGCGTAATCATTTGGAAATGTTTTTGAATCAGATTCAATGAATTGAATTTCATAAGTCAAGTTATTAAGTTCAATTGAAACCATTTTTGATTATTAGTAGATGTGATACTAGAAATGTAGGTATTAATTTGAAGAATACTAATTAGCCACGATAAAAAGGGAGAAAATTCTCAATGTATTTATAATAAAACTTGATTATTAGAGAATTAAAAGGGATACTGGTCATTATTAGTGAATATTGGTGAATATCAGTGAACAATTGAATTTTAATTGATTTTTTTTTTGTTTCTTTGTTTTTTTATTCATGGGATTAATAATGTAAATAATTTCCCTCTTTCGACAATTGAATTTCTGATTAATCCAAGTCAAATAGAAAAGTTATATATCAAATTGAATATCGTTAAGCCCGCCCAACAAGAATAAATGTGTTGATGTTTCCATAGTCAAGTTAGTGAGTTGTTGAATTGTTGAGCTGATGAGCTGAATTGAGTTGAAGTGAATAAGATTATTATTTTGTTTCGTTTCTACGAATTGGAGATATTCTTCTAAATGGAATACCACTTTGAAAGTGGAATTTTCTGTTGAGGTGGTTAGTAGAAGAGATAAGAGTTTGTATGCAATGTCACGTGATATGTCAATAGAAAAACGAGATTATTCTTGTAGAGATGTTGTTGTTGATGTCAGTAGGACTAAAGCCATTAAAATGAATAGAAGTGTGAAGTAATTCGAGTAAAAAAAAAGGAATAAACGAGATTAACAAAAACAATTTGTTCTATAAGAAAAGAAAGACCGAAACAAACGAAAAAGAATATGATTAAAAAGTGAAAAATATAGGAGAAGAAGTGAAGGTTAAGTCAGGTTGAAACCAAATTGAAATGGTGTCGAGTAATTTTTGTTTTTGTTAGGTTATATGTGGTTGGATTTTTTCTCTATGGCTAGTTGGATAGACCCATAGAGTTAGAGGAGTGGTTAGAAAGGTGCAGATTAGCGCCATTACAATGAACATTGAAAAGACCTTTTCTGAGATAATGCCAGCGTTTAAACCAGTTGTTAAAACAACAATTTCTACGATACCCTTGCAAGACATAAGGACGCCAACAGTGAGCGATTCTCTTTTGGATAGTCTGAACAAAATGGAACCGAGAAAGCCACCTAGGATTTTTGTTATCATGGCGATTGCAATGATGGCCACGATATAGCCCCAGTCTTTGGCAGAGTTTAAAGAGGTTAGGTCAGTCTTTAAACCGGCTAGAGTGAAGTAAAGAGGGATGATAGCAGTTTGAGTCAAGTCGTCGATTTTAACAATTAGTTTTTCGACATAGTTGTTGTCTCTTGGGATTATCAAGCCAACTAAAAAGGCGCCGAATATTGGATGTACGCCGATGATATCAGTGAAAAAGGAGGAGATGTAGACTAGTACAATCATAATTGAGATGGCGTAGGTTGAAGGGCCATTGTTGATTTCATTTGTTTTTTTGATGAAAGCCCAGCGGATTAGGTATTTTACAGGGAACAAAATGAATAGCATCCAGCCAAAGGCGACGAGTAGGATATATACAGTAGTGATTGCGTTGTCAGCATTGGCGAGGGTGATGCTGAGAGCTAGTAAAACCCAACCAAAGATGTCGTTTGTAATGCCAGCAGCTAGGACGATGACACCAATTTTGTCAGTGATTAGATTTAGTTCGGATAGAATCCTCGCTAAGACTGGAAAAGCAGTGATGCACATCGCAACAGCAATAAAGACGAGGTATGTTGAGAAGTCAGTCTCGTTGTCATTTTGAGACGTATGGTATTCGTTGTATAAGCCAATTGAGATGATGCAGCCAAAGCCAAAGGGGATGGCCATGTTGATTATTCCAACAGTCAAAGCGATTTTGAGATTGTTTTTGATGAAATTCAAGTCGATTTCTAGACCTATAAGGAACAAAAAGAGGATCAAGCCAAAGTTGGCGACTAGAGTTAAGCCAGGTATGGAATCACTGGGAAAGACATTCGACGAGAAATTAGGGATGTTGCCTAGAACAGTTGGACCTAGTATGATACCAGTCAAGACTTCAGCGATAACCTTGGGCTGTTTCAAAAATTTCAATGGGATATGGATTAAGTAGCATAAACTGATAATCAAAATGGACTGGAAAAGAAATATGGTGATTGGGTTGGAGGACTCATAAGCAATTGGGTTTCTACCAGATATTATTCCAGCGACAGACGAGGTATCGATAGCCATTTCGAGTAGAGCTATTGTGAAATAAGGGGATATGAAATAAGAGATGGAGTAGTGTCTCTCTGGGTGCATCAAAATATGTAATATAACGAAGCTCTGTTTGGATTTGACACGCGGAAAAATGCCGATAAAGCAGAAGCAAAATGGCGGAACAGAAAGAAATCGAGCTAACAACGAGAAAACGAAGGAAACAGCGCAAGAAAATAACAGCTTGCTGACAACACCAATAACAAGAGAAGACTCAAGTGAGCAAGAGAAAACTTCAGTAAAAACGAGAAGCAGCAAGCCAAAAAAACAGACCCAGCTTTTTCTCGCAACTTGTTTCTGGCCGCTGGGACGGATTGATGCAGACAGTGCCGGGAATATGCAGCTGGTGGAGGCAGAACCGCTGTTGTGGTGCGCTACGTATGTATGCATGAAGAGCGCCATCATGCATAAACCGGGTAATCTAAAAGCGCTGTCAGAAAAGCCATTGAGATGGTGCCCATTGTGTTTACATAATCACACGTGCATCTGTGGCGAATGCTCTTCCGCGCCTCGGCCGACGCTTACGAATCAGGGCCACAAGCAAAGTCCCACAGTGATGCTCTTACACTTGATCAGCTCCTTCTTCTTCACTTCTACCTGGGTCTCTATTTATACCCCTAATTTGCGCATCTCTGCCACCATCCTATATTTCGACAATGGCTCCAAATAACAACCTTTCCATTAAGAATCCTGTTAATTCCATCAACGATCAGTATGTCGATATGGAGGTAATACCAGATCCAGGGGATCCAACCTCAATGGAGATCGATGCTGATGTTGAAGTCATTGACGACGACGATGACGACGACGATGATGATGATGATAATGATGATGATGATTATGATGATGATGTTCCTCTTGGCGATATCAACAACATCGATGATCTAGATAACATGGACGACATTGATAACGATCTCAACACAATTGATGCCTCCATTCACCCAATTCAAGGTCCTGGCAATACCAACCCTAACTCATCCTCAAACAATTCTACCAACGACAACTCTCATCTAAACGATATCACCCATATTAATAATGTTGACAATATATCCAATCCCAAAAGCTGCTCCAAAAGTATCCCTAAAAATGTCTCCAAAAACGTCTCCAAAAATACCTCCAAAAACAATGCTGCCAATAATCCTACTCCCAACAATAATATTCACAATGCCAAAAACCACAATCATAAAAATCAAAATCTCACTCCCCAGCAAAAGAAAAATATAGCTCCCGCGACTGATTTTAATTTTTGGATGAACCAAATTAAAGATGTCCCTGATTATGACTACATTGAAAAAAAGCATTTTACTTGGGAAATCAAAAACTTTTATAACCCAGATAACTCAAACAATAATAATAATAATAATAATAATATTAATAATAATAATAATAATAATAACAACAATAATAATAATAATAACAATAGCAATAATAATACCCAAAATAATGCACCCAACAAATTAGTCTCCCCCGTATATAGATGTGGTGGCTACAATTGGGACATCCTTCTTTTCCCAAAAGGAAACACAAACAACAACAATTATATATCTCTATACCTACAACCCTTACCTGAAACTAAAAAAAAAATTACAAACTCCAACGAATCAAAAGATTCAATCAATTCCTATTCTTCCAATTCAGACGATCTAATTGACCCAGATTGGTACGTTTGTGCCCAATTTGGTTTACTAATTTGGAACCCTGAAAATCCAATGATAAAATTCTTTAATCACTCTCACCACCGTTTTTATAAAGACGAAACTGACTGGGGCTTTTCAAATTTCATCGACTTGAAATCACTATCAAAAGTACAAGGTTTCAACGAAGGCTTTCTATCTCAAAAATCAAATAATCTAAATATCACAGTTTTCGTCAAGGTCCTTAAAGACAAAACTGGTGTATTATGGCACAACTTTGTCAATTACAACTCAAAAAAGGAAACTGGTTTTGTAGGTTTGAAAAATCAAGGTGCAACTTGCTATCTAAATTCCTTAATTCAATCCTACTTCTTTACTAAAAGTTTCAGAAAATTGGTCTACCAAATCCCATCAAAGGATGACAACAGCGTAACCCTAGCCCTACAAAGGGTCTTTTACCAATTGCAAATATCCGACGATGCCGTTGATACCTCAGACTTGACAAGATCTTTCGGTTGGGACACCGGTGCTGCTTTCACCCAACATGACGTTCAAGAACTAAATAGAATTCTCATGGATAGATTAGAATCAAAGATGAAATTAACAAATGTCGAAGGTGGCCTAAACAACATTTTTGTTGGCAAAATGAAAAGCTACATAAAATGTATCAATGTTAATTATGAATCTTCAAGAATCGAAGATTTTTGGGATATCCAATTAAACGTCAAATCAATGAAGGGTTTAATCGAATCGTTTAAAAACTACATCGAAGTCGAATTATTGGAAGGTGAAAATCAATATGACGCCTTTGGCTATGGCTTGCAAGATGCTAAAAAGGGGGTTGTTTTTGAAAACTTTCCTCCAGTCTTACATCTACAATTAAAGAGATTTGAATACGACTTCAATTATGATACCTTAATGAAAATCAACGACCGCTATGAATTTCCCGATACAATTGATTTATCTCCCTATTTAAATCAAGATAATAAAGAAACCTTGAAAGAAGACTGGAATTATGATTTATACGGTGTTTTAATTCACCAAGGTGATATCTCCTCTGGTCATTATTACACAATGATTAGACCAACAAAAGACGGTGACTGGTATAGATTCGATGATGATAAAGTATGGAAAGTCACTCACAAAGAAGTATTTGAAGATAATTTTGGTTGTGATTTGCTTGATAATTCAATCACTTCAACTTTCAGTCGATCTGATTTTCTCGAATATCAAACTAAAACTCACACTAGTGCTTATATGCTTGTTTATATTAGAAAAGACTTGTCTAGCGAAATATTAGAAGAAGTCACTGATGACAACGTCCCCAAACACATTATTGAAACCGTTAAACGAGAAAAAGAAGAAAAATTAAGGAAAATTAAAGAACAAGAAGAAATGCGTCTCTGTTTAAGTATTAGTTTATTCACTCCAAGAATTTTTAATAATTATGAAGGTTTTGATTTAGCTGCAAATCAATACGATAAATACTATAGTCACTCCCTTTATGACCAAAAATCTTCTCCAAAAGTCATAAAAATGTTGAAAACAACCAAATGGGATGATGTTTATAAGACTATTTTTAAAAGTTTGAATTATGATGAAAATGTTGCTCGTAAGTTCTTGAGATTATGGGCTATAGTCTATCGCAAAAATTACACCATCAGACCGGATTGTCCTGTCAAAGTTGCCGTGGCTGAAATAGATAATACTAAGGTGTCATCTTCAACGATTCACGAAATTTACTCAAAACTTGCTACGAGAAAAAATGGGGAATTTTTATTATATTGCGAAGATCTTAGAAGAGACTTGAGATCTATTGTTAGGTATATTGATGAAAAAGGAGTTGATTTGATTCCAAAGGTATTTAAAAATTACAAAACTTTACCTTTTATTTTTGAAAAATTAGACAAATTTTTTTACAAAGTGATTCTAAATGAAAACGGCGAAAACGTGGATAAGAATCAAAACCAAATTTTTAATTTTCCAACAATAAACTCTTTATCAAGTGAAATTTGCATTTTTATTAAATATTTTGACAAGATCAATCAAAAAATTATAGGTTTTGGGGATATTATAATGTCGAGATCTGAGCCTATATCAAATTTAAAATATATTTTGAATAAATTTATTGGCTATCCTGAAGGTACATTGTTGGATTTTTATGAAGAAATCAAACCAACAAACATTGATGAAATAGATATTGAGAAATCATTTTCAGAAAATGAGTTATCAAACGGTGATATAATTTGCTTTACAGAATCATCTGTTCAAGTTGATCCTGACACAAATAAAAAATTACAAGAATTAAATAAGGAATTTGAAAAAAACACAGCAGAGTTTTTGAAATCTGTATCAAATAGCAATGAAAATGATCAGGAAAAACAGTATGAATCTATTATTCCTCATTGTGAAAATCCAAAAATGTACTACAGGTTCCTCGCAACTAGGCTTCAAATTGTTTTCAAACCTATCGTCAATTTCGAAAATGATGATTATGTTATTGTAAATAATGGTGAGGGAATGGATGATAAAAATTCCAAAGGTGAAGAGCTAGACGCAAATAATGATACACTATCTAATTCTAAAGATTTTCACTTTTGGTGCACAACTACAACTACTTATGATGAAATGGTTAAGGCATTAAGTGAAAAATTGGGAGTTGTACCAGAATATTTGAGAATTTTCTTGATACATGGGGATTCAAGAATTGCATTGCGATCTCACAATACTATTGGTCATATTGTAAATACTAAAAATTACAGAGCTGCTTTGACATTGCAGTTTGAATATGAAATATTGAGTATCACATTGGATGAGTTAGAAAACATGAAAACAATCAAAGTTTCCTGGATTCCGTCAGGAATAATGCATGAACATTTATTTGAGTTTTTAGTACCAAAAGATGCCGGGGTTTCTGCTTTGTTTGATAAATTACAGCACAAATTAAATTTCGATGATTCTGTTAAGGAGACTATTTTATGTTGGATTTCCAATGACGAAAATAAACTATTTAATTACTTTAAATCAACTGATAAGATTCAAATAATCCCTGATGATTTTATAGTTTATGCCAGTCCTTTAAAGAATGATGCTAGGTACTTGAACTGCAATCCGGAGACAGCAGATGAAAAGTTGAAGAAGGAATTAGAAAAAATACACTTTTTACCTGTATTTCAGTTTCAAAAAGACCCTTCTAAAACACATGGAATTCCATTCTTTTTCGGTGTATATAAAGATGAAACAGTTAAAGAATTTAAAACCAGGTTCCAGGAACGGTTATCTTTGGGACAAAAAGAATTTAATAAAATAAAGATTGGTTTGATAAGTCAAAATAACATGGATATTCGTTATTTTGATGACGAAGATTCTAATTTTAATGCTTATGAATTGATGCAACCAGGGGATAGTTTATTTCTTGATCATCCAAATCGTTCAACACACAATCAAAATTATGGAGGTGGTGCAATTTTTATTAAAAACTGATTTTATATTTTCATGTTTGTTTATTTGTTAAATTTTGAAATAGTCCAAATTTTTTTTCTTTCTAAATTTTGTTTTTGCTTGATTTTTCTTTAGCTGAAATATTTTTAACTATTTAAACTCTTTGCAAGGTTTTCCTTTTATTTTTTTTTCTTCTATTTTATTAAATTTTATTTAACTTACTTTTAGTCGGCCCATTTAAATGGTCTCAAAAAAACACGCGGATGGTAAATATATTTTTGATTGAAATTTTTTATGTTCAATATTTGTAAGATTGAATCAGATTAGTAATTGATTGTGAAACTCAATTGAAAAATTGGTCAATTTGATTCTATAAACATAATTATCGAGATGGAGAGAAAAGATGATGGTGGAAAGGATACTTTTATCAATCCAAATGAAATCGATGAGGAGATAGGGAATGTTTCTGATGAAGCCGAACCTATGGATGAAGATGAAGGTGATGAAGAACTTCAAGGAAATGATGATATTATCGAAATAGACATGTCTAACAATTCCTGGGCTTATTTTGATAAACATCAAGATTCAGTGTTCAAAGTGATAAGTCATCCATTTTTACCCATTGTTGTTTCTGGTGGAGCTGATAATACAGCTTTTATGTGGACATCAAATTCGCAGCCTCCAAAACTTATAACAGAACTTAAAGGACATACTGAATCAGTAATTGCTGGTGGTTTTACAAAAGATGGATCATATATTATTACCGGAGATATGACCGGGAAAGTTTTAGTTCATAAAGCGTTTAAAAAATATCAACAATGGAGAAAAATAGCAGAAATTAATGAAATTAGTGAAATAAGTTGGATCGAAGTGCATCCAGTTCAGAATTTTTTTGCGTTTGGTGGTATTGATGGATCAGTTTGGTGTTATTCTATTGAAAATGATAATGTTGAGCAAGTCTTTTCAGGGTTTAATCATTCAATTGAGTGTACATCTGGAAAATTTGTCGATGTTGATGATATAGATTCATTACTTTTAATAACTTGTTCTGAAGATTCAAGTATCGTGTTTTGGAATTGTTACACCTCTGAGCCGATTTTCAAATTAACCAGTAATGATTTCAAATCATCAGATAACCATTCTTGGGTGACAATTTCTGCTTTAGATAATAGCAAGATTGTTGCGGTTGGAAGTAGAGATGGTGTTATTGCAATCTTGAATTATGAGACAATCAAAATATTGAACACAATAAAAGCAATAGATTTGAAAGAAAGCGATGATATTTATGACTCTTCAGTAGAGGCTTTGGCCTGGTGCAGTGTGGAAAATTCTACGTTATTAGCAGTTGGATTAGTTTCTGGAGATTTGACCTTTTATGACAGTAAAAGCTGGAGGATAAGAAAGAGCGTTAAATTAGAAGATGCAATTACTAAATTGGAATTCATAAAAGATGAAAATTTTCTTATTGGCTCATGTATGAATGGTAGAATATATAAATGGAATGTTTTAACAGGCAAAGAAGAATTTGTTGGTGTGGGTCATAATTTGGGTATCTTGGATTTCTGTGTTCAAGACAAAGGCAACAAGCTCATAACGGCTGGGGATGAAGGTGTCTCATTGGTTTTCAACTTGAATAAATAAGTAGTTTTATAATTGAATTCGAGTAAGACCCTGTTTTCAGATAATCTTTTTTCTTTTTAAATTGGAGTTTATAACAAAATCAATTCTATTAAGAAAAACAATACACGTAATTGGTTGCAATGTTGAAAGGTGATTTAGTCCTAAAATTGAAGTAAAAAGATAATCAATCAGGGTGGAGTCCTTCATAAGTTTTGTTCTTCCAATGCGAAGTGTTCTCCTTAATCGTAGAAAAGCGATTAACGAGAAGGCTTTAATAGCATTGGGTGGGGCCAAAGGCCAAAATCATAAAACAATACATTTGAAACAAGAATAGAAGTGTAAAAAAAAATGGAAATGTGAAAAACAGCATATATTAACTATATACCATTATAAACAAGTTGCTAAACCACATATGAGCTAAGTGATATAAAAAGAGTAGAAGAAAAGAAGAGCTGAATTTTTTAAATTATATCAGAAAAACCCAACTGTTACCCTCTCCAAAGAAATTTAGGTCTCAACTCTTCTGTGGTGGATCTCTGAAGATGAGGAATGGTTGTGAGGACGAAGAGAGTATTATCGAATCTACAGAATTGCAAAGTTAAGTAGAGATTGAAGACTCATTCTGCACAGTTTATCGTTGTCTTCTTCCACTTCTTACTAAATCAGGGAGCTTGAGAGGCACCTTCAATGTGGCAACTTGGTCTTTTGCTGTTATTTTAACGTCAAATGCTTCGATTTGAGTCTGGGTAGCATTTCTAACTAGACAACCTACAGCTCTCAATAAAATTATCATTCTTGATGGTTTAAGCGACAATTCTTGAGCCAAAGGAGCAACGAGAATGGAGAAATTGTCAATATGCATAATCAAAACCAAAATGAAACATAATAGCTTGTCCTCATGGCTGGGATCTATGGTGAAACTTCTGTCTTTGGATTTACCAAATTGACTTGGTCTTGAGATTGTGAATTTATCGAGAATAGTTTCAACAAATACTTCGGCGGGGTTTTTGAGTAGTTCGAGTAGCTGCGATTTTTTTGATAAATTTTTTTTGAATGCATATGTTCCTAGTAAAAGTGACGTGAAATATAGTAATTTCATCTTTTTAACATCCAACTCATTGTCAGGATTATTGTATTTCATTACATGTTCTTTAAGATATAATGAATCGCTAAAAGGAAATAATTCAAGTCTTTTTTTAGCATCTTTTTCTTGGAAAATTGGAGCAAGTCTGATTATGTTCCATTCTTTTTTGTCTATTAAGCCGGAAATTGGGAAGGCATCATCAACGATGGTGGCATTAATGTCATATGGAGGAATAGGTCTATTTGATTCTGAAATTGATTTTTTAAGACCATCTCTTGTGGGAACATCAAAGGTGGACAATTTAACGTTGTCAATGATATCGACCTCCATGTCCTGTAAGGCGTCCGTATCAATACGATTTCTTTGAATATCATTGATTGCCTTTTTTGCCTTTTTTGAACCAAAAGAACGACCGAGACTGCTCTTTTGTTCTGAATACTTGACATCAAGTTGTTTAATTTCCTGGATTTTAGATCTTTTTCGCTTTTTAGAGACAATACTCATTAATTCTACTGGAATTTGATTGTACAATTCCACTTTTTGAGTTGAAGGATCATAAACTGCAACGCAATAATTGTTTGGATCGTCTGATTGAGCTGATATAAATTCTAATTGATCATTTTCTCCATAAAGTATATTTGGGTCATAAGTTGATGCCTTTGATTTATATAACTTAAAATTATTCTGTTGATTGCCTTCAAACCCATTAAAAAAACTGCCTATAACTAAGGAAGGTTGAGATACATATTTAGAAACCTCCAAATTCTTTTGGTTGAAGGCAACAGCCTTTTCCTTTTTTAATACAACCATGTTAGTTTCAATTCTTTATCAATTTGAAAGATTGAATGAAAAATTTGGCATATTGAAAAAAAAGTTAAAAAAAATAAAAATGCACGTGATATACGTTAGGATTAGGTTTTTGAGACCATATTTTTGGGTCAGGGTATTGCAGAAGGTAGAGCATCCATCCAGGCGGTTTCATTTCAAAAAGTGTGGTTTATAATTCTTTTAATCTTAACTTTTAATCCACAATCTTCAATCAACCCTAATGCTAATGGTAGTAATAATAGCGATCCATTTGTATTTGTTGCCTCTAGGCTTAGACACTCTCTTTGTTTTACATTTAAAACCAGTTCGTGCCTTCCAAAAGTTGGAAAGTCGGTTTAGTTACCAGTGTTAATGACTAAAAAAGGACCTATGTGAATATTATTTTGTTTAAATTCAATTGGTGTTACACTCTTCACCATTAATTCAACAAACATCCTTCTTTACATTTCTTATCCGCTACTTGTCAAGGAATTTGCAGTCTCCTATGCCAGATGCCAGTTCATTGTATCTCAAAATTTGGTTAATGAAATTATTTACTTTATTAATTTTTCCAAAAAATCTAACAACATATAGTTTATTTCATATCATCCTATCAACAGTGTACCAATACTATAGTTGAAGATATATTGGATAGCTAACACAAAAGATTTAATGAGTTTCAATATATCCGCGTATGCTTTTGTTATCAAACAACAAAATAGTTTGTTTTACTAATACTATAAACAAAACAGTTTAAATGCAATATAACAATTAAACCAAAGATCATTTGATGATCATATTTAAAAATTAACAATAACCACCACTCTGCACTAATTCTACCACCAGCAATTGTTTTCACAGCAATAAGTTTCAATCTATGTTTAAGTTTGTTTAAGCTTGTTTAAGCTGTTTTCGGTCTAACTGATCCATATTGTGCCTTTTTCGTTTTTGTTCCTTTTTCACGATTGTTGGTTTTGGTGGTTTTAATTCCTTTTCAATATTGTAATATTTATTTGCAATTTCAGTGATTACTTTCTTCTGATTTTCCACAAACTCACAATCAATGTCGATGTAATTGGTACAATCGCACAAGAGGTCAATTAATGATAAATAATCTAACCAGCAATAAAACAAAAACTCATCTAATTGTTTATCATCCGACTTGGCTTGCTTATGATTTTGTTGGTTTTCAAGATTTCTATCATTGTTAATCGAAGAGCTGCCAAAATCAATATAATAAAAAGCATTTTGTTCTTCGTTGTATACCACATTCAATGAATGAATGTCGCAATGAACCACTCCGGAAGAGTGAATTAGATACAAATTCCCAAGTGATTTAATCATCATTTTCTTAACTTTCTTACTTGTTACGTGCTTCATGTCGTTGGTTTTCAAATATTTGGTTTCAAGAAACAAACCAGCCATTTGAAGATTTTCATGATCATTTGATTGATTAAAATTCGTTAAATGTTTTTCCTTGACTAAATTTGGATGTGATAGATATCCATATTGAAACATCTGCGGAACGATTGTCCTGAATTTTTTTGCAGAAAGCTTTTTATAAGCAGCAATCTCTTTCATGAACCTTGTTTGCGTAGCACAAAATTTATCAACTAAAACAGCATATTTATACTTATCAGTTTGCTCATCAAATATGGAGTTTGTACATCGGATAGCATCATATATTTTTAGCACCTTGCCATTGGTTATTACAAAAACTGCAGCATAATTCTAGTTAGGCTTGTCACCTTGAATAATTGTTGTGACATTTTTGAGAAAAACATCGCTCGGGCAACAAATAACTTTATCTGTCAATGCTTTAAATAATATTCCTTCTGCAGAATTTATCCTTAAACTAGCATTGTCGGTTTCTGAGTTTTTAATAAAAGTTACATATTGATTTTGAATGGTATAAAATGCTTTTATAAATTTTCTGTTAAGAGATGGCGAAATCGCCAAATTTTTAAGCATTGTTAAGCATTTGTTTTGATGCTCTTTCCGTTCCCGGTCACTGCGACGCGACTGGCGAAGAAAATGCTTCAAAATGAAAGCTGTTAGTATTGTAGAAGGTGTAAGGTTGTCCAAACTTGTATCTTTAAGCGAAATCATTTTATATTTAATTGGAACTTTAGCAATCATATTTCCCTCTGCTATCCCTGCCACCTGATTGTCATTATATTGTTCAAATAAAATCTCATAAAAGAATACATTTTTATAATCAGATATAATTCCATCATCACAACAGCTAAAAAGGGTCTGATAAAGAGATTGAGAAAAAACTTTTTTAAAGTTTTGCATCTTATTATTAATTGTGCTAGTTTCAAAAAATGTCGATGAGAAATCATAAAAGTATTTTTTGAGATTTGGAAGTTTAATTTCAATAGGTACAACTGGTTTTCTTGATTCTCCAATGACTAAAGTGATGCCTGGAATTACTTTAAATTTTTCATATTGAGATTTTTTGGATTGTTTTACTGGATTTAACACTTTGAGTGTTTGATAAAATACATGGTTAGAACCAGTAATGTTTGTGGGAGAAATCAATCTACATATGGGATCTAACAATCTGTTTTGAAAAAGATATTCAATTGATTTTTCATTGAGCACAATTACATTAGAACCAGTTGCATAATCAAAAACATTTGAAATGATGTGCGAATTATCAAATATATATGAGGATAATCTTGTTGTAATTTCAATTAATTCTTCATTTGAGAACTGGCATTGCTCCGCAGGTACTACCATGTGGTAGCTATCATAAAACAAATTGCATCTGTTTGTGCTAATGGGTTTTGTTTCAAAGTGCAGCTTTAAAATAGTCGGACTCGGGAGCTGTTTGTCGACGTTAAGGATTTCAATTTCTTGAATGGTAATATCTTTTTGAAGTTTTGGAATGTTAAAATTTAAAAAAGCATTAATAGAGAGCCAGTGATAGACGTATTCAATTATGGTATCGTCAGGATCTTCTCTAATTTTCATGTTAGATTTAGCACATTTCCAGATTTCACCAATATCACTAAAATTGTAATTAAGGGTTTTAATATAGTATGCAATACCACTTTTTGCTGAGAAAAGTGAACTTGCAAATAATTTTGCGGAGGTTGGATAATCATTACTTGTTTGATGTTGAGCACAAGACTCTAGCTCTTTACTGTTTCTAAATAATGGTGAATGAAGTCGCAATAAAAAATGATAAACTTTGGAATTTATATTATTATAAGCTTTGGTAAAATCATCAGAATTATTTGCGGAACGGCGTGCTTGTTCTTTTAGTAGCTGGTAAAGATTAGCATCATTAAAATTTTCTTGATGTTATCTGTAACGTTTCAAATGGGTGTTGAAATTATCTAGCGATCTGTGCACCAATGATAGTTTGCGTGCTTTGTATTTGATGTAGACGTCCATTTGAATTTAGTATTACAGTAGTAATTTAGCTTGAAATATAATAATATTGATATATCTTATTTAACTAAAGTGGGTACGTCTAAATGTCTCACAAGTCCAAAGTGTGTAATATTTAAGCAATCATTCTGACAAAATTTAAGCAGCTTTTGTGTCTAGAGCTTAAAGTTTGAGAATCCTGCATATTCTCGCATGTTAAGTTGTTCCGTTTTACTTATTTTGACTCATTTCTCTATTTTGTCCATCGGAGGGTTTTCGAATACTTTAACGATACGATTGATTCGTATCTTTTGAAATGGCGAATATATAATGTTTTTAAGGAATCTATTTAATTATTTATCATTTTAGTATTTATTGATATTGAATAATTGACTAATCAATGGTGAGATAAATGATCCCTTCCACAAATTTTTTATAAGCAATTTCAAGCAAAGTAGCTACAAGATAGATAAAGAAGACAACAATGAAAATGCAAACGACATTTCAAGCTTCGATTTGTTTGATGCGGAAAAGTATTGGAATTTCAAATCTTCAATCAAAGACGATGTAATATTTCATGAATTTGCTGATCCATTGATCAAACGAATAATATTATCAACAGCAACTGATTCAAACACTTTTAAGGACTGTGATCTTCAATTAATAACAATGGATTTTTTGTTTTGCAATTTCAATCACACTTCTAATTGTGCCCACGATCATTTCAATAATTATGAACATCATTCAAGTACTGATATTAATAATCATGATGCTTTGAAAAAATTGAGCTTGTCAATTAATGCAAATATAATCTCCAGTTTCAACAATAAAAATGAATTGAAATTACAAATTAACTATTGATTAGGAAAAACAAATAATTTGATATTAAATTTGAGACTTAATGGGTATAGTTTATTGAATGTATTACTTAGGTTTGTTTGTTTGTTTTTTATTCAATGGCAAACCCATTTAATTTTTCATATGTTTATTAATTTAAATTTACTTGTTTTAAAAAAGAATAAAACTACTCTTTATGTAAATCAGTTAGACAATATTTTCTGGTTTTGTTTTATCAGTAAAAGTTTCAAAAATAAAAATAATAATCATATTAATTGTTATCATTTAACAACTTTCTATGGTTTGATGGCAGAGAAAGAATTCTATATAAAAGCTCACAAAACAAAAGAGAACGTCCTATTTTTGACAAACTACGATGGGCTGGAATACAAATATATTTAAAATAGGATTCTCGTATTTCAAGCCATTTTAAAATTAAAACATTTGGAACAGAAAAACAAATTAATTTTAGATAATTATCAATTCTCCTTAGATTGCATGGATTATATCATAAATTAACAAATACCTTAAGTACATAATCTAATTTAATAAACAGAAGATAGTTTTGGGATTTATTTTTATTATTATTAATAACTCTTTCGGTTTATCTCAAACAACTAGATTCCTTTGTTGAAAGGAGAATTAGAAAGAGCGAGTGAGTCTGTTTCTCTATTCTCGGGCTTTTTGAAAATTGGATGTTCTTCCTGCCGGCCATAGATAAAAGAAAGAAACATATAATAGTTTAAAGCAAAAGATGGCTGTGCTAGTTTTGGAGAATTATTCCGGTGACGTTCAATTTGTTTGCGGATGAATTGTATTGTGGGGTAAGCTGGTTTTTCATATTCATAATGAGCACTTGGTACCAATTAGGAAACCACCAGGTGTGTATATCAAGGACCGTCTGGTATTCTGTGTATAACTCGTACCATTATATTTGCTAGACCGATTTAGGGCATGACTATTTTAGGAAGCGAATCAACATACCAAATTAATTGGTGGCGCAAAATCATTGCTAAGGAAATGCACAGAACTGTTTCTGAAACTCTTTGTTCTCTGTTGTGTTTTTAATGTTTGTGTCTCAGATTGAAATTTCTTCTGCTTACTAAAAAAAACGATTAATAAACAATGAATTTATTGCCGTAGAGACTATTTCAGAACAATTAGAAACATAGTTGGTGATATTCACAACGGAACGCACCAAATTAACCAGAAATACCAGAGCGAATGATTGTGTCTCTAGAATTATTTAGTGAATTGTTAATGAATTATTTAAAATGCAAACTGAATAGGTAAACCTACCACGTTGATAAGCAGAGAATATGCTGGAGAGATCAGAAATGTAAGCTATGGTGATGGCAATGGCCTTATATTCCGATAAGAGGGAGAAGATGTTTGTGCTCATATTAACAATAGGTAAAGGAGAGCAGCAATTGGTCAATACCAGATTCACCATAATATTATTTAGATGCCCTTATATTCCGCTGAGAAACCCTCAGAGAGTGGGATGGCCGTCCTGAACAGCGGTAGGCTTACCCAGACAGTAGTTTCAGGGCGGTTGGGTGGGGGCGGAGATGCACTGTTTTGAAAAATCCTGTGGGCCCAAAACACCTGAACAGCCGGAAAAGCAAAGGAAAACACCCAAAGCAGGGGGGATTGGTGCGTGCGCAGTGTGTTCCACCAGTGTAGCATCCCGTTGGATAACCAACGGTTGTGGAATCTACCAATTAACCGCCGGCGTGGAAATGCTAGTAGGCAAGCACCTGCACGTTGCAGTGTGATCCTAGCTGACGTTAGCACAGCTGCAGAAAGGTCTGCGTTTCTGGCAAACATCTCTCGATTACTGCTTTCTGACTTTCTGACTTTCTGATCTCATTCATTTCGCTGTTTTCACAGTTTCTTCAGCTCCAGAATATTTTATTGTTCTCCAGGCTGTCTAGCCAATGGTTACCACCCAGATGTTCTGTCCAGAAATGCTGTTGGATACCTTTTTTCTATATAAGCTAACGGATTTCTCTTGTTTTACCACTGTGACCACAAATTTCTTCACTGCCTTTCCCAACAACATCACTCTTTAATACCTTTCTGCTTTTTTTCCTCTTTTCTTCCACCATCAAAAGTTTGCCTAAATGACCCAATCATCTCAACAACCAAACTACGCTTTGTCTTGTCACTCAAGCATTGATGAGATCTTGGAATCCAATAGAAGATGGGCTGAGAAGACCGATTGGGAAGAACCTCATTTGTTTTCCACAACAGGAGCAGGTCAAGAACCCCACACTTTGTGGATTGGATGTGCTGATTCCAGAGTTAACGAGGACTGTTTCTATGGTGTACTTCCTGGTGAAATCTTTTCAACCAGCAATGTAGCCAATGTGATCAATAACGTTCATGATACTTCTTCTCAAGCTGTTATTTATTATGCTGTCCACCATTTAAAGGTTAAAAGAATCCTAATAGTGGGTCACACAGACTGTGGTGGTATAAAAGCTTCTCTTTCAATCAAAGATAAGCATAACACTGGCTTGCCAAAGCAATTAAATACTTGGCTAGAACCCGTTATTGATTTAAGGTTTAAGCACCAAAAGTATCTAAGCCAATTTAGTGATATTGATGAAGCTGTTTCAAGATTATCTGAATTAAATGTCAAAGAACAATATAATTACTTAACTACTCAAGATGAAGCTGTTGTTCATGGTTTACAAGAAAAAACTCTTGAAGTTTATGGCTTGTTATTTAATGTATCAACTGGTTTATTAACTCAACTTATCTAAAATTTCTGTTTTTATCGTAAATTAAGACACTATCAAGTCATTTAAATTATCACTGTGCTAATTTGATTTTTATTTTTAGTTTTTAGTTTCATTTTCATTTTCATTTTCATTGTCATTTTCAATTTCAATTTCAATTTCAATTTTTCAGTTTTTCATTTTTTCATAACTCCATTTTCTATTCAGTTTTCAATTCAAATTTACAATTTAGTAACCTCATTTATTTCCAATCATACCTTATTTAGTTTTTAAAAATATATGGGCCGTCCTTTTCATCAACATTTAAATCAAGAATACTTTCCTCAATAACCTGTCCTTTATCGTTAATAATTTTTCCAAATAAATAATCTCCTGGATGAATTGGTCCAACACCCTTGGGTGTCCCTGTTAAAATTATATCTCCCTTCTCCAAAGTCATAATGCTAGACATTGTAGATAATATCTTATTAATCTTGAAAAGCATTAGATTTGTTGAGTCAAATTGCTTGTTTTTCCCATTAATGTCAAATGATAATTCAACCTTGTATGGATCTGGTATTTGCTCTTTGCTTATAAATCTAGACAATGGTAAAAATGTATCAAACCCCTTCCCAATTGTCCATGGTAATCCCTTTTTCTTTGCTTCATCTTGAACATTTCTGGCTGTCATATCCAACGCCAACGCATATCCAGCTATAGAATCCAATGCTTCTTCATCACTGAAATTTTTGTCCAAATTCCTCAATGTTCTGTTAAGAACAATAGCAAGCTCAATCTCATGGTGAACAACTGTGCCTCTTGGAACTAATACTGATCCACTGTTAGGCCTTAAAATCGACGATGAGGGCTTAAGGAAAAAAAACGGCTCACTAGGTTGAACATTATTCAATTCTTTGATATGAGCAGCGTAGTTTCTTCCAATACAGAGAATCTTTCTTGCATTATCAATGTACTTTAACGACATTTTCCAACCAAAATTCAAAATCCAATGGCCAATTCGCTCATTGCACCTTAACTCAGAGAGAAATAAAATCGCTTTTTTATACCGATATCGGATCACATGATCTCCAGCCAATCTAAAGGCCGCTGCCTTCGGTGGCACTTTTTTGCTTTCTCTTTTATCTCATAATATCTTCCTTTCCTATCTTCTTCCAGTCTATTTACTATTCCACAAGTACACCCAGGAATTCAGGATGTTTACTTATTCATTGGAAAGCCCAATTATTGTCAAGTTTCTAAACCATTTGGATGATTTGTATAATGACACAATTCATGGTTTGGATGAATCATTAACACTTGACATCTCAATCGTGCTTAAATATGACAACTCAATTTACTCAATTCCATCTTCAAACGATACCAATGATGACAATAATAATGGTAATAGCAATGAACATGATATTGATCTAACAAATGTTTCTCCTATAATTGAAAAAATTTTGAAATTGCTTGAAAAAGATCGAAGTTTGTTGTTTTATTTTAAGATTGATCCTAATTTAAAATTAATTGATATTTTAAAGGCCATTTTCAGTAGACTATCAATTAATCAATTGAACTCAATTTTTGATATTAACCAATTAGTACTAGTTTTAAACACTGTCCGAATACCCGATTTCGCTAGTTTGGCAATTAAAATTATTCAAGTGGACTATAATAATAACTCGGAACTAATTGATCAAGATATTTTATTCCATTTAATTAGCATTTTAAATTCAAATCAAAAAATCGATTACGAATATATAAATTCTATAATCAACTCCTTTAAAGGTTACTTCATTAATAACAATAATAGCAATCCGGATAAAAATGGACTTTCTAAAATTTACAATAAATTACTTAGCGATAAAAAAATTATATCTATTTTTAATCAAATGAAAACTTCCAGCTCCACTTTAATCATTTCAAGATATTTTGAGATTATTTTAGTTTTGACAGAATATTTGCCTCAAAATGAACTCTCAATACAAAATAAATTAATAAGCGAATTTGATCAATTTTATTATATAGATTTGAAATTATATCTCACTGATTTCCTATTCTTAGCCAATATAATTAAATTCCAAACCGATTTATTAAACTTCATCAATCAAGATTCACTTAAATTCGATTGGTTGTTGACTATTTTAAAAAAAAATAATCTTATTCATGAAATTATAAAAGTTTGGATAAAAAGAAACGAAATTCCAGATTTAAATTGGATTATAAATGAATTCATTTTGTACTTATCTGCTCTATCATATATCAATAATGCCTCACTTATAAATGAATTTTATCCGGTATATTCTAATAATCAAAATTTTGTTGACAAAAATAACTCATTTTATCTTTCAAATATAAATCCTGAGTTTCTATTAACCTTAAATTCACAAAATGTGATCCGTCTAAATTCTTTATCTTTAAATAATAAATCCTCAGTTATTTTTTGCAATTTGGTCAATAATATCAATTCTTTTAATTTTATAAAATCAATATTTACTGATTCAAATTTAAATAACTTGCAATTATTTGAACTTTATGAATTGTTATTAGTGATGTCTAGTTTTACTTATTCTTCACAATTTCTATTCACAGATATTCCAAGTATTATTAATAATAAATTGTTAATGAATGATCGTAATAATATTGACGAAAATATAGTTATCAGTGATGCAAATTTACAAAAAATGAGACTAAAAATTTTGAGTAATTTAATTGAAAAACAAAAGGATAAAATTGAGTATATGGGTTTCAAATCAAAGTTAATTACATTACACAAAGAGTTGGTGTCTATTAGTTCTAAACCTCAATTTGTCAAAGCCGGTATCAAAGATACAACCATGTAACAAAAATGCAGAAAAAAAGAAAAAGAAAAAGGAAAAGAAATCTCATAAAAATCGGTGATGAATAAATAGAATTTGTGTTTGTTGCTTTTTTTGTTTTGCTTTTTTGTTTTTTTTAGGAGAGTTAATATTAAAGCACTTTAATGTCAATCTTTTAAGCTTAATTAGGGGCTGCATTGTTTGATGACGCAGTTAGAGATAAGTATATGTGCAAAGAACAGCTATTATTTATTTCCTAAATAAGTAAAAGTTTATTTATTGATTAACATATAAACCTGTGCCAAATCAATAGATCAATAAAAGTATGAACAAAAAATTTTATGAAAGTTTTATATAATACAGCTATAACCCAAAGCAAAAAAAAAATATTCAATAGAAAAATAAAAACTTGAACTAGAGAAAAAACAACTTATAGTCGTAATTAAAAATACATTTACTGAAAAAAAAATTGCACAAAAAACGTATAAAACTAAATATTTGAAAATAATAGCAATTATTAAAGACTGCGGTTTTTGTGTTAGAATAGTGAGGAGAATGCAATGTTATATCAAGATTGAAGAAAAGCAACAAATATTCTATTAAGAAGCAGAAAAGTAAATTAAAAAGAAAAAACTTAGAAGTTGTTTTAAAGGAAAGTTTTAATAGGGCAAAATATTTTTCGAATTTGACAGAAAGTTCTGAATATTTGAATCAATATTTAATGAAGAATAATTATTATTATTATTGTCATTATCAGTTGGATCATTTAAAAGATAATTATAACTATGGTTGTTATTATACTTGGTAGATTTGTTTTCAATGTTATTGGCCGGAGACGAATTATTGTGAAAAAAAGATTTATTTGTGATTTCTTTGTTTGAATTAATTGAATTGAAATTTTGACTTTGATCAATATTAGTGTTCATATTGTTATTGCTAAGATTTTCGCTTTTGTTAGCATTTACTTCATTTTGATTTTGATTAATAGAACTATTATGATTATGGTTATAATTAGTACTATGATTATGATTAAGATTATCGTTATTGTTATCGTTATCATTGTTATTATTTTCATTATTTTCATTAAGCTGATTAGCTCCATGATTAACATTATTTTCCCAACCATGGATAACATAACTAAGACTGCTTTTCAAATCCCCATAAATCTTTGAGTTTGAAGGTAGACCTAGCATTTCATTTGTTTTCTGAAAACAGGAATGAGCAGCTAATTTTTTGCCATTTCTTTTAAACACTAATTGGTTTGAGATGTGTTTCCATTTAACTTCTTCAGCAACAGAAAGAGCTTTTTTAAGGGCATTAATATCAGAGTCAGTAAACTCTGGAGAAATATTTTTGCTGATTATATTGTCAGTAGTATTATTTTTGTGATTCTTATTAATATTAGTAATTTTTTGCTTTTGGTTTCCAGCTAACAAACCCGAAATTTCAGGTGAAGAAGAATTTGATGTTAAAGAGTTTTTTCTTTTTAAAGTATCGGCGGTAGTGGGATTACTGGAACCAATTTCGTGAGAGATATCATTGTTATTAGGAGTAGTAACGCTAGATTGAACAAGAAAGTGTTTTTTTTTGTTTTTGCTGGATTTATTGTTGTTTTTGTTTGCTGTTTTTATGGTTTTGGTGGGTTTAATGGTTTTGTTTTTTGCATGTTTAGTGGTTTTAGAAGGTTTAGAATTTTTAAAATTTTTAGAAAGTTTAGCGGATTTGATATTTTTAGTGCTAGTATCGGGATCGCAATTATTATATTCTTTGGAATCTCTGGAATCTGTGGAGTCTCTGGAATCTGTGGAAAGATTTGAAGGCGATTGATTAGTTATTAGGGGGTCATTAGAAGGAATTAAGTTGAATGTTCGGTTGGCCGATATGGGTTGAAACTGGCTAGGAATCAGAATATTGGCTGCTACTTGATAATTAAGCACTGAATTATGAGTGTGATGATGAGTGTGATTGTGGGTGTGGTTATTTGATTGAGGTTGGAGTTGGGCCTGGGTTGAAGAGATTGAAGGAATTTGATTTTGGTTCATTATTGGGATTTGCAAAGGATAGTTTGGGTTGAATGAAGTAGGGATTTGCTGTAAGGTATTGTTATAAAATTGGTTGTTGTTGTTGTTGTTGTTGTTGTTGTTGTTGTTATTTGGGGAATTGTTATTATACTGGTGATTGAATTGACTATTTAGTTGATTGATTGGATGGTTTGATATAGACAATTGGCGAATATGGGTTTGAGGGAAATTTTGATTTTGATTTTGATTTTGATTTTGGCTTTGGTTTTGATTTGACAAAAAATTTTGGTGGAATTGATTTAATTGAGATTGAAAATTAGGATGAAACAGAACTTGAGGATGAATTGGTTGAAGCGGTGGAACTTGGTTAACGGTTGGAAATTGTTGGAATTGTGGGTTGAATAATTGATAACCATTTTGAAACAGGACTGGATTAGGGATATTGCTGTTGATTATGTTTGAAGGGATGTTTGAGGAGATATTGGGAGAGTTATTTGGAGAGTTATTTTGGCTAATGTTGCCGTTATTTTGAATGTTTTGCAAGTTATTTGAATTGTAGTCAAACAGGTTGTTGAGATTGAGATTATCGAGGGAGGTAAGAGTGCTGAGGGAATTAATAGAATTAAGGGTGTTATTGATATTGTTGATGTTGTTAATATCGTTGATATTGTTGATGTTGTTATTAAGGTTATTTAAGTTATTTAGGTTGTTGTTGTTATCATCAAATGGAGAATGATGAAATGTTGACATGATTAGGAGGATAATTAGAGTTAAAGAGAATAAATAATAAACGAATGATAAATAATAACTAGGGAAAAATTTTGATAATAAAATTTTATTAATAGAATTTTATTAAATAATAATATTTTATAATATTGTGAAATAATATTAAATAAGCACCCGAATTATAAAAAATAAATATTATTTGGACTTATTAAGTAGCTGAAGAGGATTGATTAATGAGTATTGAAATAAATATGGGAGTTGATTGAAGCAGATTGGTAGTAGTTACGATATGAAAGATTGAAGAAAATATAGATATTGTGCACAAAACAAAATTGGATTAAGATGATACAAAAAAAACAAAAACAACAGATTAATAAACGATATAGTATTAATGATAACAGCTATGAGATGGTATAAGAGTAAGAGTGCAATAGTATAGTGATAGAATAGAATTAAAGATTAAATTAGCTTTATCTCAGTGGAGGATAAATAATGGATAGTGTTTTAAATTTTCTTGATTTTTTCTGAAGATTAAATTTGATAGACCAACAGGAAAATTGAATAATAAGTAAAGAAAAAAAAAAGCCTGAAAAAAACCTGAAAAAAACCTAAAAAGAACCTGAAAAAAACAACAACAGAGAAAGTTGGAATATAATTTGCAATTCTCCAAACAGAAACAAGAGAGATGGCGATGGAGAGTCTGGGAATACGATTATGGTTGGTACTATTCGGTGAGATTTCAAGAGTTGTGATATAATATAAAAGCGATTTTGAATGGAGTTGAAATGGCAAAATGATTTGGAGAAGTGTGGATACAGTTTATGGTTTATGGTTTGTGATTAGAATTCGAATTCGAACTATGGTGAAGAAAGAAGAGAACTTGAGAAGTGAATATCAAAAATAAGATCAGAAGCAAGATGAGTTGGTTGTATTAAAAGCCCAGATCTAGTGGAGCAGATCTGTTCAAGGTGGTTCATGGAGAGCAACTTCTGAACAATAACGATGGCAATAGCAGCAATATGGGGAATCGAATTGCACTCGACCTATTATATCTCGCTTGCAGAGGTTGCTAAAGCTCTCTTTTCTCTGAGCTCTTCTAGCTCCACATTCAGCTAACAACCGATTCAATCGCTGAGGAAAATTTCAGGGCGAGAAAGATGACTCGGTCTCGACGCCCGTTTTGCACCCAGCGTTCTCGTTTCGGTGTTTAGAGCTCTGTGTTAACACCCACCTCTACGGGAGACGTGGAAACGCGTTGCACAGCAGTGCAGGCGCAATCCACTGTAGATATCGGCTTGGCAGTGCAGTTATATTGTACGCAGTATCTATTATTGTTCTTATCTGTCCCATTATATGAGCTTTCCAATACATCCAGTCCCAAATGGCGGGCCCCTTGCCTCACACCTAGAATCCCATACTACTGGTCCTCTTACCGACAGCTGCTGCTTGCCTCGTCAAAACACGTGCTACAAAGAAACTGCTGGCTGGAGGCCTGCTTCTTAAAGTGACAAACGCCCACAGAACTTCTCTGTCTTTCAGTACTAGCAAGGCTTCCTGGTGCGCTCTACTTGCTTGCTAGCTACAAGCCAACGACTGCTCAGCATTTAGTGGATTTTGGATACCTGACATCACATGAAATATAAGTTGCAAGAGGGTAATAGGCTCTGCAGATAATCCCGATACGAGACGCATGCGTGTGTACGTGTAAAGCTGTATAAACGGGAACAAAAGCAGCCCCACGCGCGGTTCCAAAACAATGCCAACCGGCCTGGACATAGCCGGCCAGTCAGCATGGTCGGAGAACGCTCTGCATCTGGTCGGCGAACTCATAACGTTCGGCTGGCGCACGCGTGTGCCGAGCGCCAAACATCAACAACGGATCCACAATGCACCCACAACGCCGCATTGGACTGGGCAGGCCCTTTCCGTTTTGGGCACGCAGCAGAGGGACAGCGGTGCAAGAACATTATAACAGCGGTCTCACAGCGCCAACACAGGATTAACACTTGTAGAGCACTGAGTCCTCTATTGTCTTTTCAGTCGATTGAGTTGGTCGAATATATCCATCCCAAGGCTCTATTGTTGGATTGGGAAAAACAAAAACACTCTTTTTTGACAGCCTTTGCTGATGCAAACTTAAATCCCTCGATGCTTCCTTCCATGAATCTTAATTATGCCTTCTGATATTTCTTCTATATTCTCATCACAAAATAATGTATCAAATTCAAGGAATTCAATTTCATCAAAACAACATTTGATTCAGCCAAAGATCCCAACCTCCTCAAAGGCCTCAAGAGACTTCAATCCCCCAATAAATTCTAATCTAACACCTTTGTTTATATCTAATGACAATAATATTAACAGCATTAATACACAACAATACCAGTCTCCAAATGATCAATCCTTCTCTCGGAATCTGTTTTCTCCTTACACCCAATTTTTTCTAAATTCAACTAGCAGCAAGAATAATAGCAATAACAGCAATAATTTTGAAAAAGCATTAAATTTTCCTAATACACCTGGTGGTCTTTCGTCAAATTCTTTCTCTTTAACTCCCTTGATTTATAATTCTGATCTTTTTCTCCAAAATTCACCACTCCAAGATCAAAATTCTCAAAATCAACCAAATCAACCAAATCAACAGAACCCTTTAACTCCAGTCCAAAACCAAAATATTTCAAATACTCCCATCCCTAATGATCCAAATATTATCTCTTCATCAATCAATCCATATAATTTTATTTCTTCTCCAAATTCAAATAATTTCAACAATATAGATAATATGAATAGCATAAACAATATGAATAGCATAAATAGCATTAATAGCATGAATAGCATGAATAACGTGAATAACATAAATAATATGAATATGAATATGAATATGAACATAAACAATTTTCCATTAGATCAACTTAATGCCTTAAAATCTTCCTTTCTAACTCCCATTTTACAATCAAATAATTTGAATATTAATTCAAATAACATGAATAACGTGAATAACATGAACAACATGAACAACATGAATAACGTGAATACCTTAAATGACTTAAACAGTATGAACTTGAACAATACCAATATAAACAATTTACTCAATTATATGAACAACTCCAACATCAATACACCCAATACACCCAATATTAATAATTTTACTAATTTTACTAATTTTAATAATTTTAATAATCTTAACAATCTTAATAATCTTAATAATCTTAATAATCTTAATAACTTTAACTTTACTAATATCAATACGCCCAATATTAATAACATCAATACACCCAATATCAATAACATTAATAACAACATTTCTACTCCCCTGAATAATTTATTTCAATACTCAAATACAGAATTAAACAATCTAGTCTCAATTTCTCCTTATATAAATAGTGAACTTTCTCCACCGAATAGTATAATATTCGAACCCATATCTGAATTAATCTCAGGTTCTTTATATTCAAATAATATCAATAATAACAATAGTAACAATAGTAACAATAGTAACAATAATAATAATAATAATAATAATAATAATAATAATAATAATAATAATAATAATAATAATAATAATAATAATAATAACTCTATTTCCACTCCAACCTCTGCTTCCAGCCCAATCATCAATCTCAATCTCAATCTCACTCCAACTCACAATCTCAACCTCACACCTACTCACAATTCCACTCACACACCTAATTCAACGTCCAATTCAATCTCCACTATTAATGAAAAACAAATTAATCAGAAAACAACTGAAAGAAAATACCAATGCCGTTATGAAGGTTGTAATTGGGCTTTTGCTAGACAATCTGACTTGAGACGCCATATGAAATCTCACGAAGAACCAGATCATTACTGCCCCTATTGGAAGAACGATCCAACTTGCCATAAAAAAGGTGGTGGCTTTAATAGACTAGATGTCCTAAAAAGACATTTGAAATTAGTTCATTACGTTATTGATAAAAACAATTATGATCCAAAGACTAAAAATGACCCAGGTTGGTGTAGAGTTTGCCAAAAATTTTTCCCAAATTCAAAAAATTTCATTGACCATTGCCATAGCTGTGCTAGAACTGTCGCTCCAACTGAATGGAGAATAACTGACGACAGTTATAATCCCCAGGATGATGAATCAGTTTCAATGAAAAAAAAAATCATTCAAGACTACATTACAAATAAAAGTCATAAATTTATAAGTGAAAACCATCAATTTGTTAATAATAATCCAAAAAAAAAATCAAAACAAAACTCGTCTATAAACGACAATCAATTAGTAAATCCCTTCAATAAAAATTTTAATAAATCAATAACTAATCAATCAACTCAATTATCAAATCATTATGATGACAAAACCGAAGATGAATCAGAAAATCAATAATTTTTTTCAATCAAAAAATAGAGTTTTATTTTCTTTTTTCTCTGATTGTACATTATTTTTTTCGGTCTTTTTATTCATTTATGTTATTCATTCATTTTGCATAGAAATATCTACATTACTATATTATTTACTTAAGTTAATTCATTAATCAATTTGATTATTTTATTATTTCATTTTATTAAGTCATTTTTTGTTTTATTTATTTATCTCTTGGAACATTTTGGGACTTTTTCATTTTTTTCCTATATAATATGTATCATAATATAAAAATATTAAGCTTTAAAACTAAATAAAGTTGTTTGGTTTCGTATTTAACCAATGATTCAGCTATCAACATCAGTGGTTATTTATATTATGTGGATACAGTGCAAAAAAACAACTCCTCATCAGGGGCTCGAACCCTGGACATTTCGGTTTCTTGCGAAACTGGAAGAATCCCTAAAAGCCGAACGCTCTACCGACTGAGCTAATGGGGACAAGCTGCATTTTGCAGATAATTGCAATTATCCTCAAAAAATAATAGTATATTTGAGATACATTGAATTAAGTATTTGGACTAGATTTCCAGTGGGTTGCTGGATTCTTAAATAAAAAATGTTGTGTGGGTAACATCCCATCTCCTACAATATATTGTTATCTCATTGAATGCCAGTACAATGAGGAAGCAAGAATATCCGCAGGCATAAGTCCCCTGGAACTTGGTTCAGAGAGGTCTACGAGTCCCACATGGCTGGCTCGCGGCTACAGAATAAATAATAATAATAATACGTTGAATTATTTTCATTTTTTTTTGCTTTGAAGAGGATCAATTTGATTATCTTACTATTAGTATTGTATATTACATGCTAATATTTTAAAAGAACATTTTATTAACCTATAACTAGCATTTTAAGCGTTTCATATAATTTTCTTTGATAACATCTGTAGCCACCAGAATGGACTCAGCTTCCTTTTCAACTTTATCCTCAAATCCATTTTCCAAGTTTTCAGAAGTTAAAAACTGGAAGAAACACCAATATCATAGAAGCGCCGGTGTATTTCATCAAGATGGCGTGCTGTTTCAGCTGAATCAATAACAACATTATTCAATTGGCTACGAGAGCTGCTTCTGGTGGTTTTGTAATCATGATAAAACAAACCAAAGTTGCATTTAGTTTGGGAGATATATAACTCTGGAATTATCTAAGAAAATGGCATTGGGGAAATGTACAGGTATACTGCTGTTGAAATTTTAATAATCAATTTACTGGGTTTAAGCAGTTTCATTTCTCTGTTCTACTATTTGCTTTTTCTTATTTTTGACATTACAAACTGTTGGTGCAATTATGAGGTGGATTTTTCGCTTCATCTATTCAATATAAAGTTTTGATATTTTTCTGACTGTTCAAGATTACCACAATGGCAGCCAGCAGAAACAACTACTGAGGGAAGTGGTGTAAAAGATGCTTTTATTGAGTGATGGTTTGTGATTTGGACCAGCAAACCCAAGAGTTTGAATTGTATAATATATGGCTATTGTTTATCTATTCCTCTGATAAATTGATTTAGAATTGTACAAAGTAGCAACAAATTTGATACCATGATTTTGGTTGGATGAATACAAAATGGCACATTCAAGATTCTAAACGAGATGGTAATTAATATTTGAAAAGCAAATTTTTCTGAAAATAATTTTTAATAAATTGATAAAAATTCAATAAATTTTGGTTGCCATGTATTATTAAATCACTTTAAATCCAACTAATGAAGCAGGAGCGAAAAGGATACTGAGTCTTTTCTTTCATGAAATTAATTGTTACACAATAAACTTTTGAAACAATTTTTTAAGCATATCTATGAGTATTTCAAGTTTTTTTGATAATTGTTTTGCTAGTTTTTCAACACATTAGTTAAAAGATGTTGATAAGAAGTGATATGCATAAAAATTAGCCAGAAAGCATGCTTTCTTGATTGTGCTCTAAATAGTAATGTTACAGAAAATTTAATATTGTTGAATTTATAGAAAGAAAGGGTGCAAATTTCTGATCTATAGTATTCCAAATAGTAATTAATTAGTAAGGAGTGTAATATGAAATTATGTTAAAATATAACATTAACATTTGCTTAATATAATTCACTAGCAACAATCATTCTATTAATCTCACAAAAGATGCTATTCTAGAACGATTTTTCAAATTTCTACTGAAATTGTTTAATATTTAGTCTTTAGTTGTTTTGTTTCCAGCTGTTATCGAAAAACAGTATTTGTTATTTTGCCAAATATTCGATGAATTCTTTAATTCTTGAAATTAAAAAGTGGAAATTAAATGGATTAAATAGAAAATAATTGATTATATTTCAAAAAAAAATTACTGGTTTTATCGTTGAAATATTTAAAGAAATTTTTCTAAAAGGAAACATTTTGGGAAAAACTCTCAGGTTTTTATTAATCATCTAATTGTCCTTTTTCAGGTATACCTCTCAAGACGTTTACAAAACTTAGTATATATTGAAAAAAGATATCTGGTAATAGCTGAAATATCAAATGGATTTGAATCATTGTTTTTTTTACATTTTCTTGTTGCAATTAATGATAATAGTGATGATAGTGAGTGATTACTATGATTTCCAAGATGGTGATATATTCTTTGACCAAGTTTTTTATAATTCTTTATGTTTTTTTTAAAAATAACTTTTACACACAATTTCATAAATTTCGAAGTTTAGGTGCAGAAAAAATGTGTTCAGATTAAATGAAATGTTTATATAATTCTATCATTACTATATGTGATCAATTTTGTTTTTTTGAATTTAAGTTAAAAGCCAAGGATCGAAACTTAGAAATTAAATTATGGCTTTTTCTGAAAAAAACTTTTTATTAGATGAAAAAAATGTTTTTGTCAGTTAATCTGGATATATTTAGTTGACTTTATTCACTCTTTTTACGCTGATATGCTTATCGCACTAAAAAGGTATTGAATTCATAAAGAAAAATATAGCAACAATCGAAGATTTACTGCGTTCTCTAGAATGTCTTCACATTCTTAAGAATGAGTCAATTTGAATGTTCCTCATTTTAGAATAACATTTGAATATGAAACTACTGGTGTAAAACTTCCGAACCAACAAACAAAATTTCTATTCAATAAATGTGTTCAGCAATTAGTAAAACAAGAAATCAAAACTTGATCAAATAAATTGCAAAAAAGTCAGCTCGCACTCAGATTCGAACTAAGGACCAACAGATTTGCAATCTGCTGCGCTACCACTGCGCCACACGAGCAAATTTAAAAATTAGGACTTTTAATAAAATATTCCTTGTAGTAATAATAAGCTATATGATACTACATAGGTCTACGAGTCCCATACGGCTGGCTCGTGGTCACAGAATATTAAATAAAAAAAAAAGGTTTTTTCTAGTGCTAGGGCAATAAAAAAACCAAAATCTATTGAAACTACTTATTACATACAGGAAAGCATAATAAATAGTAATAATAAATAAAATTATCAAATTTAAATAACTTTTTTTTTTTTTTTAGTTTTTTTAAAAAATAGTTGCTAAGAGCCCACTTTATTGGGGTTACTGCACAGTGTTTATTATATCTATATATAAAAGAGTGAATGCTATCTTTGTAATTCTACCGTAGATGTGAGGAAACCTAATAACTAGGAAGAAAACTCACATCAAAGACGGGAGTGTGAAATCTAAGAAGATATATGCCGGTGTCAAATTACCTTATGAATTGCCATGCATGGGAAACGAATGTAATGAGTTTGCCTATGCCCCATTTTGTGCCTAGGTATGTGTGAATGATTTCTGGGTCTACTTCGTCAGAGAGAATTGTTGGAATCTCTGAACGGATTCTCGCCTGTGAGTTGATTGGACATTGGAAGATATAATGAATTATCGTCGGTCTCAAGAGGGAACATTTGCATTGGTTACTGCTGATAATTTAAATAACTAGCACAAAATCAAATAAGCTTGTTCAGCTGACTAGTATATTATTTAAATATTTTGCCATTTGTATATAGTTAGATCTGGTTGGATGGCCGAGTGGTCTAAGGCGCCAGGTTAAGGTCCTGGTCTCTTCGGAGGCGCGAGTTCGAACCTCGCTTCAATCATTCTTTTTACACAATTTAGTGTTTTCATTACTGTTCTCAAACAATTTCGTTTTTTTTGAGAGCACTAATTTTTGATGAAATGACTCTATAATATTTTATCACAAATCTACCAAAAAACTTTACAAAATACACAGTATACTTCTAAAATCATCTCTCACACACATTTTTTTTTACTTTAATCTTCATCTGCTTTATAATATGTTTCTGGGAGTTCAAAGTCGTGTTTATCATTTAGTTTAAACTGTTTCTTGATTACAAGCAAAATTAAACCAGCTACTAATTGAAACAACCATATCGATATCAATGCAATCGATATATATAATTCTGTGTTTGTGGCTTTTTTGTACTGTCTGAATAACGACCTTAAAACCTTTTTAATTGAATTTTCTGACCCTTCAACTAACGTTGTGACCGAAAAATCATTGGTTGATCTTTTAAGTAAACTTGATGCACTAGAGGATGTATCATTATATAAAATCACATCAGTTAAATAAGTTTCGTTTACTCTTGAAAATGAAACCTCAGTGTTATTATAGACCCAGGTCAATCCTTTGCTAATAGCAATTAATTTATCTTCAATCATACAACCAACAATTGCTTGGACTGGTTTGTAAAAAAAAGTATCATTAAATATATCCGCTAATCGTTCATTCATATCGTCAAGAAAATTGAATATTATATCATTGACTGAACCAGTTGCATCGTGGACCACTCCAAATAAATTTTCATTAATTGAATCTTCTCTTTGGGTTAAATATGTATTAGTTGAACTGGTCCACTCAATTGCAGAATTATTAATTTCCGACGTCATAGCAGAAATTAAATCTTTAAATATATCTGTCAAGCCATTAATTCCTGATTTTAATACCGATAAAATGATATACTGAAAGATGACTGTTATAATTCCTGTTATGCCTAGCATAAAAATGAAAAATGCTCTTTGACTAGTAATATACATGATCATCCATTTGATTTTCAATTGGGTTTTTTCTGAAATATTGAATAATTTGAATAACATGTAGTTAACTAAATTTGAAAAAACCACAGGAACGGTATTGTAATTATTATTGATAACTTCGTAAATATTTCTTTTCATAGTTAGCTCATCAAGACGTCTTTCATTTAGAGACGATATCTCTGATGTCATTCTTTGAATTCTTTTCCATCCTAAAATTTCCTGATAAGCTAGAGGAATTAAAATTAAAACAGCAAATATAATTAACAAAATAAAAATAATTTTGGAGGTTTTCTCAATTGAAGAAGATAAATCATTATAAAAATCTTCAATCTCAGTAGAACCAGAACAAAACTGAACCTTTTTTAATTCAGGAACAGTTAATGTATCACCAGAACTATCGAAAACTGTTTTATTTGATAGTTGTGATTTCAAGTATTCAAATGGAATTTTAATAGCTGTTTCAGTTTTATTTTTAAGAGTATCAAAATCCGGGACTATATCAGCCAATTCAGATAACGCATCGTCAACTGAAGAAGGTATTTTTATATTTTCTAATGAAGATATCTTTAAAGAGATATTATTAATAGAATCTGCACCATCTTGTGCATCGTTATTTCCCGTTAAAAGATCAATTATGGACTCGCCTGCATCAGCAATTTTGTTCATCACAGATGAGAGATCCTCTAAGGAATCATTGATTCCATCCGCAGCATCTATTATAGTATCATTGACAAAATCAATAACTGTTGCGGATATATTAGTTGCAATATCAATACTTGTATCAACTGCAGTTGTTAAAAGACAAGCATATGTTCCAACTAATAAGGAAATAACAAAGATTATTATATTTTCAGTTGCACTTAATAATAATTTAGTAGAAGAAATTATCGCGTCATTAATTTCATTAATTCCTTTTAATAATAGAGTATTTGCAGTTTTCCCCATATAGTGAGGTAAAGAAGCTAATGTTGTAGCAGTATTTTCCATCCATTGACAAGATTGTTGTGTAAAAAGCTCTGCTGTTGATAAACTTGACAATATAGCTTTTTGAAATAAAAAAATCTTTATTGCCATTAATATTAAAAATAATGTATATTTATTTAACCACAATTGGGATAATCTGTCTATTAAATTAATGTAGGGCTTAGGGTAATCAGGATTGCAATGGTAGTTATTATTAAATTGATTCCTTTTATGAAAATGATTGCTTTTTATATGGTCAAGATCATAATAATCTTTTATAACAAAATTATCACTAAAAACATTGGGATCATTAGTCAAAGTGTTATTTGAAGTATTGGTTATATAAGGGTTACTCATTTCAAGTTCAGATGAGCTTGATTTTGAAAATAAGTATTTAAAATTTGGTAATTTTTCTCTTAAAAATTGCATCTGTAATATATATATATATATATACATATATATATATTTATGATAAATGTAAAAAAGGGATTAAAAAAATTAATACTTATTTTTGGGAAATTGAATCATTTATAATAATTAAAAAAATCAGTGGCACCAGACCAACAAATAGCCTCCCAAACCCCAAACAACTAAATGATAGAGACAGTTATTTGATCATTATTCGTTATCATTTGACTTATTTAATATAAATAAACATAGCTATTGCATACTATATGTTTTATCAAAAGTGACTAGTCAAATAAACCAAAATAGCTTATGTAGTTTGGGTTTTACATTTGTTATAAGAAAACCTCAAACAAATCCATAGGCATGAAACTGTCAAGCGCATGCATGGTTACGTAATGGTGCAATAACTTACAGCTATTTTCATATTATAGATTGAATGAAACTGCGCTTTCTTGCCAAATCAGAAAAAAAAATAAGAGCAAAAAAGAAAGATTCAGCGGTTATCAAGCTTTGTCAAGCTTCGGTTTATAATTTAAACTCTGATCCAGACCCTTGAAGTTGAAGAAATTCTTTTTGAATAAGTCTGAGCTTGAAAAATCTAATGCTGAAGCTTCTAAACCAGCTACTATTCAAGAGATAATATTGTTTTATATGCATCTAGGTTTTATGTATTTTTCTAAACAAGTCATCTTTAGACAGAAAATCAAAATTAATCCACTAGAACCAATATTCAAAAATTAAAAAACTATTGTTCAAGGAATGTTTACACTAACGATTATTTCATTCATGAAGAAGTTAAAGTAAGCTCATTATTATTATTGAATCTTATCTATTCTAAACAAAAAAGAAATATAAACATAAATACACAATGAAAGAAAATCTTTCAAATAAACTGTAGAGATAGATTTAACACGAGTTTTCAATTTGGTATTTCTTAGGCTTAACAAAATTTTATATCTATTTATAGTTCGAATTTATTTTAACAGATTTCTTAATAATTAGCAATAAAAACTCTTAAAATCTTAAAAAAGGCCTTTAATAAAACTGGGATGTTCTTTGAAAATTTACTAAAAAGATTATGATAATTGAAGGTATTATTTATGAGGATGTTGGATATTTGAAGAATATTTATTCCTTTTATTTAATAATAGATTCTTGAAAAGTATAACAAAAGCATTGAATTTTCATCAAGCATTAAATTGGAATGACTTTGATTATTTAAAAAAAATAAAAAATTAATTCGATCAACTATTTATCTGGTTGAGCTGTTTAAAAAATTGAAAAAAAAATAAGATATTCTGAACATAGCAAATAACTGATTACAAAATAGTATGAAACCTGAATTTTCAATTAATTTTCTTGAGTTTACATTTTATAGAAGAAATTAAATACCCATGAGAATAATCCTATCAAAACCTTTAGAATCTGTAATTGTAATTGTAATTATAATTGTATTATATTATATTAATTTTAATTTTAATTTTAATTTTAATTTAATTTTAATATTTAGTATCTTGAGTTATATATTAATAACATCATAATTCTTATATACTTGAAGTTGAATTCGTATTCACATTCATGATATGCAAAATTTTAAACACCTAACCATGAACAAAAAAAAAATGAAAAAAAGGAAAAGAAACATAAACATAAACATAAACAAAAAAAGAATTAACAAATAAATATAAGCTAGAAGCGTTGAGATCTAGTTGTGTATGAAATTAAAAAAGAATTGAAAATTAACAAAGAAAAACAAAAGACAAATTAATTAATTTAATTTAATTAACTGAATGTGTTTAGTGAGTTTAATAAAGCAAACGAATAGAAATCTTATATTTGGTTGCCTCTAATAATTCATGTAGTTTAGCAATATCGGCAGCATCAACATCCAAAATATCAGCCATAAGATAAGCAATTCCACCTCTTGAATCAGAGAATTGTTTTTCAATATTATGATTACTTAAAATATTATTAACAGTTTTTAAAACACCTGGAACGTTTTGATGAATATACAAAACTCTAACAACGTTTTCTTGATCTAAATTCAAAGATCTTAAGGAGACTTCGGGAATATTAACAGCCCCAATAGAAATACCCTCATTGATATATTTAGTTAAAGCATTACTAACTTCAATTCCAATAGCGGATTGAGCTTCTTCAGTTGAACCACCAATATGAGGAGTTAAGATAACGTTTCTTAAAGAGGTTAATTCAGAACTCCATGAATTCAAACTATTGGAAAATAAGTTGGCACCGTTTTTAGCAGGTTCATTTGGATAAACGTCTAAAGCTGCACCAGCGATTTTTTTCACTTTCATTGCATTAATTAGAGCAGAAATATTGACCACAGTTCCTCTTGAAGCATTAATTAAATAGGAACCTTGTTTCATTGCAGCAAATTGAGGCGATGAAATCATATCAACTGTATCAGGTGTTGCAGGAACATGTAAACTAACAAAATCAGCCTTTCTTAATAATTCATCCAAAGATGAGACTTGTTTAGCAGTACCTAAAGCCATTATAGCTAAGATATCATAATAAATAACTTTCATACCCATCGATTCAGCTAAAACAGATAATTGAGAACCAATGTGACCATAACCGACAATACCTAAAGTTTTACCTCTAATCTCCCAGCATTTATTGGAAACTTTGTTCCAGGTACCGGTATGCATTTCAATTGATCTATCACCTAATTGTCTTGCTAAGGAAATTATTTCAGCAATGACTAATTCAGCGACAGATCTTGAATTAGAAAATGGAGAATTAAAGACAGCAATACCGTTCTTGCCTGCAAAATCTAAATCAACTTGGTTTGTTCCAATACAGAAACAGCCAATAACACTTAAGTTTTTAGCATACTTCAAAATCGAAGAGGTTAATATAGTCTTCGATCTGATACCGATAGCATGAACAGATTTAATTTTTTCAATCAACTCAGATTCGGGTAGAGATGATTTATAAGATTCAACTTGATAACCTTGATCTTTGAAAATGTTGATAGCAGTTTGGTTAATATTTTCTAGTAATAAGATTTTAATATCACCAGTGTTAAAGGGTTTTAAAGCCTTTATGTTTGCTTTATTGATGATTTTAGGGGTCATAAAGATGTTTGAATCCATATAGGAATCAGTTAAAGAATTTGAAACTTGATCTTCATTGATTGAATTTGAGTCAGAAGTTTGAAAAGAAATTGCATTTTGAAAAGATTGCTGCAAATTATCGATATTTTGAGGAGCCATTTTATTGTGTTAGTTGGGTATTAAATAATTGAAAATTAAAATCGAATTGAAGTTAAAGCTGGAAACAAAAATCAAAGAGTGATTGAAATGAAAAATAGAAATGGAGAAGAGATTAAATATTGAATGTAATGTTGAAGGTGTTTATTAGTCTCTGTGGTAATTATTTGCTGTTAGTGCTAATTTATACCATTTATAACGAGATGGGAGACATGAAAAATTATTATTTCACATGGTCATACGCGATGAGGTATAAAAAATTTTTAAAAATGACTGAAAAATCGAAGCAACAAGTGGGATTGCGATTGGCTACAAAGAGGAAAAACGTTTCTGGAGAAAAAGAGCTTCAGGGGAGCTCTACTGAAGCAGGGCTTTTTCAGCAGTAGTGCACTTTTTTGTGTGATTTATCAACAGCTATACTGCTAACACAGGGAAGTCAGCAGAAAACAATCAACTATTAGTCATATTGCTCAAATTTTCAACGCTTTTCGTTGGTTTTCAATGTTTTTCGTCGTTTGTCGACTTTTCTGGCTAGCGGCGCCAGTGCAGTGGGGCTTCTCGTAAGTCGATTTCTACAAAAATAAAATGCTTTCTTTAGCTTGACCGAATTGCGTGCAAGGTCATGGCTGCAACTGTGCCAATATTATTAGGATCCACGAAAACAATAGGCTTTACAATTATCCATTTGCTTCGCTCATGAAATATCTCATCTAAAAAGTTTGAGTATTTCCGAGATGATATGTAAAATCAAGCCATCTGCTCATACTTAGCGGTCTTTATGACCGATTGGGTCTTATTCCCCAGGTGGCTTCCTGTTGAAAGGCTCTGTTCTGGCCTTTTGAAGGGTGCAAAATAATTCTTAAAGACGATAGTCAACGGTCTTGAAGTGTTTTCCATTATATTTTAGCTGAGTTTCAGATCATTAATATTTTTCCTTGGGTATCATTTTCTTTTGCGTTGTTTTTATTTATGTGAGTATTAGATAAAGTGTCCTTCTTATCCACACTCTTTGAGACCATGCTCTCATTTTATCATTTTCATCAGCAGGCCGACAACAGCACTGGACAAAAACATTCTTAGCTACGAAATCCAGTCTCAGGAAACCGGCGCCTCGGAGATAATTCTTAGAAAACCCACATACAAAAACTGTCAGATCTCAACGGGTTTTTCACCAAGTAACGAAAATTGTTGTTGCATTGTCTCGTGCAACACTCGATTCGAGATCGTTTTGATTATGTGACACCTAAATTCTAGAATGCGGTGCCAGAAGTCTCTGTATTCTTTTTTTGAGGGGCAAGCTCGTGCTGCGATTAGCAGTTTATCTTTTGTTTTGTATTAAGGCATATGATTTCTCAGTTTGAGACATTCCAAATACAGAAGGTATTTAGATATGCTAAACCTAAATCCTGCTTTTCTGGTTTGGGCATTTATATATAATATCTAATGATATTTCTCTTTATTCCAATAACTTTATTCGCATCTTTTTCTTTTAGGCTTTTAAAGTCTTTTTTATTCATGCTGAAATTTTCTCATGTTTTTTTTTTAAATTAATTCTCATGTATATAGCAAAATCTAAGAATTTGCTTTTAAATTTCTGTTCTTCCATTTTTATTCATTTAAGTTTCATTCCAAAGTAGATAATTTTATGTATGTTCTTATGAAAAGAGTACAATAACCTTATTGAATATGGACTTTATACCTTTTTTGTTCACTTTTTGTTCCTACTGTCAAAACAACTATGAAAACTATGAAAAATATCAAATTTTTTTAACAATTTTATTCTTGTCAATTCAAATAAACTTTCATGTTAAAAGATCAAAATGATAATAATTTTTCAATTATTCTAATAGATAAATTTTATAATATATAAATCAATCACATTTCCACAAAACTAATCATAAATTTTCTATTTACTTATCCTTGATTAAAGTATAGGTAAATACATATATATATACCCATATATCTATACATCTATTCAACAACACTAGGTTATATTAATTATACTTCAATCATGCCTCCAAGATTTCTTGATCAAAATTATTTCAAAAATCCCTTCTATAAGGAGGAACCAAAACAAGATGAAAAAAACCAAAAAAATGACAACATCAATACTGATTCTGAATCTGATATCTCAAGTATTAGAATATCTCCAGGTGTCGCAAGAGCTGAAATCACTAGAAAAATTTGGACTAAACAAAATTTAATTATAGCTTATTCATTAATTATTTTCTCTTCTTTAATTATCTCCTTTGCAAGTTATACCGGTAATACTTATGAAGCCTATGCAACTTCTTCATTTGCAAAACATTCCGCCATCACAACTGCCAATGTTATTTATAAAATCGCAAGATTAGCTTCCTATCCAATTATTGCAAAATTATCTGATGTCTTTGGTAGATCTGATGGTTTTTCAATTGCTGTTGTTCTCTTAACTGTTGGTTATGTTATGTATGCTGGATGCAATAATGTTGCCACATATTGTATCGGTATGATTTTTGAAGGTATTGGTGATGTTGCCTACACTATCATGCAACAAGTTTTTATCGCTGATACTACAAGTTTGATCAACAGAGGTTTTTGGGCTTCTTTACCTGAATCCCTTACAACTATTCCAACTTTATACTTGGGTTCTACTGTCGCCGAATCTGTTCTTAATCATAGTTCTTTCCGTTGGGGTTATGGTATGTGGGCAATCATCTTACCTTTCACTTTATTCCCTTTAATTATTATCATGGTTTATATGGAAAGAAAAGCTAAAAAAGAAGGTGCTTCCAGAAATGTAGCCATTTGGAAATCTCTACCTGATGGAACTTTACTACAAAAAATTAATCACTTGTTATGGGTTGAATTAGATATCATTGGTGGTTTATTACTTGTAGCCAGTTTGGCATTAATTTTAGTCCCATTATCTCTTACTGGTAAAGGTAAAAGTCATCGTTGGGAACATGCCAACTTTATTGCAATGTTTGTTTTAGGTTTTGTTTTCTTAATTTTTTTCCTTGTTTGGATATTTCGCTTTGCTAAAAATCCTTTCATTCCATTTAAATTAATGAAGAACAATAAAACTGTTATTGCTGCTTGCTTTATTGGTTTTTTCGATTTCTTAAATTATGCCACTTTCACATCTTTTTTCCCATCTTATCTTCAAGTTGCTGGCCATTATTCAAGTGGTGCTGCTACAAGAATCGATAACTCTTTAAGAGTTTCATTTCAAATTGGTTCATTAGTTGTTGGTATTTTAATGCGTTTCACAAAAAAAGCAAGAATTTATGTTTATATTGGTGTTCCAATGGTTGTTCTTGGTCAAGGTCTTATGATTTACTTGGTCAATAAACCAGATGGAACAACAGGTAACGAAGCATCATTTATTGCCGTTAAAACTATTTTTGGTGTTGGTCGTGGTTTCTACCAAACTTCTTCTCAAGTTATTATCCAATCTATTGTTACAAGAGATCAAGTAGCTATTTCAACTGCTGTTTTCCTTGCAACTATGACTATCGGTGGTAGTTTTGGTTCAAGTATTTGTGGTGCTGTTTGGTCAAACTATCTTCCCGATAAATTAGAAAAATATTTACCCGATGAATATCAAAGAAATGCAACTGCCATCTTTAACTCAATCAAGTCTGCAATGATGTTTAAAGTTGGTACTGAGGCAAGAGCTGCAATCGATCAATCATATAAAGAGACTGCAAGACTCCTTGCTATTATGGCAACATGCTTCACTGTTCCAATGATTTTCCTATTATTTTTCATTGCCAGCGTTGATCTTGTTAAAGAAGATGAAATTAGACAAAGAGAAGTTGATAGAGAATTAGAAAAATCGGAAATTAGACAAAATGAGATCGATAATCAAAACGAAATCGACAAAAATAACAACCTGAAAGCCTCGCAAAAATCGCTAGATTCAAATTCCCATTCTGAATCTAATGAACTTAACAGAAAAAACTAGTGGGTTTATTCTGTTCAAATTCAATTTTTTACGATTTCTTTTTTATTATTATTACTTTTTATTATTTTTTATTATTATTTTTTAAGATGATTTTAATTTTGGTATTCAACAGATTAGATTGAACACCGATGACGTTTTGATAGTTTAGTTTATTTTTTTTTACTTATTTTAGTTTATTATTTTGTATTTATTCAATATAAGCGATCTTTTAAAATGAAGAATAAATTTGAGAATTATAGCTCGCAAATTCTGTTTGAATTTGAATATTTCGTTTAAATTTAAATAATTTTTTTTTGAATCTATTTTTTTCAGATTTGTTTTTTCTTCTGAATCTCCTGCTCGAATCTCGCTGCGGGTAACTTTTGCGTGGTGACTATTTTTTTCCTTTTCTTTAATTTTTAATTTTTAATTTTTCAATATAGGTATTGGTATTAAGTAGATCAAATATTTTCAACGGTTAAGAAATTCTCAGTTATTAAATAATTTAGAATTCAATTAGAACAGGATAAATAAAAAAAATGAGTGCAGCGGCTTTAGAGAACTTGTCGGATAAGGCAAGAGTCCTTTATGACAGAATGTCAGACGATTGTTCTACTTTTTACGAAACTAAAGAATTGCAAAAATTGATTAATATTAAAAAACAACTAGATTTAGTTTCAATTCTTGAAGAATTAATGCAATTTAAATTAATTAAGCCCGGGAAGCAAGGAGATGTTTTGAAATTTCGAGCTGTTTCAATTGATGATGCATTAAAAGTGTCAAATATGACCAAAGTTGAAGCCATGATATATTCACATATTGAAGCAAGTGGCAGAGAGGGTATTTGGACCAAGACCATAAAGGCAAAGACCAATTTACATCAGCATATTGTATCAAAAGCACTCAAATCGTTGGAAAGTCAAAGGTATATAAAGAACATTAAAAGTGTAAAGCATCCCACAAGGAAGATTTACATGCTATATAATTTGCAACCATCGATTGATGTCACAGGAGGTCCATGGTTTACAGATAATGAATTGGATATTGAATTTATTCAAACATTGCTAAAAGTTATATGGAATTTTGTCGCGATAAAGACATTTCCGAATTCATTTCCAGATTCAAATGATGTTAGTTTAAACTATATTCAGCAATTGTATCCAGTGAGTTATAATAACTATCCTAGCATTGAAGATATATTGAAATTTATTAAAAATTCTGAGATAACAGAGGTTTCATTATCTTTGAATGATATTCGATCATTGTGTAATGAATTGGTTTATGAGGATAGATTCGAGAAAGTTTTATTAACTGGAAATTTCAATATTAAAGATGACAACAACAATAATAATAACAATAATAACAACAATAATGGACAGGAAAAATACAAGGCAACTTGGCAAAGTGTTTTAGAAGAAGGCAGAGGAATCAAATTGGATTCCAATGCTTATGAAGTTCGAGAAAATAAGTTTAGTGTTTTTGATTATTATAGTTTAGTTCCACCTAATCAAGCTGATGATCCAGATATTATGTATTTAGATAATTGGTTGAATTTATGAAAAATTGAAGAATCGAAGAAGTGATAAAGAGAGGAAATAAAAAAAAATAAAAAAAAATAAAAAAATAAAAAAAATAAAAATAAAAATTTAATAAATCTCGTTTAAATAGGATATATTTATTTGGTTGATTATATAATAAGACTGATTAAAGGATCATTAATAACGATTGATTACTTAATTGATTACTGTTTTTGAGATACAGGTAAGACGTGTTGTTTGGCATCTTCTGCTTTTTCTTTTTGTTTAGCGACAGCATAAACTAAACCAGCGGCAAAACCTAAAAAGATTGAAGAAACACTTAAGAAGTTGACACTTGCATCGAAAAAGATTAAGCCGGATAAAGCGATTGGTAATTTATTTAAAGCACCGACCATTGAATATGTTGTTGAAGAAGTGACTCTAACACACCAAGCAGAGCAGTAAGAGATACCAACAGATGCCATACCACTAAAGATCATTGAAAAGATGATTGAATTTTTTTGGTCGGTTGGAAAATTTAGGTATAAATTTTCTTCAGACCAATCTTCTAAAATAAAGGTAGATACCAATAAGATTGGGACAGACAATAAGTTATTGTAAAACATTGTATCGAAATCTTTGAAATTAGTTAATTTAATTCTCTTTCTCATGTACAATACAAAAGTAGCCGAGGCAAAACAGTTTGAAAACATCCAGTAGTAGCCATAGTTCAAGCCAAAAAAGGAAGCAGAAGAAGATAAGTCGGAGACAGATCTCTTATCGTCACCTAAAGCAGCAACGACAGAAGATAAGACCATCAAGATAAAAGAGGATAAAGCCATTGAAGTGACTTTACCGCTGAACCAAATAACTTCACCATAAGCAATTAAAATGATGGTTAAATTTTTGAAGATAGTATAGATTGGAATTGATAAGTATTGGATGGCCTTTGAAGAGGTATAGATCATGACGACCAATAAGATTGCGATTGGGGACCAACTCTTTGCTTCTTTTGAATTGAATTCTCTGTAATTGATAACTTTAAAATTTTTCAAGAAAAAAATCAATAAGAGACAGACAACTGATTGGACACATAATAATAAAAAGTTTAAATTATAATTTGGATTACCAGACAAGACGTATTTATTTGTTAAAGTCATTAAAATAGAAGACACGCAATAACAAATAATGGATATAGGTCCGGAGTTAACAATTGAAGAAGCTGACAGTTTTTCCATTTTTTGAATTTATTTTATTTTATTCAATTTTCTTTGTAGAGACGAATAATGAAAGTGCAAAAAGGAAATGAGAATATAAGAGAGGATTTAAAAAAAAGGATGAAGATACAATTAAATTCAAGCTTTAATTTTAATTGGAAATATTAATATTGGTATAAATAACAAGTATCGAGATCAAAGTTTATTCTAGTTGAAAAACAAAGATATAAAAACAATAGAGGATAAGAATATAATAATACAAAATCAGAGAAGCCTTTGAGCAGGAGAAAGAGGAGGAATTAAAACAAAGAAGTGAACGAAGATCGAGGTATGCTTTGATCAGAAATAATGGGTGAAAAAAGATACGAACGACTCAGCAGGAATGTAATTGAAATGAGCTGCACTGGAAAGAAAAAGATATCGCAGTTTCAGCGAGTATTATATTTGTATTTATATTTGCGGAAGAGGCCAGCGTGGGCGGGCAGTTTCCACAGCGGCATTCCGCAGCCGTGGAGACGGCAGAACACTGTGCAGCATTGTGCCGTATAACGTGTGAAATCCGCATACTCCAAAGTCGAGCACGTGTAACCCGAACGTTCTACATCAGATTCGGGAAGAGATATCAATTAAGTGTACATAGGTGGTGTCGTCCAGGGCCAACAACACTCTTAGACAATAGCAAGGGCCAAAGAGACAAGCAATGTGAGCAACGACGAATTAAGACCATTGAAAGTGGCAAATGCAGCACCGTTAACGCTGGAACCTCCAGTGACAGAGGCAGTTTCTTCAGCAGAGGATTCCAAAGACTCGGCGCTCGATTCATCGGCTTCTGCAATGGATGCTGAGGATGAACGAGATAAGGTCAGAGTTGAGGTGCCCCCCGAAGAATTTGAGGAGTCTGAGGCAGAAGATTCGGAATCAGAGTCAGAGACAGTTGTAGAAGCTGCTGATGCTGATGCTGAAGCTATTGATGTGGAAGTTGGATTTAATGAGTTACTACCCAGCAGAACATTATAAGTGCAAAATTCAGTCTTAATATAGTTCCTGGTATGATCATCAACACTATCTGTACAATAGGCACATTGGTAAAAAACACTCCAAAAATCATCTTCTAAATCACATAAACAACTATAGTATTCAGTTGATGATTCATCATAATTTAGACAAGATGATACAGCGAGATAATTAATATAGTCAATACAAGCATCAGAAAGATCACAAAATGTAGCGTTTCCTTCATTTTCCGCTCTTTTAAAAATTGTTGAACCAACGTGAAGCACACTACCCGGTAATGGTTTAATAGAGTCACCATTATAATGAGCAATACCATATTCATCAATATCACCATCTTCATCTTCATCTTCACTAATGCCCTCATCTCTTTTAAGAATTGCTGGAACAACATGAAGCACACTACCCGGTAATGGTTTAATAGAGTCACCATTATAATGAGCAATGCCATCTTCATCAATCGTACCATCTTCACCAACAGTATCTTCTCTTTTAGAAATTAGTGGGCCATTTACCGAGTATTTTGGGTGGATGGTATCACCTACAAGTTGTTCAGCTGCATTACTTAAACATCCAGAAATAGCAAGTAAAACTAGTATAGCGGTCTTCATTTTATAATATAAATCAAAGAGTTATATCAATGTTCGATTTATAATGAAATGGTTAATCAAAAAAAAGAAAGAAAGAAAAACGATTGAGGAAAATATAAAAATTATAATTACTTATTTTGCACCAAGATAAATGGCATTCTATTTATATTCAAACTAATCTATACTCTCTCTATTATAAAGATCTATCAAAATAAACACGTTGGAGTGTAATTTTTCAATTTTCTAGGGTTGCAAATTGTTTGCAAAGTTTCAAACAGGCAAATTCTCTCCCTAATCTAATATCGCAAAATGATTCTGGATTCAATACCTTTCCATAGTAAATGTGTTGAAGCCCAGGATCCAATCAGGGCAAGGCTTTGCAGTCATGTTCTCCATCTCACAGTACTAAATCTCATCAAAGAAGAAGAATTTACAAGCAAATTGCACTTAGAGTTTGAGTCATATGCAATAAGGTGCGTGTTGTGCGCCTACTCCAGCCATTCCTAGTGCTTCAGGTTTCTCCTTTTCTGCTGGTTAACTGGGATATTATTAGGATTATGGAGACACATTTTACCATATAAATATACTGCTGATTAGCTGAAAAAGATACTATCAAGGACACATTGGGCATGTCGATATCAGTATCACTACCAATAATCAGTTGTGTAACATCTGATAAAGGAATGAATAATATTATATATTAACCAGTTCAGAGTCTCTGTTTCCATGTAACGACTTCGCGTTTTCACAGCCTGTGCTTGTTTTCCGCCGTGCAACATTTTTACAGCATTTTTCCGTGTCAACGAGGCAGTTCCAACAGTAAAAAGGAGGCTAGATTGCCAAAACAATGTTTGAAACAACTCAAGCTTTTTGTTCTTGGTAAAATATTCTGCTGCTTATTTCACCTTTACTGCAAAACCCGAATCACTGAATCAATCAATATATTAACCATTATATTATATTAATCAATAGGTTGTCTATTAACAAGTCAATTCAACTAACTCAACTAATAGAGCAATGGGTCAGATACCCAAACAAGAATTGTTTCATTCTATCTTCTTCTGATAGAAGAAATAAATTAGACAACTCAGTCCCTGCATCTATCATTCTTTTTTGAGCGACGGCTCGAACCAAAGACAGTTTATTTTCCAAATGTAGGTTATACTACTGCGCCAAATTCACCACATCCAAAAAGGGCCAGCCCAAAATGCAACTACAATAGGGCTTATGTATTGTTTTGATTGCTTATTGTTGTAGCAAAAGCACCAAATCACTAAAGCAGCAAAAGAATCATCAAAACACTCTGAGATGAAAAGTATATTTGTTAACACCAACCATCAGAGAACTCCTTTTTCTGGTGTTGACAAAAATGGGAGATATCACTGTTTTCTACGCTAGTTTGCTTATAAGTCCCTTTGAAAATGAAATATATCTAGTTTTAGCACGTGAAAAATATTATTTTCCATCTGTCTTTTTAGCACACTTCTTAGTAATCTAATTCAGTACCATCACCATTATTATTGCCATCACCACCAGCAATATCTTCATTATCAGTGTCACAACATTCGTTTCTATCCTCTTTGTATTTATTTTTAAAATTATTTGCATTATTGTAATATTATCGTAACACCATCAATACCCATAATATGTCTTCAAATCACAACAATTCCTACAGATCAAACCGCTCAAAGAGAAATAACTCGAGAAACAATTCAAATACAAAATCAGCTAATAACAATAGCAACAATAATAATAACAATAATAATAATAATGCTATTAATAATGAGCAGTCTTATAAGACCAATAATGCCACTGCAACCACTTTAACTCCATCCAATCCACCTCCAAAATTACCCTCAAGCTATGGTTGGGCTGCTGCTGTGGCTAAATCCATTAATAAATCTGATAATAAAATTAACTTCAATAGCAATTCTGTTAATAATACTAATACTAATACTAATACTAATACTAATACTAATACTAATACTAATACTAATACTAATACAAATACGAATACTAATACAAATACGAATACAAATACAAATACAAATACAAGTATTAATTCCAACACCAATACCAACACCAATACAAAAAATATTAATGATAACTCAATCTCCAAATCCCTGATTTCAAACTCAAACAATGCCTCTTCTTTAAGCTTATCATCTAATTCCCGTAAAAATACTATCAATTCAAACTCAAATTTAAATATAAATAAAATTTCAAACAACAATTCTAATAATTATAATACTGCCATTAATAATAGCTCAAATATTAATAATAATAATAATAATAATAATAATAATAATAATAATAATAATAATAATAATAATAATAATAATAATAATAATAATAATAATAATACTGATATCAATATTACCAATAATTCATATGAGAACAATTCTTCTACTTTCACTAACAGATATAATAATTTTAATAAATACAATAATACCAGAAACAATTCAAATAACAATAATAACAATAACAATACTAATAAAAAACACACTCCAATAAATAATTTCAACTCAAAAGATGTAGAATCATATTTAAAAGATTTATATCAATCATTTTATCAAAGTGCAATTAATTCAGACAATTCGCCTCAGTCTCCTAGCATTAAAATTTACTCTTCAAAAGATGGTGGTAGCTCATGGAGCAATACAAATAGTTCAAAAAATCTTAAAAAAAATAAAAACCTTAAATTAAACGATAATATAAGAGTACTTAACTCACTTTTCAAGAATTTATAAATCAAAAAAAAAAATCAAAGAACCAATTAAAAAAAAAAATAGGAAAAAAATAGATTAAATATTATATAACTATATATTTAATACTTAATAAAAATTTAACAAACATTTTACAATTAAATAAATAAAAGTAAATAAGTTCATTATAAAAATCAAAATAATCTACAATTATCAGTATAGAAACAAAAACAAAAACAAAAATAAAAAACATAACATCCAACTATATTTTACATAATAATTCTCTCTGATTCAACATTCTCAGAAATCGTTTTGTGAGGCAACACTTTACCACCATTAACATATATCTCATCTTTAACTTTGACATCATCTCCCAAAAC